GTGAAGTTGTGGCTCAAGTGCTAGAGTGCTAGCCTTGAGTGAAAAAGCTGAGGGACAGTGCCCAGGCCCAGAGTGCAAAGCGTAAGACCTGACACAAAACAAAACAACAAAGAACCCCAGAGACTGTGGTTCTGTGGAGAGATGACCCACTTGACTGCAGCTGGACAAGAAGAGGGACAGGAACCCTGGGTTCCTCTCTCCTCTCAGCCTTCTGCTTCCTGCTGAGCCTCCTCTTGGATGGTTCTGGAATCCAGAGAACTCGCAGTTCATGCCCTCAGTGTGTGCCTGGCTTCCCTGATAGGACAGGGTGAGGTGTAAGATGTCCTGTGCAGCCTTAAAAGCAAAGCCAAAGCGTTTAGAAGTCACAGGGGAAGAAGCTGTCATGACAACATGACAGGAACTGGAGGCTCAAGATGGTGTTGAGAGTGAGGCTTCACCAAATCTTTTTCCTTGCCTACCCTCTGGGCATGCTCACAACCTGTGTGCTGTAGCTACATAGAGATAGGTGGGCCATGTCCAGATGTGAGCATGTTCAATAAATGCTGCAAAGATGGAACAAACAAGCTGCTAGCCCCTGTATAATGCTGACATGCAGCACAGACATATTCTGGATCTAGCTCCCACATTCCCTAGGTCTTGGCTTGCTCTAACACAGGTATGAGCTGGAGAAGCCCTGGGTCAGGGCCTGTCTGGGAACAATTGGTTGGGAACAGCAGCAGCGAGGAGGGAGGCAGAAGTTGGAGAGGAGATAAATGTGGAAACAATTTGCGGAGGGAGGCATGGATAAGCAGCATGGAGTGGACAGCTGCTGGGAGGGAGGGAAAAGTGGGGCGGGGGAGAGGAAGGAGAAAAGCACCCGCGTGTGCAAAAGGGGCCTCAGGATTGAGATGAATGTTTTCACGTCATGGAAGGGTGACCTCTTCATTCTGTTTTCCAGACCTTCTGAACATCTATGGACACTTTAGTTAAGTCTTGCATTTCTATTAGATTTAGCTAGCAGGAGCCCAGAGAGGCCTTGAGTATCATGTTAGTCAGGTGAAGTGTGCTCATGATTTCAACTTCAACTGCATGGACTCGGTGTCACCTACTTCATGTCCCTGATAACTCAGCATTGGGGACACATCATGCAGGCCTGCCCAACCAGCCTAAATTAACATAACATTTGCACCAACACATTATTTGACTTTGCATTGTTTCTAATTTTTTTTTTTTTTTTTGTCGGTTCCTGGGGCTTGGACTCTGGGCCTGGGCGCTGTCCCTCAGCTCTACAGCTCAAAGCCAGTGCTCTACCACTTGAGCCACAGCGCCACTTCCGGTTTTCTGAGTAGGTAGGATTACAGGTATGAGCTAGCAGCACCCAGCTTCTAATTTTCTTTGCATGCCTCACTGCTCACAGATGTCCTTATCTTTTTCTTTTTCAATTTTTTTTTTTTTTTTTGGCCACTCCTGGGGCTTGAACTAAGGGCCTGAGCATTGTCTCTGAGCTTCTGCTCAAGGCTAGCACTCTACCACTTGAGCCACAGCACCACTTCTGGCTTTATGAGGTAGTGAGGAATCGAACCTAGGGCTTCATGCATGCCAGGCAAGCACTCTATCACTAAGCCTCACTCCCAGCCTCTTATCTCATTTCCCAGCCTTTAAAAGTCAATGTTTTTTTTTTTTTTGGGGGGGCGGGGAGAGGGAAAGGGTCAGTGAGGTATGTAGCCTAGGCTGTTTGGACCTTTAGCTGCTCCAGCCTCAGCCTGGGTGCTGGGATTGCAAAGACCACGCCCCTAATGTACTTTTTTTCTTTTGAGGTACTAGGGATGAAATTGAGGGATTCCACACTTGCAAGGCAAGTGCTCTCCCACTTAGCCACACCCTAGCCTGTCTTTTTTGAGTACTCTCAAGTGAAATTGTGGCTCACCAATTTCTAGTTTTTTACACTAATGGTTTGGAAGCCGCCTATGAGGCATGGAAGGTCCTGTTGATTGTTTTTTTAAAGTACTTTCTGTCCTTAGGCAAATTGGTTGTGTGTGTGTGTGTTTGTGTGTGTGTGTGCACACGCATGCTAGTACTGAAACTCGAGCTCAGGGTTTGTATTCTTTTCTTTAGGGCTGGTGCTTGAGCCACATCTCTACTTCTGGCTTTTTGCTGTTTAACTAGAGATGCTCACACTTTTCTGCCTGAGCTGGATTTTTTTTTTTTTTTGTCGGTCGTGGGGCTTGATCTCTGGGCTTGGGCGCTGTCCCTCAGCTCTTCAGCTCAAGGCGAGGGCTCTACCGCTTGAGCCACAGCACCACTTCCGGTTTTCTGGGGGGGGGGGCGGTGTTTATTGGAGATAAGAGTCTCATGAACTTTCCTGCCTGGGCTGGCTTTGAACCTCGATCCTCAGATCTCAGCCTCCTAAGTAGCTAGGATTACAGGCGTGAGCCACCGGCGCCCGGCTTCTGAGCTGGATTTGAGCCACAATCTTCAAATCTTAGTATCCTTAGTAGTTAGGATTTCAGGCATGAGCTACCAGCACTAGACAAATTCTTAAATTTTCCTCACTTTCTTCACTCTAAAGTGTGAATGACTGAATCTGGGAGTCATTTGTGCGACACCCTATATCACCCAGCTTTCAGATTTTAGCTCTCTAATGCACTGGCTGGGCAGGTCTTGTTCAAATCTATGCTTTTCAGTCCTGCTCACCTCCTTGGTGAAATATGGCAAAGGGAGAAAGGCGCAGGTGATTGCCTTAAGTTTAAGTCAGTTACTGTGTGTACCCTTGGGATTCCATCCATCTGGGTTTCTCTTTCTCACTGTTGACGTAGGAAAACAGAGGGCACCTGACCAACAGCTGTTTTATCTAGGAAGAGTTGCTTGCTAAGGGCTAAATCATCACAGCTCCCAGGGGGATTTATCCCAAGAGTAAGCTAGGCCACATGAAAGCATACCATCATTAGCTATTAATGGTTTTTCCATCCTTGCTTATCAAGCCATTTTGATAATTTGGTTCTCCACATAATTTGTTTCCATTTACCCCCAAACAAAGCCCAGGTGTACGGTTCAGCTGTGTGAGGGATGCATGGGTAATTCTAACCCTAGCTGAGATTACTTATGTGTGGCAGGAACCTGCTTACCAAGTTGCAGATGGTCAAACTATCAATATAGTGTTCCTTTTGAGTATGTGCCAGTCCTGGGACTTGAACTCAGGGCCTAGGCACTGTCCCTGAGATATTTTTGTTCAAGGCTGGTATCCTACTATTTGAGCCAGAGCTTCACTTCTGGCTTTTTGTGGTAATTGGATATGAGTCTCTTTTTTCCAACTCCGGTGTGCTTTGAACTGCCACCCTCGAATCTACTTAAGAGTAGCTAGGATCATGGGTGTGAGCTTAGTAACCCATCTTAATTTAGGTAACGCTTGTCTGCTTGTCAGGGGAGGGTGGCACAACTCTGACCCACAAACTCCACTTGAGACAGACTCTTCTTATTTCACCAACTTGTCTTCTCTCCGTCCTATGGCCACTGCTTTAATGAATCTGTATTTCATTTCTAGTTTCTGAGTCTAAAATTGATGTTATTGTTTCTTGGAATTCGACCTCAGCTTCATCCTAACTGGCTTATATCGCCAGCTGCTTCCCATGTTAATTTCTTTCTGGTCATGTCTACTTCCAGATAGTCTCACTAAACTGAATTCTTTAAAATGGAGATAACATTTTTGTCATGGCTTTTCGTTTTTGACACGCCTTTTTTTTAAAACATGCCTGAAGTCTTTCTTCCTCCTGCAGCCTAGGTAACTCAAACTTGACCACATCTCTTAGGCAAGGTGCTCTCCCCTCCACTGGTGCCCTGAACCTTGTAACATTTGGTTAAATCTGTTTCTCCTGATTCAGTAATAATACACTGTGTGTGTGTGTGTCAGACATTGGTGGCTCATGCCTGTAATCCGATCTACTCTGCAAACTGGGAGCTGAGGATCACCGTGTGGAGCCAGCCCAGGCAGGAAGGGTCCCGTGAGACTCCCTTATCCCCAGCTGATCGCTGAAAAGCCAAGCAGCAGCGATGTGGCTCCAGGGAGAACGCGCCAACCCGGAGCGGGGGCGCGCGTGCACGCGCGGGGCTGCGGCACGCGTGCGGATGGCGTGCCCTAGCTCCGACGGACACGTCTGCCTGGGGTTGGGGGCAGTGCCAGGCCTCGATGGACCGTAGACGGTGCTCACGAACTCACAACCCTGGGAGTCAGCCCAGGTAGGCTGAGGAAGGCTGCAGCTCGGAGGCGGAGGGGCTGGTGCTCAAGGTCACCGGCCGAGTCCTGCGGCAGGGCGCTCCGGGCTCGGGACGGGGGCCGCTGCACAGGCTCGGGGCACGAGCCCGGGGGTCAGCCGAGGACAATTTCGGACCCCCCCTCCCCGCGGTCTTCCCGGAGCATCGTCCCGACACGTCGTCCCCCCGGGGTCCCTCGCTCCTCCGCGCGAGTCCAGCGGTCACCGCCGCCCGGTCGACACTCCGGGGGACGCGCAACCTCTTAAGCACTGTTTCCCTCCGCGGACTCGGGCAGAGGCTGCGGACGTACAGCCCGCGCCCCCCTCTCCATCCGCGGCCCCCAAGCCGCCGCTCCAGCCGGTCGGTCGGTGCCCGGCCGCAGCCGCGCCGTCCCGGCCGCGCTCCTCCACTCGCCGGGGCCGCCCCTTGCCGGCGACGGACGGCGCCTCGCTTCTCGCGTCCTCGGGGAGAGCGATCTTCCGTGACGGTCGGCGGATTGTCCGGGGCCAGCGACCCAGAAAGGGCCGCCCAAGAGAGCGGACCCCCGGGTCCCGCCCCCGCCCGGCCGCGGCCCGACCTCCGCCCCCGGCGCCCGCCCACGCGCGCGCGCTCCCGCCGCGGAGCCGGCGCACAAAGGCCGGAGGCCGCCTCACCGCGCGCAGGGATCCGGCCCGCGCGCCCCACCCTCACGCCGCCGCCCGGCCCGCTGCCCACCGGCCTCGGCCCCCTCGCGTTCCCGTTGCGGAGACCAGAAGACCCGGGACAAGAGCGGCTTCCCGAGGGGCGCGTCCGCCGGGGCTCCGCGGGAGGGGACTACTTTCCAGCCCCTCCGCGGAGGGACTACTTCTCCCCGGCGGAGGCGTCGGCCGCGGGCGGCGCGCACGGCATGGCGGAGGCGCGCGCCTGAGCGGAGGGACGCCGGCCCAGTCAGGCCTCGGCGCGGCCTACACGCTTCGCTCGCTCGCTTCCGCCCCGCGCCCGGCCATGGCGGAGTCCTCGCCCGCCCGACGCCCGGTGCCTCTCATCGAGTCGGGTAAGACGCGAGCCGCGCCGCCCCCGCCCCGTGCCCGCCCGCCGGGTCCTGACCGTACTCTCGCCCTCTCTTCCCCGCAGAGCTGTACTTCCTCATCGCCCGGTACCTATCGGCCGGCCCGTGTCGCCGAGCAGCCCAGGTGAGTGCGGGCGGCGGCGCGGCGGGGGTCTGGGGGCCCCGCCGCCGGGGGTCGCGGGCCCCGGAGGGACGGGGGTGCGGGCCGGCGCGCCGGGCCGAGCAGCCCGGGCGCTGACGGCGCGTCTCGTCCGCAGGTGCTGGTGCAGGAGCTGGAGCAGTACCAGGTCGGTGCCCGCGGTCCCCGCGCGTCCCCCGCCCCGCCCCGCCCGGCCCGCCGCGCCCGCCCGGCCCGCGCGCCCACCGCCCGCCGCGCCGGAGCTGGGGGGGGAGGAGGTCACCGGGCGCCTCTCGTGTCTTTTCCAGCTGTTGCCGAAGAGGTTGGACTGGGAAGGCAACGAGCACAGCAGGAGCTACGAGGAATTGGTGAGCACCGGACACGCCGCCCCGCGCGCCCCCCGCCCTGCACGCGCGCCGCGCCGGACCGCCGGGGGCGCGTGGCAGCCGCGCTCGGGGCGGGGGGGGGGGGACGGGCGACCCCCGGGCTTGACGGGTCTGACAGCCCCTCTCCCCGGAGGCCCCGTTTGGGGTTTGTTTTGGCCGGAGTGTGTCCGGGGAATGGGGGGAGGCGGCGGCTCGGGGCGGAGGTGGGGGCGCCCCCGTGTGGGGCGGGGGTGGGTCTCCAGGTGCGGCCGCCCGCCAGGGGGCGGGGCACGCCCGTCAGCCACTCCGCGGCGCGCTCTCATAGCTTTCTCTCTCGACCGCACTTGCAACTCCAGCTCTGATTGGTCCTCCTCTTTCTGCCCCGCCCACGCCTTTCGACCACTTGTTTCCTAGGAGCACACGGGTCATTAGTCTGTGAAGGTGGACTAGTGTTTCCCCCGAGTTGAGCTTCTGTTTTTTATGTTTTTCTCCGGCAGCGCGATAATCTATTGCCTCTCAGCGAATATGTCAGTGGATCTGTGCTGTGAATAGTACAATATTTGTTGAGTGTCGAGATTTAATTTTTGATCAGTTTTACACTTTGACCTAGCGGTGTATAATTTAATGCGGGCTTTAAATGGACTAGTTGTCTTTCTTTGACTAGGAATACCTTTGTTCCTTACACCTTGTGAATCTCTTTTGCCATCCTCTATAATTCTTTTCCCCCACAGTTAACACCACTGGGCAGGAGTCAGGGCCTGGGTGTTCTCCTGAGTAGCTTTTGCTCAACGCCAAGTGCTCCACCACTGCAGTCACAGCTCCACTTTTCGGATTTTTTGGATATTTAATTGGAAATTAGAGTCTTTACAGACTTTTCTGTCCGGACTGGCTTCAGACCGAGATCCTCAGATCTCAGCCTTCTGAGTAGATGGGATGACAGGCATGAGCTGCTTGGCACCTACCAATATTTGACAATTTTAGTAGAAGGAATAAAGGATTTCTTTTGTTGCCAGGCCATGTTCATCATATTGTACGAAGAGAACAGTTGAAAAAAAGAAGCCTATGGAGTGGATTTTCCAGTGGTTTTAAAACAGGCAAACCTTCAGTGAAGTATTAGCCTTTTGGAGACAGGATCTCACTATATAGCCCAAGGTTGGCTTGGAACATGGAGTAGTTCTGCTACAGCTTTCTGAATGCTGGAATTCAGAATTTGCACCAGGATGTCTAGCTACTATTAAGCTTTTTTGTGTGTGTGGTTTTGGGGATTAAGATTTTATTTTTATTTATTTTGGTTGTGGAACTTGAATTGAAGGTTTGGGCGCTCTCCCTGAGCCTTGTGCTCAAGGCTAAAGCTCTACCACTTTGAGCCACAGCTCCACTTTCTTGGTTTTCTGGTGATTGATTGGAGATAAGAGTCTCACAGGCTTTCCTGCCCAGGCTGACTTTGAACCATGATACTCAGATCTCAGCATCCTGTGTTGCTAGAATTACAGACTTGAGCTACCAGCACCCAGCAAGGTTGATTCTTTTTTTTTTTTTTTTTTTTTGGTCCGGTCATAGGTGAACTCTGGGCCTGGGCACTGTCCCTCAGCTCTTCAGCTCAAGGCTAGCGCTTTACCACTTGAGCCACAGCGCCACTTCCGGCTTTTTTCTTTTTGCTTATATGGTGCTGAGGAATCGAACCCAGGGCCTCAGGCATGCAAGGCAAGCGCTCTACCACTGAGCCACCTTCCCAGCCTGCAAGGTTGATTCTTGATTGACTAACGTGGTTTAGATTTATAAAAGGCCAGCGTTTTCCTTAACACCTTCCTCTCCCCCCCAAAAAATTAGTCTTTACAATGTAGTTATATTGGCATTTAGTTTTTCTTTTTTAAATTTTATTAGCTTTAGTTACACAAGGGAGATTTCACTTTGACATACCTCCTTCTCCCTTCCCACTTGAGATTATTCACATATGTACAATAAAGTATTCTGACCATATTCTCCCTTTTGATTCTCCTCCTCCTGCTTATAACCATCCCTCATCAGAGCCTGTTTTAACTTTGTACCAGGGTACAAGATGCCAAGGTATGGTTGAATATAAAACATTCACATATCTAATCAGAATAACCTACTCATTATTCTTTGTCACCTAAATTTGAGTAAGATTTTTGTGTGTGTATGTGGATACATACACAGTCTTAGAGCTTGAACTCAGGGCCTGGGAACTATCTCTGAGCTCGGTGCTCAAGGCTAGTGCTAGTGCTTTGCCACTTTGAGCCACAGCTCCATTTCTGGCTTTTTATTTTTTATGAAATGAGTAGTTAATTGGTGAGAAGAGTCACACTTTCCTCCCCTCCTCCTAACCATCAGTCTCAGATGGAGCCTCCTATATAGGATTGCAGGCATGGGTCATTGATGCCTGGCTTGAGTGATTTTTTTTTTTGTGTGTGTGTGTGCAGAATAACTTCATCTGAAAATATTTAACACCACTTACACATTTAGTTAAATTTTTGTGAGCAAGTATCTGATAAGCTTAGTCAACTCTGTGAGATAAACTCTCCCTCCCTCCCAGGGTCTGGGGCTTGGGCATGGTATGTGACTTCTGTCATGTCTCCCGTACTTTTCTTCACTGTTAGCAGCTTTTGCTATGATTGCTCTTGGACCCAAATCCTACTTTTGCCTGTGGAATAGTTGAATTTAAAGGTATACATCATTCCTTGTTAGTATTTCACTTTTATAAAAATAGCGAATTTATTTTGCAAATTCTTTTTGTCATATCAAATAAAAGTTCAGTAACTGAAAAACCACTGTCAGAATAAATGTAACAATAAATATAACATAAGTCTGCAGTTTCTTTTTTTCTTCCATTTTTGCTTATTTGTATACTTTGCTGAATTCCGAATTAATTTCCTGAGCAGAGAACAGTTGGACCTTCTTGAACACTATAAGATTAAGGAATCCAAGACTTGGATTGGAAGGCTGGGAAGGTGGCTCAGTGGTAGAGTGTTTGCCTTGCATGCACAAGGCCCTGGGTTCGATTCCTCAGCACCACGTAAGCAGAAAAAGCCGAAAGTGATGCTGTGGCTCAAGTGGTAGAGAGCTAGCCTTGAGTTGAAAAGCTGAGGGACAGCATCCAAGGCCCAGAGTTCAGGCCTCATTACCAACAAAACAAAAACCAAGACTTGGATTGGAGTGCTTTGCCAGATAGGGCTCTATTTGAGTCTTGGTTTGAGCTTCTTAAAAATTTTTTTTGACATCATTACAAAAGAGACATTTATTTTTAACTTCTTATATTAGTGGTGATATGCAGCAAGATTACATTTACATATGTAATAAGTACATTTCCTTTGGTAAGGTGTCATCTGTCTCTCATTCTCTCCCTTCCTTCCCATCTCCACCCTCAAGTTGCATAGTTTACCAGGGTCCAATGGAAAGCCTTTTATTTTAAAGGACAAAAAGATTAAATAAGCAAACAATGACTAGTTTTTGCATTAGTTAAACAAAGGGAGATTTCATTGTTACATTTTTACATGTTTACAAGATGTTCTAAGCAATCTCATACCTTGTATCCATTCATCCTTCTTGTTTCCCTATCTTTTTTACAGTGAAAACAAACTTAACTTTTTCTTCTACTGTTCTATATTTTCACTGTTACTCTAAAGACCCTTCATCTTTACTGCAGCTTGTTTCTTCTGTGGTATCTGCATTTTCTTTTTTTTGTCTGTCCTGGGGCTTTTTCTCTGGGCCTGGGTGCTGTCCCTGAGCTCTTCAGCTCAAGGCAAGCCCTCTACCACTTGAGCCATAGTGCCACTTCTGGTTTTCTGGTGGTTTTTTCTGGTTTCTGGTTTTCCGGGTTGGCTTTGAACCGTGATCCTCAGATCTCAGCCTCCTGAGTAGCTAGGATAAAGGTGTGAGCCACCACCGCCCTGCAGAAACTGCATTTTCTTTGTAATTGATTGTAGACATTGGTGGTTGTGTAGGTATTGATAACTTCCAGGCACTTGACACAGTGTAGATTAGAAGCTTGGCTTTTGGTGCTGGCTGCATTGTATTCCTGATTTTGTTGTTCTTTTTACTTGATTTTTTAGTCTTTAACAAATACTCTACCCCAAGTGCTTGCCTTGAATGCATGAGGCCCTGGGTTCGATTCCTCAGCATCACATAAACAGAAAAAGCCCGAAGTGGCCTTTAGCTGAAGAGCTGAGAGATAGCGCCCAGGCCCAGAGTTCAGGCCCCATGACCAACCCACCCCCCCAAACACTCTACCCCAATTTCTCTACATGTATAACAGGGTTGATAATGATAACTAGCTCAACAGGTACTATTGACATGGAAAGAGGTGGTTTTCTAGTGCATGTGCAGTAGTAATTACTAATATTTGTTGGTAACAATCCTGATAGAAGGCATAATTATGTAGATGCCTTTTACTTTATGTCCATTTGTAGAGTCTTAACCTGTTTCACTCATGCTGGGGTTGAGTGAATAATGATACTGATCTAAGAGCAGCGCCTGTAACAGCTCAATGCTTAACACTGGTGGTAGAGGTGAGCCATGAGTTTCTTGGCCTTGGTTGCGTTCCCTTTGAAAGAGAGTAGTTTCCATGGCTTACCCAGTCACTGCATTGTATCTAAGGGATTAAAAGTTTTCCTTGCTTCATATGGATCCAACCACAGCAATTGCATAGTGCATTTTGTCCTTTAAACCTTTTTGTTTGCCAGTCCTGGGGCTTAAGCTCAGGGACTGGGCACTGTCCCTGAGCTTCTTTTTGCTCAAGGCTAGCACTCAACTAATTGAGCCCCAGCGCCACTTCCAACTTTTTCTGTTCATGTGGTACAGAGGAATCGAACCCCAGGGCTTCATGCATACTAGGCAAGCACTCTATCGCTAAGTCACATTCCCAGCCTGTGTCCTTTTAAACTTTATGTGTTCATTTGATCAGGTACTGATGGCATACCTGTAATCCTAGCTACTTAGGAGGCTGAACTCTGAGGATCTTAGTTTGAAGCCAGCCTGGGCAGAAAAGTCCATAGGATTTGTATCTCTAATTAACCATCAAAAATAGAACTATGGTTCAAGTGAGCACTAGCCTTGAGTGAAAAAGGTAAAGGACAATACAGTACGTAGGACCTTATTTTTATTTTTTGTCTTATTTTTTGCCATTTCTGGGGCTTGAACTCAGGGTTTGGGCACTGTCCCAGAGCCTCTCTGTGCTCAAGGCTAGTACTCTACAACTTGAGCCACCATGCTACTTCCAGCTTTTTCTGTTCATGTGGTACTGAGGAATGGAACCCAGGGCTTCATGCTTGCTAGGCTAGCACTCTACCACTAAGCCACATTCCCAGTTCAAGCTTAGTTTTATTATGAATTCTTTAGTTGTCTTCAGCTCATTATACTTTATCAGAGTTTGTAAACACAGAGTATTGCTTGTATCCCAGTGCACTGACAAGCACTCCTTCAGACATTAGTAGGTGGAGGGAGCCAGGGATGCTATGTGTCTTTCATGTTGGGCTGACAGTTACAGTGTTCTAGCACTTGAACCGCAGCTCAACTTCTGGCTTTTTGTTGGTTAATTGGAAATAGAGTCTCAAACCTCTAATCCTCTTCAAACCGTGATCCTTACTCAGATCTCAAGCCTCCTTCTGGATTTGATTGAAAAGAGATTGAATCCATAGGCTAATTTATATTTAAGTTATGTGAAATAGTTTGTAATTTTCAGTATTACATGTTTTATCAGACTTATTCCTGAATGAGTTAATGGTTTTTCATATGGGTGCAAATGACACTGTTATTAAAATATAACTCTCTAACCAGGTCTTGTCCAATAAACATGTGGCTCCTGATCATCTGTTGCAAATCTGCCAGCGCATCGGTCCTATGTTGGATAAAGAAATCCCGCCCAGTATTTCAAGAGTCACTTCTTTACTTGGTGCAGGAAGGCAGTCTTTGCTACGTACAGCAAAAGGTACCTTAATTTGAAGAAGTGTTCTGCTATGTATTAGTAGCTTAAGAATTCTTATTCTAATTGTGAAGTAATGTAAGCATTGTGGAAGAAAGGTGTTAATGTAACTATAAATCATGCTGTGGACTATAAAATTCTCCGCATTTAGCATAGAACAATGAATTTTATTGCGTAAGTGTTTAATGGGTCCTTCTGCATTTAAAAATTGATAAAGATATAGATGTTAAGCTAAAAAGCTTCAATTTATTCTGAGATGTGTTTGAGGTTTTATCCATGTGAGTTTTAATTTTCTATTTTGTAGCTTACTTATAATCTCATGGAATGTAATTGTATGTGTCTAATAAACTCTTTAAATGCTAGAAGTATTTCCTTTGGTATTTAGATTCCAAAAGCCCTTTGTTATAAGAGAAAGTGACTTTCTAAAGTTAGTAGCAGTTTGAAAGTAGCACAAAAAATGTAAACTTGCATGGTCCCTTTTTTTTTTTTGCCACTGATTTAATTTTTTGCCAAGTTATGTGTTAGCAAAATGTTTGGAATTGCTATACTTTTCTTGTTAGCGTGGTATAAATGACCTAGACTAAGTATGTGTATGTGATATGATCTATGTATACATGTGGCTAAATTGCTAATGGGCAAGATTGTTGGTTCTTCTGATCTGTAGCATACTTCAAGTTTACCAGGTGATTTTTTTTTTTTTTTTTTTTTGTTAAGAGCTATGTTACTGTGATGCTACCTCTATATGCACCACCAGTATTAAGTTTGACCAGAAAGAACAACCCTCCCTCTGGTTCCATGACAGACTGGTTTGTCAGCTTGAGTTCTCAGTGCTCTGTAGCTGTGCTGCACTGGGGCTTCAATCAGGAAACTTCCTATCCTTCCTTTTCTGCGTCCTTACTGTGTAATTATCCTACTGGAGGTTGTTATATAGTAGTTGCTTGGGCAGCCTGTTTTGCTTTGTTTTTCTTTGTGTCAAGCTCAATGTTGTTTTGTGATGAGCACTGCTTTAGAACTAACTGGCAGGCCTTAGAAGAAACTCTAGCCAGGTGTCATAGGGTAGGCCATATTTCTGTATTTGTTTTGTACCAGTGCGGTGAGAGGATGCCTTATCACTACTCTTTGGTCACAATAGTGGTGATGAATCCGTTCATGTAAAACCTAACATGCCTGTTAGTTTGGGGCACCCGAGGCTCAGTGGAGGGTTAGTTTGATATGCCTTTCCTCCCTTTCTCTCTCAGTTGTGAAGAAGCTAATTTTAATTTCTAGCACAGCATGGACATGAGGTCTGTTCATGACCTGTGTTTTGCTACTAGCTCCTAAAGAGGGGCCAGGCATTTTCGCCTTGGTGCATTTCTTGTAGTTCAAGGAAGGATGGGGTTTTCAAATTAGTGTTCAGACTCTCAGGCCTCTATCCGTGTGTTCTTCTGGAAAAGAGTATCTGTGATTCTAAAACAAGTTTCCAATACTTTCTAAGGAGATAAAAGTCACGGTTAGTATTGTCCAAATTAATTTCAAAACTAAACAAATTAAGTCAAGGGTCTTTATATATAAGAATACATTCCTTATAAAAGTTTCTATTTCTCAAACGTTGGGTCAGTTGTGATTAAGGGTGCTCATGTTCATATTGGATGGTATAATTCTGCATTGAAATATAAACACATGGCATTCAATGGGACTTGAAGAAAAGACCTGGTCTTCTGGCCGGCCCATATTTAGTAGTCATTTGCATTGGATCTTTTTAAAGGTCCTGGAACCTTTGAGCCTCAGTTACCTCACTTGTACTTTGGTGAAAATACCTACCTCACAGGGTTGTTGTGAGGACTCAATGAGATACTGTATGTGGAAAGCACTTTGTGAATTGTAAAGTGCTATTCAAATGTTAGTTGTTGTTGCTGCTGTATCTGAGATGTCTTCAGTTTTCTTTTTCCTTCAGAAATAGTCTAATAAACATCCAGGGCTTTTCTGTTAAAAGTATATTAGCTGGTAAAACTTTGAATAAAACAGTTTATTACAATATACGTAAGTATTCTATAAAATCTTTCTGGGGGTTAACTTTCAAGGTTTTATGTGTATCTAAAATTCGTTTTAAAGACTGCAGGCACACAGTCTGGAAGGGCTCTGCCTTTGCTGCTCTTCACAGAGGAAGGCCTCCCGAAATGCCGGTGCATTATGGTTCCCCGCCAAATCTTGGTAAGTGACCTGGCCTTTGAGACCTCCGAAACTGTGCTTTTAAGTTGTTGACAGAATTTACAAATGTGGTCTTAGAGTTGGAAAGGAAGTACTCGTAGTGTTGTTCTTTAGTAATAAGTGTCATATTTTAAATGGTTTCCTTAACAAAATTAGAAATTAAGGAAAGCAGTTGTGTTTTGATAAGAAATCTTAGTACTTCTAGTAGGCTAGAATTGGCAAGAAACTTTCCCTAGGATTTCTCAGATATATTTTATAATCTTCTAGAAATTGTTTTGGAATTTTTCTTAGTGTCTTCCATAACTCCCCTTAACTGTTCTCATTGTTTTTATTTCCTAGTGGAGATCCATCGAGGAAAACAACTCACAGGGTGCTCCACTTTTAGCACAGCATTTCCAGGAACTCTGTATCAGCATATAAAAATGCACAGGAGGATTCTTGGACATCTGTCTGCTGTTTACTGTGTAGCATTTGATAGGACAGGACATAGAATCTTTACAGTGAGTTAACATTTTGACCTCAATGTGGTGCCCCTTAGGTACTTAAGTGTGCTTCAGGATCACCTAGGGTAGGGCTGGGAACAGCCAGCCTTTTTCAGCTTCAGAATCATTTATAAATGCAGGACAGACATACAAGTCCTGTGATGCTTCTTGTCTACTGCTCACAGCCCTCTGCCTGAATCGATCATTTTGTATGGCCCTCCAGTGATGATCTACACGTAAAAATGGCTGTTGGCAGAGAATTCTCCACCCTTCACTAGGAAATTTTATCAAGCATGATTTTGACTAAATACGTCTGGTGTGGAGGTCCTGAATTTGTACTTTGATTAAGTATTTCAGATGACTAAGTAACATAGTCATAATTGGGCTGTTTAAGAGACTTTCTAGAGCAGTAGTTCTTTAGCATGAGTGCTAAGGGAACTTGAAAACATATATAAGTAAAATTTTCTTTTTAGCTTTTTGTAGACTTAATGAATTGTAATCTAAATAAGTGATACATTAAAAAAATTCAACAATAAAAACTTTGCTAAAACTGAAACCATTAGTGATAATTATACTCATTGATTAATCTGATCCGTGAAAATAGTGTTTACTGGTTTTAGTGTCCCAACAGTTATTAGAAAACTGTATAAAAATAAAATTTCTGGAATTTTTTTAAAATTATTTTTTTGGGGGGCTCGAACTTAGGGCCTGGGTGCTATCCTTGAGCTTTTCTGCTCAAGGCTAATGCTGTATCACCTGGACCACAGCTCCACTTCTGGCTTTCTTGATGCTTGGTTGTAGATAAGAGTCTCATGGACTTTCCTGCCCTGGTTGGCTCCAAACTGATCAGCAGATCTCAGCCTTCTAAGTAATTAGGATTACAAATGTGAGCCACTAGCACCTGGCTCCATTTCTAGTATTCTATTTTTTTTTTTTTTTTGGTCAGTTGTGGGGCTTGAACTCGTTCTGGGTGCTGTCCCTGAGCTCTTCAGCTCAAGGCTATCCCTATACCTCTTGAGCCACAGTGCTACTCTGGTTTACTAGTGGTTTATTGGAGATAAGAGTCTCATGGATTTTGCTGCCTGGGCTGGCTTTGAACCGAGATCCTCAGATCTTAGCCTCCTGAGTAGCTAGGATTAGAGGTATGAGCCACTGGCGCCTGGCTCTTTCCAATATTTTTTTTTTTTTTTTTTTTTTTTTTTTCCAATATTTTTAAGGGGACAGTTAAGTGAATGAAAAGCTTGTCGTTGTGATTCAGAGCATACACAATGTTGCATGATGAGTGCTGGCTTGTATTGTAATTTGCGACACTGTCACTGGGTAATTTGAATTGGTGGTATTTTCCTACTACTTTTTCATTCTTTCTGGGATTGACACTTAGTCTTGTTTTCCAGGCTAGGAAATTTAGATCTGTACTCGTATACATATTATTTAGCCTCCTAAGTTATACCAATATGAATTAGTTCAGACATGATTATATATGTGAGCCGGAATCTTCAGTTAGATTTATTACTTGATAGAGAATTTTCAAGAAAAATAGCATTGATAAGGTGCTTTGATCCCTAGAAATGGTACTGTTACTGTATCTTTATGTATACTTTTGAAGAAAAGTATTCTATTATACATATTATACATGTGTTGCTGACGGAGGATCAGTTTAGACACTGTTGTTGGAAGTAGGGGAAGAGTTATAGTTACTTAATTTGGGTAATGTAAAAAGGCATTCTTTAAAGTATTTTTACTGGACTTTCTAGTCTAATACTTAGATTTGGTGTATTTTCTCTCAGGGTTCAGATGACTGTTTGGTAAAGATTTGGTCAACACATAATGGCCGTCTGCTGTCCACATTAAGAGGTCATTCTGCAGAAATTTCAGATATGGCCGTAAACTATGAGAACACCATGATTGCTGCAGGGAGCTGTGATAAGATCATTCGAGTGTGGTGCTTGAGGACCTGTGCCCCAGTGGCTGTGCTGCAAGGACACACGGGATCAATCACGTCTTTACAGGTCAGTGAGCCACGTGGACACATCTGTGTGCTCTTGCCTTTTCCTTTAAAACTCGATCTTTGGAGCTGAGGAATAGCAAAATGCGTAGTAATTATACGCTGGTTTTGAAACTGAGGTAATCATGAGAGTATGTGATCATTGATATTTTACACAAATCATGCAGGACTAACATAGTACCTCATGTAGTAGAGCTCCTCCATAGTCTTCAAAGGTGATGCGTAGCCTTTTATTTTTATTTTTTGTGCTGGTTTTGAGGCTTGGACTCGGTGCCTGTGTACTGTCTCTTAGCTTTTTCTCTCATGGTTGACTGTCTGCCACTTGAGCCACAACTCTACTTCTGGATTTTTGGTAGTTGGTTGGAGAAGAGTCTCACAGAGGTTTTTTTTGTTTTTGTTTTTTTTTGCGTGGCTTGGCTTCATATTGGGATTCTCAGATCTCAGCCTCCTGAGTGGCTAGGATTAGAGGATGAGCCACTGAACCACAACTGAAATTTAGTAATTTGATATGGTTTGTTTGTTTTTGCTTTTGATTTCTGTGCAAGTGGAATCATATTCAGAAAATAATTACCTGTGCCTTTAATAGGGTGACAGGGCTCCTGCATGTAGATAACTAGTCTTTCCAGCATCATTTGTTGCTGTTGCTTTCCAGTGTATGTTTTGGCATTTTTGTCCAAAATGAGATGGATGTAGTTTTATTTTTTGGGTCTTCTATTTGCGTACAATTCTTTCTTTTTTTTTTTTTTTTTGTTGGTCATGGGGTTTGAACTCAGGGCCTTGGTGCTGTCCCTCAGTTCTTCCGCTCAAGGTGAGTGCTCTACCATGTGAGCCACAGCGCCACTTCCTGGATCTTCTGTTTAGTCATTGGTTTTTGTGTCTTTTTGTGCCAGTACCATTCTGTTTTTATTACTGTGGCTATATAGTATAATTTGACATCTAGTATTATGATACCTGCAGCATTTATTTATGTATTTATGTCAGTTGTGGGGCTTGAACTCTGGGCCTGGGCACTGTCATTGAGCTCTTTACCTCAAGGCTAGTGCTCTACCACTTGAGCCACAGCACCACTTACGGTTTTCTGATGGTTAATTGGAGATAAGAGTATCAAGGACTTTCCTGCCTGTGCTGGCTGTGAACTACAGTCCTCAGATCTTAGTTTTCTGAGTAGCTAGTATTTCAGGCCTGAGCCACCGAAACTTCTTGAGTTTTACTTTTTTTTTTTTTTTTTGGTCAATTGTGGGCTTTGAACTCAGGGCCTGGACACTGTCCCTGAGCTTTTTTGCTCAAAGCTAACATGCTAGCACTTTGAGCTGTAGCACCACTTTGAGTTTTCTGGTGGCTAATTGGAGATAAGAGTCTCATGGACTCTCCTACCCAGGCTGGCTTTGAACCATGATATTCAGATCTTAGCTTCCAGAGTAGCTAGGGTTACAGGCATGAGTCACTGGCACCTAGGTCAGTTGTTTTCTTTTAGAGCTTGAATTATGTCATTCTATTACCTCTTTGAATTTAGACTTCGTTTGTTTGTTTTGTCTGTCGTGGGGCCTGAACTCTGGGCCCTGGGTGCTGTCCCTCAGCTCTTCAGCTCAAGGCTAATGCTCTACCCCTTGAGCCACAGCACCACTTCTAGCTTTTTCTTCTTATGTGGTGCTGAGGAATGGAACCCAGGGCTTTATGCATGCAAGGCAAGCACTCTTATCACCGAGCCACCTTCCCATCCTCGAATTTAGACTTTGTGTTGAGAAATATGCCGTTAAATGTCGCCTGCTTCTACTTTGTAGCTTTCAGTATTCTTTCTTGTTGATCTTGGCTGTTCGGTGTCTGTAAGCTTCTTTTATTGAGGTTGGAGAAGTTTTCTGCTATTGTTTTATTAAATAGTTTCTCAGTGCCTTCAGTTTGTATTTCTTCGTATATCTGTGATTGGAGGTTTGGTATTTTGATGGAGTATGAATGGCCTTGTAACTTTAATTCATATTTTTTTAGTCTGTTTCAACATTTTTTGATTATTTGATCCAATTTCTCTGCTTTATCTTTTTGTTTGTTTGTTTGTCGCGGTGCTTGAACTTCGGGCCTGGGTGCTGTCCCTCAGCTCTTCAGCTCAAGGCTAGTGCTCTACCACTTGAACCACAGCGCCACTTTGGCTTTTTCTGCTTATGTGGTGCTGAGGAATCGAACCCAGGGCCTCATGCATGCAAAGCAAGCAATCTACCACTGAGCCACCCTCTCAGCCCCATCTTTAATTCCTTTTTTTTTTGTCGGTCATGGGCTTGAACTTGGGCGCTGTCCCTGCGCTCTTCAGCTCAAGGCAAGTGCTCTACCCCTTGAGCCACAGCGCCATTTCCGGTTTTCTAGTGGTTTATTGGAGATAAGAGTCTCATGGATGTTCCTGCCCAGACTGGCTTTGAACCTCAATCCTCAGATCTCAGCATCCTGAGATGCTAGGATCAGCTAGGATGACAGGTATGAGGTACCAGTGCCCAGTCCTTTCCTTTTTTTGTCCGTTGTAGGTCTTGAACTCTGGGTCAAGGCAAGCACTGTGCTACTGAGCCACATTTAATTTTTTTTTTTTTCTTTCGGTTGTGTGGCCTGAACTCTGGGCCTGGATGCTGTCCCTCAGCTCTTCGGCTCAAGGCTAGCTCTCTACCACTTGAGCAACAGAGCCACTTCTGGTTTTCTGAGTGGTTTATTAGAGATAAGAATCTCACGGGCCGGGCCGGGACTTTCCTGCCTGGGCTGGCTTTGAACCATAATACTCAGATCTCAGCCTCCTGAGTATCTAGGATTACCAACACCCAGCTCCTTTAATTCTTTATACTTTATTTTCAGTTTGTTCTGTTCTATAAGCTAGACTTTGGGTTGAGTTTTCTTCATTTACAGGAGTTCAGTTTGTTTTTCAAGATTTCTGTACTTTCATTGAGTTTTTCTTTTGTATTCTGGATTGTCTTCTTCATTTCACTGTTTGAATTCTCTAGTAGTTTGATTCGTGTGTGAATTTCTGCTTGTACATAAAGTCCTTTGTTTCATTACTCTTTTTTTTTTTGTTTTATTGAGCTTGTATTTTTTTTGTTTTTGTTTTATTGAGCTTGTATTTGAACATTTTTCCTGTTCTTTATCACTCGAGTCCATTGTTGTAGTTACTGGCTTTACTTTTTTTTTCTGGTAATGGTGCTTGAACTCAAAGCCTCACACTCTAGGCTTGTTTGCTCATGCCTGCTGCTTCACTACTTGAGTCCTACTTCCAGCTCCACGTTTTTGTCTGTTGGAGCTAAGTCTGTTAGATTTTGCTGCCTGACCTGGCACCTGGTTTTATATGAGGGACTTGCATGTTTTAGCATACATCTTGTTATCCATAGTGAAGATTTATTATTTTTTTTTAGTTTTGTCTTTCATTGGTCACATTATGTGTAAGTTAATTGTTAGATTTTTTTCAATAAAATATTAACTATATTTTATATTTGTGTTTTATTGCCTTAGCATGTCAGTTGAAGTTAACTTTGGAAAATAGTTAAATGTGTAACTTGAGTAGAAACTCCTAGTAACTGAATTATGTATTTATATTACTGATTTTTAGTTTAGCCCTATGGCCAAAGGCTCCCAAAGATACATGGTTTCCACTGGTGCTGATGGAACAGTTTGTTTTTGGCAGTGGGATTTAGAATCCCTAAAATTCAAGTAAGTGAATTTATTTAACAAATTCTTTTCAGTGAAATTGAATTTGATTACAAAGGGCGATGATGAATTGTGGTGGCCTTTTTACTCTGAACTTTCACTGTTTTACAACAGAGGTGTTACATGAACCTTTATGTTTCTGCACTTATTTAGATAGTTGGAAATAAGATAAGCACAACTTTGTCTCTTGGTGATTACATTTGTATGTAAGCAAAGTGAAATAATATATGTTAACCATTTAAGTTAGAAATATACAGTTAGATATGTAATGAGAGCTGCCACAGTGACACTTGGAGACCACTGCTGGGTTATAGATCAGTCCAGTGACTGCTTAGCCCTTCACATGCAGGAACTGAAGTATGATTAGTTAGATTTAAAAGTTGATACTTGGGGGGCTGGGAAGGTGGCTCAGTGGTAGAGCGCTTGCCTTGCATGCATGAGGCCCTGGGTTCGATTCCTCAGCACCACATAAGCAAAAAGAAAAAAGCCGGAAGTGGCGCTGTGGCTCAAGTTGAAGAGCTGAGGGACAGCGCCCAGGCCCAGAGTTAAGGCCCCATGACTGGACCCTCCCCCCCCCCAAAAAAAAAAAAAGTTGATACTTGGGCCACTTGTTAGAAAACTTGTCTAAGTATGTTTTAAACAATTAGAGTCCGTGGATTTTTGAGCTATTAACATTTCAATTGTTTCTTTTTTTTAATTGTACTAGAGATCTCTCCAGAGCCTTGTGCATGCTCAGCCAGCCCTTTTTGTCTGAACTGTATTTCCAGTCCCAGGCGCCCCTGAGGTTTTGAACTCAGGGCCTTGTGTTTGGTAGACAGGCACTGTCCACTTGAGCAATGAAGCCAGTTCTTCCTTTGGTTATTTGTCAGGTAGGGTCTCACATTGTTTTATTTTTGGTCAGTCATGGGGCTTGAACTCTGGGCCTGCCTGGGCACTGTCCCTGAGCTCTTCAGCTCAAGGCAAGCACTCTACCACTTGAGCCACAGTGCCACAACTGGTTTTCTGGTGGTTAATTGGAGATAAGAGTCTCATGGAGGCTGGGGGTTTAGCCCAGCGGAAGGGCGCCCGTCCGGCGCGTGCAAGGCCCTGGGTTCGGTCCTCAGTCCTGGAAAAAAAACAAAACAAAAAAACCTAAATTAAAGGGCTGGGAAGGTGGCTCAGTGGTAGAGAGCTTGCCTTGCATGCATGAGGCCCTGGGTTCGATTCCTTAGCACCACATAAACACAAAAACAAAAACAGCTTTGCCGGGCGCTGGTGGCTCACGTCTGTAATCCTAGCTACTCAGGAGACTGAGATCTGAGGATCGCGGTTCAAAGCCAGCCCGGGCAGGAGAGACCGTGAGACTCCTATCTCCAATAAACGACCATAAAAAAACCCGGAAGTGGCGCTGTAGCTCAAGTGGTAGAGCGCTCCCTTTGAGCTGAAGAGCTGAGGGACAGCGCTCAGGCCCAGAGTTCAAGCCCCATGACAGACAAAAAAAAAAAAAGAGTCTCATGGACTTTCCTGCCCAGGTTGGCTTTGAACCACGATCCTCAGATCTCAGCTTCCTGAGCAGCTAGGATTACAGGCGTGACATTTTTGACCTGGGCACATCTTGGACCATGATCATCTTACCTACAAGTTCCTACTTAGTGGGACCCATAGATGCACACTACCATATCCTGATCATTGAGATAAGGACATTGGTAACTTTTTGCTTGGGCTGGCCTTGAATAGTGATCCTCCTAATCTTTGCTTCCCTGAGTAGCGAGTCAGTATGTCTTGCTAGGTCAAGTATATATTCTTGTGCAGTGTAGGAATTTGAACGCAGGGCTTCATATTTGCTAGGCAGGTACTCCGCCTCTTATTTGAGTCATACCCCCAATCATGTATTTTTGATGAGAACAATGTTAGCAAATTCGTACTAGAAGGTGTGAAAGATTTATTATGTATTAAAGAATAAAGTACCATTAAAATTATACTAACAATTGATATGTTGATACTTTAGATACTTTGGTTAGATAAAATTTATCTCCCATTCCTGTCTTTATTTCATTCTTGCAGTGGGTTCTCACTATATTGCTCTCACTGGCCTTGAACTCCAGAGTCATATCACCACAGTGTCATGAGTAGCTAGGATTAGAGATTTTTTACCACTGTGTGAAACAAAGTTTTATTATTTTGCCTTGCTGGGCATTGAACCTTGGGCTCCATGCATGGTAGACAAATGCTCTATAGCTGAGCAGTGTCTGTGCAGTATCTGTGGCCTGTGGGGCCCCCCCCTTTTTTTAGAAGTGTGACTAGGAAAAGTGTGGCTCTCAGTGATGTACCCTGGTACAGGGTACAGGATGTGTATTCTCTGCTTGATAATCTTGCCAGTGGGTCCTCTTGGCCTCTGTGTTTTATTCACCTTGCTTCAGAAATGGCTTTGTGTTTGCATGAGAGTTGTGATTAGACTTCATGCTCAAAGTTCGTGCAGATGTGATGGCATAGGTAGAACTGTGTGTGCGATGGGGTATTAGGGGAATAAGCTTATAGTGTTTAAATATGCTAGATTGAAACCATAATGTAAGTGTGTTAATGTGTTAAACTAATGGATTTCAAAACATTTTCTTCTTTTAAAGTCCACGTCCCTTGAAGTTCACTGAAAAGCCTAGGCCAGGTGTTCAAATGCTTTGTTCTTCTTTTAGTGTTGGTAAGGTAACTTTATTTCTTAACTTTATTTTAGCATTTATTAAATAACCATATTACTGCTAAGAACCTTTATCAGAAAGATGATAAATGGCTTCAAATCTTCATTTTATTAGACAATATGAGTTAGCCTTTTTCTTGTCTTCTACCTTATTCAGATTTCCTCTGATTTCTAGAAGTAGTGACAATGGTAAAACCGAAGCTCAAGGTGTCCACATAATCTCCTCTGTCGAGGTCCTGTGTGGAATATTCTCGTATCTGTGGTTTTAAGTCTACTTATTTTTGTACATTTAAATTTGTTTTCCACACCAACTTTGGTGACATTACTTGTTTTTCTTATTTATTTATCTATTTATTTATTTTTGTGCCAGTACTGGGGCTTGGACTCAGGGCTTGGGTGTTTTTCCTTTTTCTCACAAGGTTGGTACTCTACCTCTTGAGTCACATCTCTACTGCAGCTTTTTAGTAGTTAACTGGAGATAGGAGTCTTACGGACTTCTCTTCCTCTGGTTGCTTTGAACCACATAGCTGGGATTATAGATGTGAGCCACTGGCCCCTGGCACCATTTTTCTTTTCTTGTACAGCAAACTTTTGTGGTGTTCTTTTTAACGGAAGGAGAATCTGAAATGCTAGTAAGCTGTGTATTCCAAAGCAAGATATAAATATGTAAAATTGTTTGGAAACCAGAATCTCCCTTTTCCTGTTATTTTAGAACTCTGGCAGTTAAATGGACACTTTACTTCTTTTATATAGCAGAACGAGACTGAACATTTGGATTCGCTTTCTTAACAAAGCAACAAGTATAACTGAATCTATATAATGAGCTAGAAAATGGATTTATTGAGATAAATTGAGTTTTTCTGTGTTTCAGTAAAGAAACTGATTCAAATACTTGTTACAATCTGAATGTTTAAACCTTAATATTTTTATTTCAGGTGGTATGTTTTTGGCTACAGGTAGTACTGATCATGTTATCAGAATGTATTTTTTGGGTTTTGAAGCACCTGAAAAAATCGCAGAACTTGAAAGCCATACTGTAAGCATTCATATTTTAAAATTCTGTAGATTAATTGGCTAGTAGTCGTATTATTGCTAAGATTATCATTCTGATTTATTTTAGCTCACTTTCTACTTAGCAAATGAATTTTAATAAGTTTTTTTTTTTTTTGTCGGTGGTGGGGCTTAAACTCTGGGTCTGGGCTCTGTTCTTCAGCTCTAGGCCAGCTCAAGGCCAGCGCTCTACCATTTGAGTCTCAGCACCACTTCCAGTTTTCTGGCAGTTAATTGGAGATAATAGTCTCACAGACTTTTCTGCCCAGGCTGGCTTTGAACCGATATCCTCAGATCTCAGCTAGGATCAGTAGCCTAGCTCAGATCAGTAGCCTCCAGCACCCAGCTTGTTAATATTTTGAGACCAGATCTTATGTACTTCAGACTTACCAGACACTTGAGATCCTCCTGACTCAACCTTCTGAATAATGGGTTTAAAGGCATGAACTACCATGTCTGGCTTATTTTAAAGTTATTTGTGGCTGTTTTGTTAGATTTATAGTATTAAGTCATAGTTGCATTTCTAAGATGAATCATTCATTCTGAATCTCATTTTTTCTCACTGTAATGAAGATTGAACCCAACTCTCAGGCATGCTGGCCACTGTAACACTAAGCTATATCCCAGCCCTGATTGTGGTGGTATTCTCATTGTCACTGAAGCATATTCAACAATTGAAATTTTAATTAAAATTTTGAAGCCAGGCGCTGGTGGCTCACACCTGTAATCCTAGCTACACAGGAGGCTGAGATCTGAGGATTGTGGTTTAAAACCAGCTGGGGCATAATGTCCCCAAGAAACACTAATCTTCAGTTAACCACTCAAAAACCGGTAGTGGAGCTGTGGCTCAAAGTGGTAGTATTATTTATTTATTTAGTCATGGGGCCTGAACTCAAGGCCTAAGTGCTGTCCCTTAGCTCTTTTGCTCAAGGCACCACTTGAGCCACAGCACCACTTCTGGTTTTTAAGTGATTAATTGGTGGTAAGAGTCTCACAGAGATTTTTCTGCGTGGGCTGGCTTCAAACTGTGATTCTCAGATCTCAGCATCCTGAACAGTTACAACTATAAGCATGAGCCACTAGTGCCTGGCTTTTAATTTTATTTCATATTTATAAAAATGAAAATGTACAAGATGGATTTTTAAATTCTTTTCTGGACAAGCACATAGATATGCTTTAAATGATGGGTTGTCATTGACACTCAGAGTAACAGGTTGAGAATAGTCTGATTTTACAGTGGTTATTTACTGAAAAACCTGATCATAACAATTGGTTCAACTGGGTTTGTTTCCAGTTGTCTATGACCTAGCAATAAGCAGTAGTAGTATTCTACGATATAGGTCAGGATCTGCTCATCTTTTTCTCTAGAAAGTTCTAAGGAAGACAGTTGTATTCAGAAGCTATTTGATACACAGACTCAGGGCACTTTATATAGTTTTTTTTTTTTTTGTTTTGTTTTTTTGTCGGTCGTGGGGCTTGAACTCTGGGCCTGGGCGTTGTCCCTCAGCTCCTCAACTCAAGGCGAGCGCTCTACCACTTGAGCTACAGCACCACTTCCAACTCAGGGCACTTTAAAAGAAAAGATTTTTTTGCCTATAAGTAATCAAAGTGATAACGCTTTGAATTTCTTCAAATATTTTATCATTGTTCACATATCACTCCCTTTCCTTTCTAGAATGTCTTAGTAGTCTTGTTAGATATCTAATTGACATTACATTTAAAGGCACACTGCATGTAGAACAGCTGTAAATCTTTTGTTAAATCAGTTACTTCTAACACTCATATTTTAAGTTGAATTTGTAATCTGTGTAGATAACCATTTTCTTGCATTTTGTTTTTTTTTCCTCTTTAGGATAAAGTGGATAGTATACAATTTTGTAATAATGGTGACCGGTAAGTGTGTGTTTTGGTGTTTGTATGTTTACAAGGAAATAGGATACAGTACACACTAGTGAAATTAATACATCAGTTTGCTTTCTCCCTTTTTTGTATTTAATTGACAGATAATAATAGTATATATTCATAGGGTACAGTATTTGTGTGTGTGTGTATTTTTTTTTTTCCCCAGTCTTAGGGTTTGAAATCAGGGTCTGGGCACTGTCCCCTGAGCTTCTCCATGCTCAATGCTAGTACTCTACTACTTGAGCCAGTGCCAATTCCGGCTTTTTCTGTGTATGTGATACTGAGGAATGGAACGCAGGGCTTCATGCATGCTAGGCAAGCACTCTACCACTAAGCCACATTCCCAGCCTAAGGAAGTGATTTTTTTTTTTTGTCAGTTGTGGGGCTTGAACTCTGGGCCTGGACACTGTTCCTCAGCTCTTCAGCTCAAGGCAAGCGCTCTACCGCTTGAGCTACAGTGCCACTTCCGGTTTTCTAGTGGTTTATTGGAGATAGGAGTCTCAAGGTCTTTCCTGCCCGGACTGGCTTTGAACCACGATCCTCAGCTCTCAGCCTCCTGAGTAGCTAGGATTATAGGTGTGAGCCACCGGCGCCCGGCTAAGGAAGTGATTTTTAAGAAAGGAGGAAGGAGCCGGGCGCCGGTGGCTCACGCCTGTAATCCTAGCTACTCAGGAGGCTGAGATCTGAGGATCACGGTTCAAAGCCAGCCCGGGCAGGAGAGACCATGAGACTCCTATCTCCAATAAACCACTAGAAAACTGGAAGTGGCGCTGTAGCTCAAGTAGTAGAGTGCTCACCTTGAGCTGAAGAGCTGAGGGACAGCGCCCAGGCCCAGAGTTCAAGCCCCACGACCGACAAAAAAAAAGAAAAGAGGAAGGAATGGGAATGTGATAAGGAGATGGGTTTGATTGGGATATGTCGTATACATGTATGGAAATACCACAAATATACATGCTAATTATCTTTTTCCAGCTAGGTGCCAGTGGCTCATGCCTGTAATCCTGACTACTCAGTAGGCTGAGATTGAGGATTACAGTTTAAAGGCAGCCCAGCAGGAAAGTCCATGAGACATTTATCTCCAGTTAACTACCAAAAAAGTTGGATGGAAGTAGAGCTGTATCTTAAGTGGTAGAGTGCTAGCTTCAAGCAAAAAATCTCAAGGACATCATCTGGGTTCCTACTTCAAAACCCAGGACATACACACACACACACACGTCTCTGTCTACAGTTGTTGTGATAATATTCTGCAATATGTCATTTTATTCTGATGGTTATAGTACTGGGGTTTGAACTCAGCGCCTGTGCTAGTTAGGCAGACAATGTACCACAGAGCTCCTCCCAGTCCTGGTGATATTAATTATAGCCTGTGTTGACAAGTATGTGAGTAGACTTACCTTTTTCTTCATATTTTAAGCTTCCTGAGTGGTAGCAGAGATGGAACAGCACGGATTTGGAGATTTGAGCAGTTAGAGTGGAGAAGCATTTTGTTGGATATGGCTACCAGAATTTCAGGGTAAGTTGAAATTATTACAAGTAGATGTGGCATAGTTTTCTCTCTATAGATGTTGGCTATTTGTTGAGGGGATTAACCTGTTATAAGAAACCATGGAATTGGGCTCTGGAGGCACATGCCTGTAATCCTAGCTACTCAGGAGTCTGAGATCTGAAGATCTTGATTCAAAGCCAGCATGGGCAAGAATGCCTATGAAACTTTTTCTTTTCTTTTTTTTTTTGTCGGTCATGGGGCCTGAACTCTGGGCCTGGGTGCTGTCCCTCAGCTCTTTAGCTCAAGGCTAGTGCTCTACCACTTGAGCCATAGCTCCACTTCTGGCTTTTTTCTGCTTATGTGGTACTGAGGAATCGAACCCAGGGCCTCATGCATGCAAGACAAGCACTGTACCACTGAGCCACCTTCCCAGCCACTGAAACTCTTTAATAAACTACTCAGGAAAAGCTGTTAGTGGTAGCTTAAGTGCTAGCATGCCAGCCTTGCAAAAAAGAAGCTAAGGGACAATGCTCAGGCCCTGAGTTCAATCCTCAGGGCTGCCACCAACAAAAACAAAAAGCAGTGGTCTAAGTGAATTACTATGTTCTGAATATCTGTTCCATATATCTAAACTCACGTAAGGAAGTCTGTAATGAATTTTCATTACCAGATTGGCCTCTTTCTTAGGCTTTGCATTTAAAACTTCCTTAACAGCCAGTTGTTTACACCTGTAATCCTAGCTACTTAGAGGCTGAGATATGACGATCACAGTTCACCGGCATCTTGGGCAAGAAAGTCTGTGAGACTCTTTATTATCAATTAATCACAGAAAAAGCTGGAAGTGGGGCTATGGCTTACATGGTAGAGTGCTAGCCTTGAGCAAAAGGAACAGTGCCAAGGCCGAGTTCAAGTCTCAGGGCTGACAAAAGCAAATAAAAAACCTTTTGAGTTAGAAAATAAAATGGAAAAATAAGTTTGACCAGTGTGACAATTTTACTCTTTTTTTTTTTTTTTGGGTTGGTTGGGACTTGAACTCTGGGCCTGGTCTCTGTCCCTCAGCTCCTCAGCTCAAGGCAAGTGCTCTGCTATTTGAGCCACAGTACCACTTTTGGTTTTCTGGTGGTTTATTGAATATAAGAGTCTCACGGGCTGGGAAGGTGGCTCAGTGGTAGAGCACTTGCCTTGCATGCATGAGGCCCTGGGTTCGATTCCTCAGCACCACATAAGCAAAAAGAAAAAAGCCGGAAGTGGCGCTGTGGCTCAAGTGGTAGAGTGCTAGCCTTGAGCTGAAGAGCTGAGGGATAGCGCCCAGGCCCAGAGTTCAGGCCCCATGACTGGACCCCCCCCAGAAAAAAAGACAAAAAAAAAAAGAGTCTCACAGACTTTCCTACCCAGGCTGGCTTTGAACTGTGATCCTCAGATCTCAGTCTCCTGAGTAGCTAGGATTATATGTGTGAGCCACCAGCCTGGCCAATTTTACTCTTTTATGGTAGAAGTGTGTGTGTGTGTGTGTGTGTGTGTGTGTGTGTGTGTGTGTGTGTGTGTGTGTGTGTGTGTGTGTGTGTGTGTGTGTGTCTGGCCAATTTTACTCTTTTATGGTAGGTGTGTGTGTGTGTGTCTGGCCAATTTTACTCTTTTATGGTAGAAGTGTGTGTGTGTGTTTGGCCAATTTTACTCTTTTATGATAGAAGTGTGTGTGTGTGTATGTGTACACATGCATGTGTCCTGATACTAGGGCTTTAACTCAGGGCCTGGGTACTATCAGCTTTTTTCCTCAATGCTGGTGAGCGCTCTACTACATCTCTGCCACATCTCCACTTACGGCTTTTTGTTGGTTAAATGGAGTTAAGAGCTTGGGTCTCACAGATTTTTCCTCCCCAGCTGGCTTTGAACTGCGATCATCTGATCTCAGCCTCCAGAATAGCTTGGATTACAGGTGTGAGCCACTGGTGCCTAACAAGGATTTTTGCAAAACTAGCTAAGAGTTATGGATGGTAATAAGTTAATCACACTTTATTTAAAACAAAAATACATTAGTGGAAATTTTGCATGCCAAAATTTTGAACTCTAAAATGGTTTTGAAGGTGACTTTGTCAGTCTTTGGTCCTGTGAAACTTTCAGATATGTTTTAGGACGTTTCAAGATAGTGGACGTTTTAAAGCTTATTTTGGTTTGTATATATGGAAGACAGCCTAGGTGGTGGAAATCATACTTATTGAGGAGTCATGACTTGAATACCACTTAAAAGGTGTTTTTTTTTTTTTGTTGGTTGTGTGGCTTGAACCCTGGGCCTGGGCTCTGTACCTCAGCTCTTCAGCCCAAGGTGAGTGCTCTACCACTTGAGCCACAGCACCTCTTCCCGCTTAAGATGTTTTGAAATATTTAATATTTTGTAATCTTCATATTCTGAGCAAATGGAACTTCAGCACTAGCCAAGTGTGTCTGGCCTGGAGGGAGTACTTCCAATGCTGTCATTCCTGTGGTTACGGTGCAAGTAATAGAGATCTCTTCATAAATTTTACTTTAGTGCTTGATGTATACATCTAACTTAATGCTTTCTCATACCAATCCTTTTGAGAATTTTTGTCTTGAAATTACATCTTAGCTGGGTGCTGGTGGCTCATGCTTGTAATCCTAGCTACTCAAGAGGCTGAGATCTGAGGATAGCTGTTTGAAGCCAGCCTGGGCACAAAAGTGTGAGACTTTTTTTCTTATTTTGTCCTAGGTTTTCAACTCTGGGCCTGGGCACTGTCCCTGAGATTTTTAGCTCAAGGAGAGTGCTCTACCACTTGAGCCACAGCGTCACTTCTGGTTTTCTGGTGGTTAATTGGAGATGAGTCTCAAAGACTTTCCTGTCTGGGCTGGCTTTACACTGCAATCCTCAGATCTCAGCCTCCTGAATATCTAGAATGACAGGTGTGAGCCACCAGTGCTCAGCTCTGCGACTCTTATCTCCAGCAAACTAATTAGAAAAAGCTGGAAGTAGCACTGTGGCTCAAGTGGTAGAATGCTAGGCTTGAGCACAGTCTTGGGGACCGTGCCCAGGCCCAGAGTTCAAGCCCCAGGAAGTAAAAGCATGAGTATATTTCTTTTTTTTTTTTTGTCGGTCGTGGGGCTTGAACTCTGGGCCTGGGCATTGTCCCTCAGCTCTTCAGCTCAAGGCGAGCGCTCTACCACTTGAGCTACAGTGCCACTTCCGGTTTTCTGGTGGTTTTTATTGGAGATAGGAGTCTCACGGTCTCTCCTGCCCGGGCTGGCTTTGAACCGCGATCCTCAGATCTCAGCCTCCTGAGTAGCTAGGATTACAGGCGTGAGCCACCAGCGCCCGGCATGAGTATATTTCTTGTAGAACAGTGTCACTCCCTCCCTCATTATCTCCCACCTTCCTTCCCCCCGACTCCTTTCCCCAACCCTAAGTTGTAAAGTTCATTTCCAACAAAGTGTCTTGTGAGTATTGCTGTTGTATTGGTTCACCCTTTGTCCTTTGTCTCACCATTTCTGTGATTCCCCTTCCCTTCCCCAAATCAGATAAACCTATGTACAAAACAAAGGGCACCGAAATCAAACAAGGCCTTACAAAAGCTACCAGCACAACCATGTTCATTGCAGTATTATTTACCATAGCTAAGATATGAAACCAACCCAGATTCCCCTCAGTAGGGTATATATGCACAATGGAGTTCTAACAACTTTTCTATTAAAAAATTTTCCAGAAATGACAGTTTTCTCAGCATCTCTAAGACTACAAGTACAGAACTGCAGATCCATCTTAGACCTGCTCAATGATAACAGGGTTTAAATAAGTAACTTCTGGACCCATACACGGTTCCAGAACCTAACAGTAATTTTAAATTGACCTCCACGTCTTCTCAAAGGGGAGGATTGGGTCCATGTCCTCTTTTAGTCCTTGCTGGGCCTCCTGAGGACAAAGTTTATAGTTAACTGCTTTTAGCCAGGCTGTAGTACTGTCTATGTGATGAGAGCAACGTGTTTGGAAAGGCTTTAATTAAGGTCAAGAAGAAAGTCTTGAGTCTTATTTCCTTTGATTTCTGTATTGTTCTGATTCCATGGCCAGTTTCAGTGGACTTACCTTTTGTTCTGTTGCCGTGGTGCATGCATTCCATATTCTTAAAGCTGTTTCTTCATTAAGGAAAATATTCTACCTGCCTATAATCTTTAGATTGCGTGTATGATTTCAGCACAAATTAGTGTCCTTCTCCTCCCCAGTTTACTATTGACTGTCCTATTTTGCAGACAACTCTCCTCTCCCCCTTCCCACATACCACTTTTTGTAAAGACCACTTTTGTAGGGGCTGGGAAGGTAGCTCAGTGGTAGAGCGCTTGCCTTGCATGCATGAGGCCCTGGGTTCGATTCCTCAGCACCACATAAGCAAAAAGAAAAAAAGCCGGAAGTGGGCGCTGTGCTCAAGTGGTAGAATGCTAGCCTTGAGCTGAAGAACTAAGGGACAGCGCCCAGGCCCAGAGTTCAGGCTCCAGGACCGGACCCTAAAAAAAAAAAAAGACCACTTTTGTAAAGACACTGTAGGTCCAGCCTTTTCTCTTCTGACAAGAGGCCCATTGTAATAATGAAATGCACATTTATAGTTAAACCATTCCAGTGTGAGGTATTTAATGTAGACCATGGGGATACAAAGATTACTTTTCTGTCTTACCAAAATTTCATGTCTTTTTTTTTTTTTTTTTTGTCGGTCGTGGGGCTTGAACTCTCGGCTTGGGTGCTGTCCCTGTGCTCTTCAGCTCAAGGCAAGCGCTCTACCACTTGAGCCACAGCATCACTTTCGGTTTTCTGGTGGTTCATTGATGATAAGAGTTTCATGGACTTTCATGCCTGGGCTAGCTTTGAACTGTGATCCTCAGATCTCAGCCTCCTGAGTAACTAGGATTACAGGTGTGAGCCACTGGCACCTGGCTAACATTTCATGTCTTTTCTGGAGAAATAGTTGAAGTGTTAGTGTTAGATTTACCATATTGAGAAGGGAATAATTAAAAAATGGTAAGGAGAAAAATCAATACTTTCCAAAGCAGCACCGGTGTTGTAAAGTCTCATTTAGTGCACAGAACTGCTGCTAAATTATTCCCTGTCCCTCTGGTTTTCCTTAATCTGTTTCTAGAAAATTATGAGTCAACCTTTTATAGGGTTGGTCAAATAAGCACATGAAGTGATTGCCTTAGTTTTAATTCCATGGGTAAGGGGTTATATTTCTTTGTAGCCTATCATCCAAATGATTTTATATATTATATGCTGTTTTTCATTAGGGACCTTTCTTCAGAAGAGGAAAGATTTATGAAACCTAAAGTAACAATGATAGCTTGGAATCAAGATGACAGCATTGTTGTCACAGCTGTGAACGATCATGTCCTGAAAGTATGGGACTCTTATACTGGACAGCTGCTTCATAACTTACTGGTGGGTAATTTCTGTTGCATTTATGTATTTATTTTTTTCTGTTTTTAAGTAGTTGGACAAAGGGGATTCAGCTTAGCATATCGTTTGTGTGTGCAGCACATGTTGAGCATAGCTGCTCCTTCCCGTCATCCCACCTCCTTTCCCATTCCTACCCAGATCATGCTTCAGAACGCAGTAGATTTTATACGGTATATCAGAATTTTCAAACTCTTATTTCTGGAACCATAAAATTTGTGAGCAGGTGTCTCATTTATATAATCAATTGAGTAGGAATTTTGATATATAATAATGTATGTAATGTCACTAGTACATTTTTGAAGCTCTTAAATTATATGAAAATGTGTTTTTTTTTTTTTTTGTTTAATTTCACCTTACAACTTGCAAACTCTTAATGTTATGACTTTATTAAATAAAGGGACATGCTGATGAAGTATTTGTTTTGGAGACCCATCCCTTTGATTCCAGAATTATGTTATCTGCAGGACACGATGGCAGCATATTTATATGGGACATAGCTAAAGGTGTCAAGATGAAACATTATTTTAATATGGTGAGTGAAGTCGGGATGTCTTTATGCTATGCTGGCGTTTGTGCAGAGTACTTGAACTGTTAGGCTCAGCCATAAGTGTATTAATGGGGCTGGGAAGGTGGCTCAGTGGTAGAGCGCTTAGCTTGTAATGCATGAGGCCCTGGGTTCGATTCCTCAGCACCACATAAGAAAAAAGCTGGAAGTGGTGCTGTGGCTCAAGTGGTAGAGCGCTAGCTTTGAGCTGAAGAGCTGAGGGACAGCGCCCAGGCCCAGAGTTCAGGCCCCACGACCGGACCCAAAAAAAAAAAATAGGGCTGGGAAGGTGGCTCAGTGGTAGAGCACTCGCCTTGCATGCTCAAGGCCCTGGGTTCGATTCCTCAGCACCACATAAGCAAAAAGAAAAAGCTGGAAGTGGCGCTGTGGCTCTAGTGGTAGAGCGCTAGCCTTGAGCTGAAGAGCTGAGGGACAGTGCCCAGGCCCAGAGTTCAGGCCCCACGACCGGACCCGAAAAAAATAAAAAATAAAAATAAAAATGTATTAATGTACTTTAGTAGTTTTCTAGAAGGCAGGCTACTCAAAGCCTACTCAGTATCTGGCAGCCGCCATATATGTGTACTCACATAAAATTCTGTGTAGTTGATTTTGAGAAAGATGTTCTTTTTTGTGGTACTGGGCTTTGAAGTCATGGCTTTGTGTTTGCTCTCTGCGGGAGCTGTAACACTGAATCCCACCATAGCCCCAAGAGAAACATTTTCTGAAGTTATCTTATTAACTTTTTATGTGTCACTTATGTGTCTATCAGTGGCTAAATTGGTAAATTTATGGTAATTATGCAATCTTGCCAATTGAAATTATAGAAATATTTTATAAAGTATAAAAATAATTACTGCTAAAATACTGTAGTGTAACTAAGTAGTATTTGTTACATATCCCTAGGTGATAGTTAGAATTCAACCTTTCAACTTTGTGGGTTTTTTTTTTTTTTTTTTTTGGTTGGTCATGGGGCTTGAACTCTGGGCCTGGGCGCTATCCTTGCGCTCTTCAGCTCAAGGCTAGCACTCTAACGCTTGAGCCACTGCTCCACTTCCTGTGGTTTTTTTTTTTTTTTTTTTGATAGCAAAATACTCCATTGTGTTTTTAGGGTTTCTCTCATATACTCAGAGTATGATAAAGAAAGCATCAGGTCCAGATTCATATTTTATCAGTTCTAATTGAAGCCAATTCATGAACAGAATTGCAGAAGCAAGTACAGGAAGCCCAGTGCACTTACTTATGGGTTTGTTGCACACAGTTTTGACCCAAGTGCAATTTGAAGTGCTGGTGGCTCAGGGATATAATCATAGTTACTCAGGAGGCTTGAGATATGAGGATCATACTTTTGAATCCAGCCAGACAAGAAAGTCCATGAAGCTCTTTTATCTCCAGTTAAACAGTAAAAAGCTGCAAGTGGAGCTGTGACTCATGGCAGAATGCTAGCCTTGAGCAAAAAAGGGACAGTGCCGAGCCCTGAGTTCAGCCCTATTACTAGAACAAAAAAATAAAATAGGGACTGGGAAGGTGGCTCAGTGGTAGAGTGCTTGTTTTGTATGCATGAGGCCCTGGGTTTAATTCCTCAGCACCACATAAGCAGAAAAAGCAGGAAGTGGTGCTGTGGCTCAAGTGGTAGAGCACTAGCCTTGAGCTGAAGAGCTGAGGGACAGAACCCAGGCCCAGAGTTCAGGACCCACGACCGACAAAAATAAATAAGTAAACTTAAAAAAATAGAACAAAGGAAAAAAATAATTCTTAGTTATCCTGTGTCTTTACATAGCAAAAGCACTTGGCAAAAGATTGGGCCTAACTTTTTCCCTTTGGGTTTTCTAGATCGAAGGGCAAGGACATGGAGCTGTATTTGACTGTAAGTTTTCACAGGATGGACAGCATTTTGCCTGTACAGATTCTCATGGGCACCTTCTGATATTTGGTTTTGGATGCAGCAAACCATATGAAAAGGTCATTTTCTTTCTTTTTTTTTTTTTTCAAATTCTTTATTGTGATTAAATGATTAAAGAATTTCATAAATTTTACAGTACTGTGGGATAGTGATGCTTAAAGTCACAAAGACATTCTTTCATGGGGCAAATTGTCTGTTGTGGTCTGTAAAGTTTATGAGTTCTATGGGCTTTGACAATACAGTTATCTCTTTGAGGTGTACATTCCTTTCTTTTTGCATTGTGTCAGCTGTTCCCTCTTTCTTGCTCATTCCCTCCCTCCCATCGCTGCCATTGAGTTTCTTAGTTCATTTTGATCAATGACCAGTGCAGCTGATGGGTCCTGCTGTTGTATGTTTTCCCTGATTCCCTGTGTCCTCCTCGTTTCCCGCTGGTGTGCACATATATACCATATGTGTGATGAGCAGCATGGGGTTATTTAGTAGTGATTCAACCAGATGAGTGGAAGTGCTTTGTTTCTCAAGTCTTGTTTACTTTGTTTACTTACATTTTGGATTTAACATCCACTTATCATGGAGACCATGTGCTGTTTGTCTCTTTCCTCTTGGCTTACCTCTCTTGGCTTACCTCACTCAACATGATTTCTTCTAGCTCCATCCATTTCCCTGTAAATGACATTATTTTGTCCTTTCTAATGGCTGCATAATATTCCATTGTGTAGAGATACCATAATTTTTGAATTCATTCATCTGTGGTGGGGCATCTGGGTTGTTTACATTCCTGGGTATTGTGCTGCAATAAACATGGAGGTGCATGTGTTCTTGTATCTTGGTTCCTGTTCAGGATAGATGCCTAGGAGTGTTATGTCTGGGTCATAGGGAAGGTCAATATTTAGCTTTCTGAGGACCCTCCAGAGTGCTTTCCAAAATAGTTGTATAAGTGTACATTCCCACCAGCAGTGTAATAGGGTTCCTTTTTTCCACATCCCCTCCAGCATTTGTAGTTGGCTGACTTTAGGATGTGGGCCATTCTGACTGGGGTAAGATGGTATCTCAGGGTGGTTTTTATTTATTTGCATTTCCTTTACAACCAGGGATGGTGAAAATTTCCTCCTGTGTTTCTTTGCCATTTTTTTTTTTTTTTTGGGTCCGGTTGTGGGGCCTGAACTCTGGGCCTGGGTGCTGTCCCTCAGCTCTTCAGCTCAAGGCTAGCACTCTACCACTTGAGCCACAGCGCCACTTCCGGCTTTTTTCTTTTTGCTTATGTGGTACTGAGGAATTGAACCCAGGGCCTCATGCATGCAAGGCAAGCGCTCTACCACTGAGCCACCTTCCCAGCCCTTCTTTGCCATTTTTATCTCTTCTTCTGAGAAGCCTCTCTTTAGTTCTCTTGCCCATTTAGTAATTGGTTTGTTGGGTTTGGGAGGGATTTAGTTTCTTGAGTTCCCTGTATATACTGGATATTAACCCCTTGTCTGATATATTGCTGGTAAATATTTTTTCCCAGGTAGTTGGTTGTCTTTCTAGCTTGGTTGTTATGTCTTCAGCTGTGCAGAAACTTTTTATTTTAAGGTAGTCCCATTTGTCGATTCTCTCTCCAATTTGTTGTGACCCTGGAACTCTGTTCAGGAAGTTTCCTGCCTGTGCCTTTATAAGTTCAAGTGTCTCTCCTACTCTGTCCTGCAGTAGTTTCAGAGATTCAGGTTTGAGTTGATGTTAGTGCATGGTGACAGGCTAGGGTCCACTTTTAGTTTTCTGCATGTGGCTGCCCAGTTTTCCCAGCACCAGTAGTTGAAGAGGCTGTGCTTCTTCCGCTGTACATCTTTGGCTCCTTTGTCAAATATCAGCTGACTGTAGGCATGTGGTTTTATTTCTGGATCTTCTATTCCATTGGTCTTCGGATCTGTTTTTGTGCCAGTACCAGGTTGTCTTTGTTAGGGCTCTATAGTAGAGTTTGAAGTCCAGCATTGAGATCTTTCCCATGTTGTCTTTTTTTGCCTAGAATTGTTTTGGCTATTCTAGGTCTTTTGTTGTTCCCTATGCATATTTGGACTGTTTTTTGTATTTCAGAAATGTATGTCATTGGGATTTTAATAGGTATTGCATTGAATTTGTATATTAATTTTGGCAGCATGGCCATTTTCACTATATTGAATCTGCCTATCCAAGAGCATGGAAGGTCTTTCCATTTCCTGGTGTCCTCTGTAATTTCTTTCTTTAAGTTTTTATAGTTTTCATTAAATAGTTCTTTTACATCTTTGGTTAGGTTAATTCCTAAATATTTTATTTTTTGGGAGGTTCTTGTGAATGGGGGTTGTTTCCTTTATTTCCCTTTCTGCTTGTACATTCTTGATGTACAGGAAGGCAACTGTTTTTTGTGGGTTGATATTGTATACTGCTACTTTGCCAAAGTGGTTTATAAGTTCTCTAAGAGTTTGGGGGTGGAGTTTTTGGGATCATGGAGGTATACTATTATGTCATCTGTGAAAAGGGATAATTTAACTTCTTCCTTCCTTGTGTGGATTTCTTTAATGTCTTTTTCTTATTGCTCTGGCTAAGGAGCCCAGGACTATATTGAAGAGGAGTGGAGAAGGTGGACATCCTTGCCTTGTTCCTGATTTTAGGAGAATTGGTTGTAGTTTTTCCCCACTAAGTATAATATTGGCTATTGGTCTGCATGTATGGCTTTTATTGTTTTAAGGAATGTTTCTTCTATTCCTCTTTTCTCCAGAGCTTTTTTTTTTTTTGGGTCTGGTCGTGGGGCCTGAACTCTGGGCCTGGGCGCTGTCCCTCAGCTCTTCAGCTCAAGGGTAGCCCTCTACCACTTGAGCCATAGCGCCACTTCCGGCTTTTTTCTTTTTGCTTATGTGGTGCTGAGGAATCGAACCCAGGGCCTCAGGCATGCAAGGCAAGCACTCTACCACTGAGGCACCTTCCCAGCCCTCTCCAGAGCTTTTAACATGTAAGAATCTTATCAAAAGCCTTTTCTGCATCAAAGGAGATAATCATGTGGTTCTTGACCTTGGATCTGTTGATGTGTTGGATTACATTTATTGATTTACGTATGTTAAACCATCCCTGCATCTCTGGGATGAAGCCTACTTGGTTGTAGTGTATGATTTTTTTTTTATGTGTTTCTGGATTCCGTTAGCTAGAATTTTGTTAAGAATCTTTGCATCTGTGTTCATCAAGGAGATTGGTCTGTAGTTTTTTTTTATTTGGGTCTTTGCCTTGTTTGGGGATGTGTGATATTGGCGTCGTAGAATGAGTTTGGGATAGCTCCCTCCTTTTCTATTTCTCTGAAGAGTTTGAGGAGTATGGGTATTAGTTCTTTAAAGGTCTTACAGAATTCCATTGTGAGTCCATCTGGTCCTGGGCTTTTCCTTGTTAGAAGACTTCTGATTGCTTCCTGTATCATCTTGTAAGATACTGGCTTATTTAATTGATTTATTTCTTCTTTTGCTCAGTTTGGGCAACTTATATTTCTCTAAAAATGCATCCATTTCTGCTAGGTTTTCTTTCTTTGGAGAGTATAGCGTTTGGAAATAGTTCTTTATAATTGTTTGGATGTCTTGGGTATTTGTTGTGATTTTTTCCTGTGGCATCCCTAATCCTGTTAATTTGGGTTTCCTCTCTTCATAATTAATCTTGCCAAAGGTTCATTTTTTAATTTGTTTTTAAAAAACCCAGCTTTTTGTTTTATTAATTTTATTTATAATTTTCCTCTTCTCTATCTCATTAATTTCAGCTCTTAATTTGGTTATCTGGCTCCGTCTAGTAACTTTAGGTTCCATTTTTTTCATGTTTTTCTAGTAGTTTTAATTGCAACGTGAGATTATTTACTTGGGCTGTCTCTAATTTTTTGATGTGGGCACTGAGGGTGATAAATTTGCCCCTTGATACTGCTTTTGCTGTGTCCCACAGGTTTCTTTGTGATGTATATTCATTTTCATTGAATTGTAGGAATTTTTAAATTTCTTCTGTTGCTCAGGTATTGCTAAGAAGTGTGCTGTTCAATTTCCATGTATTTGAATAATTTCTACGGCATGCTTTGTTGTTGAGAACTAGCTTGATTCCACTATGGCCAGCTGGGATACAGGGGATTATGTCAGTCCCCTTGTATTTGCTTAAGTTCCTGGTATGAACTATGATATGGTCTATATTGAAGAAAGTTTCATGAGCTGCTGAGAAGAACGTGTACTGTGTCGTTTTAGGGTGAAAAATTCGGTATATGTCAGATAATTCTTCTTGAAATATCTCACTTAATTTGGTAGCTTTTTTGTCATCCTCTGGTTGGTAGACCTGTCCTTTGGTCAGAGTGGGGTATTAAAGTCTCCTAGTATTATCATATTTGCATCTATCTTATTCTGTAAGTTTGAGAATATTTGCTTAACATATTTGGGTGTTCCAGTGTTTGGGGAGTATAAGTTGATAATGGTAATATCCTCCTCTTGGATTGTTCCCTGTATTAATATGTAATGTCCTTCCTTGTCTTTTTGTATTGATTTTAATGAAACGTTTATTTTGTCAGATATCAGGATAGCTACTCCTGCTTTCGTTTTTTTTTTTTTTTTTGCGTCCGGTCCTGGGGCCTGAACTCTGGGCCTGGGCGCTGTCCCCCAGCTCTTCAGCTCAAGGCTAGCACTCTTATCACTTGAGCCACAGCGCCACTTCCAGCCTTTTTTCTTTTTTTGCTTATGTGGTGCTGAGGAATCGAACCCAGGGTCTCATGCATGCAAGGCAAGCACTCTACCACTGAGCCACCTTCCCAGCCCCCTACTCCTGCTTTCTTATTGGGGCCATTTGCTTGGTAGATCTTTCTCTCACCCTTTACCCTTGAGTTTGTTTGTATGTTTGGCTGGGAGGTGGGTCTCCTGAAGGCAACAGATGGATGGGTCTTGTTTTCTGATCCAATCTGCAGTTCTTTTTCTTTTGATTGATGAGTTGAATCCATTAATATTTATGGTTATTATATAGAGATGCATTGTGTTTCCTGTTAATTCCCTATTTTCCTAAGTTTTTCTTCTTTCCTTTCCTCCTGTGCTTACTAAGTTGGACTTCTAATAATACCTGTCTGATAAAATTCCCTGTTCTTGGTTGCTTTCTTCGTTTGTGTTCCCCCTCTTAGTAGTCTTTGTAATGCTGGCTTATTGTTCATCAATTCATTTAGTTTTTCTTTACTATAAAAAATTTTAGTTTCTCCATCAAATATGAATGCTAGCTTTGCTGGGTATATCAGTCTGGGCTGGCAGTTATTGGTTCTCAGGGCTCGGGTTATACTTTCCCAAGCCTTTCTTTCATTCAGTGTCTATGTGGAAAGATCTGCAGTGATTCTGATTTTTTTCCCATTGTAGTATAGCTCCTTTGTTTTTGCTGCATGCAAGATTGTTTCTGTATTGTTCAGACCTGTCATTTTTACTATAATGTGTCTAGAAGTGTTTCTCCTGGGATCCTGCTTGTTAGGTGTTCTGTATGCTTCTGTTATGTAGGTCAGATGTTCTCTTTTAAGATGGGGAAATTTTCATTGATAATCTTGTTGAATAGGTGTTGCATTCCCTTGCTTTGATATTCCTCACCTTTGTCCACTCCAATTATAGGAAGGTTAAATTTCTTGGCACTGTCTGCTTATTTTTGGATTTCCCTTTGGCATAATTTAAGTGGTTTTTCCATATCTGTGACTTCTTTTTTCCAGTTGCTGCATTTTGTCTTCTATAACGAAATTCCATTTCATTCACTCTGTTAACTGTGGCTTCCATTGTGGTTTGCATGGATTCTTTGTTGGTTCTCAGTAATAATCTCACCTCTTAGTCAGGTGTGTACTGCATTTATTTTTGCATATATCTCCTGTTTGAAATCCTGCATCTCTTTTGATATTTCTGTGTTCTTTACATTTCTGATCTATTTCTCCCTTTAATTCTTTTTTTGTTAGTCATGGGCTTTGAACTCTGGGCTTGGGCGCTATCCCTGCACTCTGCAGCTCAAGGCAAGTGCTCTACTGCTTGAGCCACAGCACCACTTCCAGTTTTCTAGTGGTTAATTGGATATAAGAGTCTCACAGACTTTTCTGCCTGGGCTGGCTTTGAACCATAATCCTCAGATCTCAGCCTCCCGAGTATCTAGGATTACAAGTGTGAGCCACTGGCTCCTGGCTCCCTTTAATTCTTGTGTTATTGTCTCCAGCATCTCTTAGATGTAGCATTTTTCTTCCATTCCTGCTTTTCTTCCACTGTGGCTGTTTCCTGAGTGGCTGCTGGCTTTTGGAGGTAGCTTGCTATCCTGGGTGCTGATAAACCTTGTAATTTGTCTTTGTGATTGAAAAGGTCATTTTTAATATTTTCTTGTACCATATAAAACAAATATGAGAGATGATTTGGAAAAAAGTTCACATCATACTTTCAGTTTGAATTACCTGTTTTATGATTTGCTTTCTTTCACAAGTAAACCTCACAGTGTCATTTTTTGAACTTTTTTTTTTTTTTAGATTCCAGATCAGATGTTCTTCCATACTGACTACCGACCACTGATTAGAGATTCTAATAATTATGTCTTGGATGAGCAAACTCAGCAGGCTCCTCACCTTATGCCTCCACCATTCTTGGTAGATGTAGATGGAAATCCTCATCCAACTAAGTATCAAAGATTAGTACCAGGTCGAGAAAATTCTGCAGATGAACATTTGGTTCCACAGCTAGGATACGTAGCCACAAGTAAGTTCAGAGTTGTGATCTTTTCCCACATAAAATTTATCAAAAACTCCGATATGAAAGTTCAGCAGTCATTAACAATTTTTGATACTTTTTTACTTCATCTTATAAGTACTATTTGAAAGAACTATTTGAAAATTAAGTTCTGACCGGGCACTGGTGGCCCACACCTGTAATCCTAGCTACTCAGGAGGCTGAGATCTGAGGATCATGGTTCAAAGTCAACCCCAGGCTGGAAAGTCCATGAGACTGTTTTTTTTTTTTTTTGGTTCTGGTCATGGGGCCTGAGCTCTGGGCCTGGGCTCTGACCCTCAACTCTTCAGCTCAAGGCTAGCGTTCTACCACTTGAGCCACAGAGTCACTTCTGGCTTTTTTCTTTTTGCTTACGTGGTGCTGAGGAATCAAACCCAGGGCCTCATGCATTCAAGGCAAGCACTCTTACCACTGAGCCACCTTCCCAGCCCTACTCCATGAGACTCTTATCTTCAGTTAACCACCAGAAAACCAGAAGTGACGCTGTGGCTCAACAGGTAGAGTGCTCGCCTTGAGCTGAAGAGTGCAGGGACAACGCCCAAGCTCAAGAGTTCAAACCCCACAACTCACCCAAAAAAAAAAAAAAAAAAAGAAAATTAAGGTCTGAATATCTCATGCCCATTTACACATAATTTATGTATTCTAAGAATGGTATTCGCTTACAGAAGCATTGATAATTAGCACAGTTGAGGTATTTAATACTCTGTTATTTTCTGATTTCATTGGCATGAAATCACATCTTATGGCTGTGCATTGATGTGCTTCCTTACCCTTGGGTGATGGGCTTTTGGGGTTAGCCAGTGGGGTTTCTGGGTGAAACCTTTTCAATCTGTTTTTTATTAGCTAACATAAACTGTATTGGGGTGGGAGATTTTATTGTTTGAGACCAACTTGGGAAGAAAAATTTCCAGACTCCTATCTCAAGCAATGAAAGTTGGCTGTGTGGTGGTACCCCTTTTTCATCCCAACTACGCAGAAAGTATAAGTAGGATTATGGATTATGTAGCCTGGCATAAATGCAAGACCCTACTTAAAAAAATGAGACCAGGCACTGGTGTTTCATGCCTGTAATTTTAACTACTCAGGAGGGTGAGATTTGAGGATAGGATGAAAGCCAGCCTGGGCAGGAAAATCTGTGAAACTCTTAACTAACCACCAGAAAACTGCAAGTGGTGCTATGGCTCAAAATGGTAGAGTGCTAGCCTTGAGCAAAAGAGGTCATAGACAGTAACTAGGTCCTGTGTTCAAGTCCTCCTACTGACTCCAAAAAACCACAAACCCCCCCAAAAGGGCTTTAGGCATGGTTTTTGTGGTAGAGTACCTGCTTAGCAACTCAGTGCCCTGAGTTTCAACTCTAGCAGTAAACAAAAAAACATGAATGGTGTTTTAGGATAGAATTTGTCAACAACATTTTGTGGTGTTTGCAGGGTCACAGTTATCTCCCCACCAGGACAGTACTGACGTATATTACTACAGTGTGGCATTTGTGCTGACTATGGAGAAGCACAGGTGGAGCCCAGGCAGCTTTTATTTTGTATTATATTTTATTGACTTTCCCTTGAGTCTCTTGTATTCATATGTTAAATTGTGAAGTATACATAAAGCAGTTGTGCTTTGTAATGTGGAGTCTCTATTCTACTAGGTAGAGATCTGAACTGTTCCAGCTCTGAGAGCCATGGGAGTTTGGGAGCACACTACTTTTTCATTCCTAGTTTAGTAGAATCTATTCAACCGAAGACTGCAGTGAGTTCCACTGTAGATCTCTCGAACTTTCTGGGGAAGGCTGTTCACTCCTTTTATCATTTCCTATCTTCTCTTACCATCTGACCTCTGTCTTTACTAATGAGAAAAGAGTCTGGGGGCGCTGGGAATGTGGCTTAGCAGTAGAGTGCTCACCTAGCATGCTTGAAGCCCTGGGTTCGATTCTTCAGTACCACATACATAGAAAAAGCCAGAAGTGGTGCTATGGCTCAAGTGGTACAGTGCTAGCCTTGACTAAAAGCAGCTCAGAGACAGCACCCAGGCCCTGAGTTCAAGCCCCAGGACTGGCAAAAAGAAAAAAAAAAAAAAAGAGTCTGAGTGCTGTGTGGATTTCTTCCTTTTTTTTTTTTTTTCCCCCATCAGCCTACAAGCCACTTCCAGACATTAACCAAGAGAAGTTAACGGGTTTGTCTACATTGTTTTCTTTTGGGCATTATAGTCTTGTCTTGCCTCTTGTCCAATGTTTGAAAGTCCTTGTTTTATAAAATTTTCCAGTGCTTTGTTTTTGGTGGTAGGGTACTTTCAGGAATACTTAAATCTTTATGAGTTGAACTGTGATTTAATATTTAATATTGATTAACTATACCAAATACTAACAATTTCTCTGATATTTGAGGAATTAACATCTAAAGTGCTGTGTGCTGTGATCAAAAAAGTGTTAGAGGTCTAAGGTTTTTTCTTTGGAGAGTTTGAAGACTAAGAAATCTTTTTCCTCTCTGGGAGAAGTGATTTTATTTTTTTCATAAAGAAGCACACTGTATTTTGATAACATCCATCATTGTCCTTCCCTCTGCTCCTTCATCCCTCTAAACAGTCTTATAATTTAGTCAAGTTATATGTGTCTATGTCTATATTTCTACACCAAAGAATCTTCACCTTCATCCAGTTGCATGGTTTCATTTTTCTTGATGGATGAGCAATATTCCTTGGCATATATGTACCAAATACGTATCAAGTCATCAGTTATTGGGCACCTTGGCACTCTTCTGTGTTACCAGCATCTTCTGGTTTGCTATCTTGCCCTACCTTTCTACATTTAAATACGTTTTTAAAAAAATTATTATAAAGGTGATGTATACAATTACATAGATCAGGTAAAGAGTGCATTTATTTTTGGACAGTGTCACCACTTCCCTGGGCTCTCCCAGTTTTTCCATCTTGAGCAAAACTGCTCAGGCTGAGGTCAAGCCCCAGGGAAAAACAAACATCAACCTTTTGGGCTTGGGCTGTTTTTGAACCTCTGCCCTTCAGGCCTCAGTCATCTGAGTAGCCACTGGTGCCTGGCTTCTAATAGATTACTTTTCTAACAAAACAAGAATTGTGACCATTGTTAGCTTTAGTTAGTTTTTGCTATATTGGGATTAGAACCCAGTGCTCATTCATGCTAGGCTAAAGTGCTTTACTGTTTGTTTGTTTGTTTTTGGCAGTCCTGGGACTTGAACTCAGGGTGTGAGCACTGTACTTGAGCTTTTTGCTCAAGGCTAGGCTAGCACTCTACCATTTGAGCCACAGCACCACTTTTGGCTTTTTCTGTTTATGTGATGGTGAGGAATTGAACTCAGGGCTTTGTGCACACTAGGTAAGCACTCTTCCGCTAAGCCACATTTCCATTCCCCACTGTTGTATTTTTAATCGTAGTCTGATGAGTTTTTTTAGTTTTTCTCTTGGTATATATTATGATTACCTAATTGTGTATTGAATTTCCAGGTGATGGAGAGGTAATTGAACAAATTATTAGCCTAGAAGCCCATGAGAATGGTGAAGGAAGCCCAGAGCCCAGCCTTCTTGATGGAGTGATACGGCAGTTGCAGCAGCAGCAAGATCAGAGGTTGGGAGTGGCTCAGGCTCCTGCTCCAAGTGGACTTCCCAATGGGGAAGGAACTCCTCGAAGAGGTAACACATGTGTGGGAAATAATTTATCTTAATATGACTATATTGACACTAAAGAGTAACTGAAACATTTCACTTGTGGAAAGGTATTAATACCCATTTTGTAGCTGCTTGGTTGGTGGCTCATAATGTCAAGGTGAATGTCATAAATCCACTTACATTTGAGAACTCTGTTTTTCTTCTTACTTTTTCTGGTCATGGAGCTTGAACTCTGGGCTTGGCCATTGTCCCTGAGCTCTTCAGCTCAAGGCGAACGCTCTACCACTTGAGCCGTAGCACCACTTCTGGTTTTCTAGTGGCTTATTGAAGATAAGTCTCAGGGACTTTCCTGCCCAAGCTGGCTTTGAACTGTGATCCTTAGATCTCAGCCTCCTGAGTAGTTAGGATGACAGGCGTAAGCCACTTGTGCCCGGCTTCCTTTTATTTTTTCTTTCTTTTTTTTTTTTTTTAATTTATTTTCTAATTTAATAGTCAAGGTGATGTACAGAAGGGGTACAGTCACATAAGTGAGGTAGTGAGTACATTTCTTGTTGAACTTGTTACCCCTCCCTCATTTAGGACTCTTGTTTTCAATGCAGATTTATTTAAAAGCCTTTGTTTTAATGTTCGTAAAGACAGAAAATATAATTTCATAATAAGCTGGACACAGTTGACTCACAGTGTTGAGATCTGAGGATCTTGGTTCAAAGCTAGCCTGGACAGACAAATCTGAGGGACTCTGATCTCCAATTAGCCAGCAAAATATCAGAAGTAGAGGTAGTGGTTTGGCTCAAATGGTAAAGCACCAGCCTTGTGTACTCAGGCCCTGAGTTCATGTCCTCCAACCCAGTGTACACACACACTCACACACAAAATGAAAAACATATATTTTACAATTTCAGGAAGTACAATAAAGTTGAAATTGAGCTTTAACACTTATTGATAGTATTTTACATTTTGATCTTTGTTACGCTTAGAGTTTTCTTAAAAAGTTTTGTCAGTAAGTAGTTTTATTTGCTTTTGGCAGATGATGTTGAACTAGGTAGAATATAGGGTACATGTTGAATGCATATTAATTTGAGTTAATTTGGACTCATTTTTTGGATAATTTTTCTTAGGATTTAGAAGACAAAGTTTAGAGATCCAGTCTCCTCCAAATATTGGTCTGCGTCGTAGTGGGCAAGTTGAAGGTGTTCGTCAAATGCATCAGAATGCTCCACGGAGTCAGATTGCTACAGAACGTGATCTCCAGGCTTGGAAACGTAGAGTGGTTGTGCCTGAGGTACCACTAGGCATATTTAGGTTTGTTTTAGGATATCTATTTACATTGCTTATATCTAGAATACAGTCTTGTGAATATTCTTTATTCCATTAGTTGTGTAAATAATCATGGAGATTTACTGAGTGGTAATATGCTTTAAAAAAATTTCATTGTTATTGTTAAAGTGGTATATATAGAGGGGTTACCATTTCATAAGACAGGTAACGAGCACATTTCTTTTTTTGGATAATGTCACCCCATCTTGTATGGTAATATGCTTTTTATTGTGGTAGAAAAATGTCAAAAATTATTAAGTTTTTTACTCTGGGAATTTTTTTCATTCTCAGTTTTGTTTCATCTGTAGACCTCCATTTTTTTCCTTTTATTATTATTACTACTATTTTTGTGCCTGTCTTGGGGCTTGAACTCAGGGGCCTAGTTGTGCCATTCCTGAGGTTTTTTAATTTTAATTTTTGCTGGTCCTGAGTCTTGAACTCTGGGCCTGGGCTCTGTGACTGAGCTTCTTTTGTTCAAGGCCAGCATTCTACCACTTGAGTCACAGCGCCACTTCTGGCTTTTTTTTTTTTTTTTAGAGTAACTTATTGGATATAAGAGTCTCATGGACTTTCCTCAATGGGCTAGCTTTGAGCCATGATCCTGTGATCTCAGCCTCTTGAGTAGCTAGGATTACAGGTGTGAGTCACCGGTGCTCAGCCTTAGTGTATGTATTATATGTATATCCTACCCAGCCCCACCCCACATTTCTAAGATTTAACATCCTGAGTAGCTAGGATTACATGTGTGAGCCACTGGCACCTGGCTTATGTGTTAATTTAAAAGTAGAGATTTCTGAGCATCAGTGGACAACTGTAGTCCTGTCGATTCAGCAAGCAGAGATCAAGATGTAAGGCCAGCCTGTGTAAACAAATATGAAAGGCTCAATATCCAGTTGTCTATCCAAAGGAGAAAACAATAGGCTGTAATATGACTCAATGGATAAGAGTGCCAGCAAGCAATCAAGCTGCAGGTCCCGAGTTCTAGCCAGACCAAAAAGAAAAAGAAAAAATTTACCCAGGAATGATAAGTTAATTAAGGGATTACTTTTTATTGTTGATAACAGTTGCATAACTGTTGTAACTGGTTAAATTTTTTAGGAAGTTGGAAGACTTTCGGATGGAGAAAGGTGAGGCAGAAAGAAATCTCTATATACAAGGAAGGAAAAGAAAGACTCTTCAGCTCTCACAAAAGGTAACAAATTTATTTGTTTTTTGGCCCATCGTGGGGCTTGATCTCAGGGCCCTGTCTCTGAGCTTTTTTGCTCAAAGCGAGTGCTCTATTACTTTAAGCCACAGCGCCACTTCCAAGTCTCATGGACTTTCCTGCCCAGGCTGGCTTTGCAGCACATTCCTCAGATCTCAGCCTCCTGAGTAGCTAGGATTACAGGTGTGAGCCAACAGAGCCTGGCTTAAAGTCTGTTTTCTTAGGGATAAGTGAATTTGAAATGAAATTTGGAATGTACCTTTTTATTTATCACATATTAGTAATTGTCTGATGATATACCGTGTTTCACTTCAGATTTTCTTTTCTTTCTTTCTTTTTTTTTGGTCGGTGATGGGACTTGAACTCTGGGCTTGGGTGCTATTCCTACGCTCTTCAGCTCAAGGCGAGTACTCTACTTGCTTGAGCCACAGTGCCGCTTCCAGTTTTCTAGTGGTTTATTGGAGATAAGAGTCTCAGGGACTTTCCTGCCTGGGCTGGCTTTGAAACATGATCCTCAGATCTCAGCCTCCTGAGTAGCTAGGATTATAGGCATGTGCCACTGGTGCCCAGCTTCACTTAAGATTTTCTTACTTGGATTATCAAATAATAGAGCTAAAATTTAGCAAAGTTGCCTAGTGCTTAACCGTGTTAAAAGAAATGATTGCAAGTGATTGTCTGATATCCTTATTATGAATTGGCATTTTTTTACCTTAATGCTCTTTTGTTAAGACTTTCTATTGTTAATTTGGCTGTATTAGTTTTCTTTGGTTAGTGTTTACTTGTATACTTCTTATTTTTTTTTTTTTTGGGGTCCGGTCGTGGGGCCTGAACTCTGGGCTTGGGCGCTGTCCCTCAGCTCTTCAGCTCAAGGCTAGCGCTCTACCACTTGAGCCATAGCGCCACTTCCGGCTTTTTTCTTTTTACTTATGTGGTGCTGAAGAATCGAACCCAGGGCCTCGAGCATGCAAGGCAAGCGCTCTACCACTGAGTCACCTTCCCAGCCCCTATACTTCTTATTTTTATCTTCTCTCTAGTTAAATATATACTAGATGTTTTCTGTTGCTTCTTTTTTGTTTCTTGAGCTTTTAATTTTTGGTTTTTCCAGGGTTTGTTTCCTTCATCCCTTTTTTCCTTCCTTCCTTCATTCCTTTCTTCCTTTCCTTCCTTCTCCTCTCACTTTTTTCCTTCTCCCTCCCCTTCTTTCTCTTCTTTCCCTTCTTCCTTCTCCTTCCCTCCATCCTTCCCTTCCCCTCTTTGCCCCCTCTCTCCCTCTTCCTCATCTCTCCTCCCCTTCTCTCCCTCCTTTTCCTATTTCTTTCCCTCCCTCGTTACTCCCTCCCTCCCTCCTTTTTTCTTTCTCTCCCCTCCCGCCCTCCCCTTTATTGTCCTTCTCCCCCTTCCTTTTTCTTCTGTCCCTTCTTGTTTCTTCTATTCCTTCTGTCCGTTGTGTGTATATGTTTGTGTGTGTGTTGTGTGTGTATGTTTTGAAAGGTAGGAAAAGATTTAATAATTATATGGCATCTGAGAGATGAAGTAAGTACTTCAGCAGATCTTTAGACATCTATGAATAAATACTTGAGCTTTAGGTTTACGTAGATAAAGTAGTCCAGCAGGAGGCATAAAGGTCTGCGTATAATGTCTGAGTAACAGGTATGGCTTGGTGGTTATCTCAGAAAGTTTCTGTAGCAGTTGTCATCAGGGTAAAGGAGTCATTGTTGTCTGGTGAATGGAGTGGTCTGTTCTGAGGAGCTCTGGCTGTTTCCTTTGAGTTCAGTTTTCCAGTCCTGTCTTGTGAATACTTACCATTTGTCTTTCTATATGTCGGTTCTAGATGAGTTCAAGATGACTAGCTCAGAGCACAGGACATAGATTTGAAGTAAGAGCTGTGATGCCATGCTTTTCTCTTGCTTTTAGATAACTCATAGGTCCAAGTAAGAGGTCAGTGCCTTTCAAAAAGACTCTTTAAGTCTGTGTTACAGTTTTCCCCATATATTTGAAAATTTCTCAGTCTTGAGGAAGTTAAAGTGTCATCTAGTCTTGCTTGTAAGTTTCTTGGCGTATATAATTTGGTATAAGAGAAGGAGACAAATTGTAATAGGTAGAGCATACCAGTTAAAAGAACCTGTTGTTCTTTATAAAGCAGAACACAAATGAGAGTAAAAGTCCAAAACAATTAAATAAATTGTACAGAATACACCATTTTTGAATTTGTTTTCAAGAGTTTGAATCTCTAAACATGTTAGAAGCTTGTAGAAGTAGTTACTTTTGTCTCTACTTAAATAGAATGCCTTTGCCAAAAATAAGAGTTTGCTTTCTATGAGCGGTTCCTGGAAAGGCTGGCTTTAGTATTCAGTGGTCGAGCTTAATGAAACCATGCTTCATAAAGACTGGAACCCAGCTCACGCCTGTAATCCTAGCAACTCAGGAGGCTGAGATCTGAGGATTGTGGTTCAAAGGCACCCCGGGCAAGAGAGACTGCGAGACTCCTATCTCCAATAAACCACCAGAAAACCGGAAGTGGCGCTGTAGCTCAAGTGGTAGAGTGCTCGCCTTGAGCTGAAGAGCTAAGGGACAGCGCCCAGGCCCAGAGTTCAAGCCCCACGACCGACCAAAAAACAAACAAACAAAGACTGGAACCTATTCTTCTAAGGATTGGGATGAGTCACTCCATTTGGATATGGAAGTTTTTCTTGTTGAAAATTTTCTCCCAAACTGTCATTTGAACGAATTGTCTTTCCTGGAGATGTGTTGAGTAATCCTCTGGTGGTATGGCTAGTGGCTTCTTGTCTCTAGGATGAACTTGTTCCCACATGGTCTGAGCCCAACCAGTTCAGATGAGAAGTAACAGATCAGGCAGATCAGTGCTAGTAAGACCCTTTTGGCCTAATTTAAGCGTGTAAAAGATTTTAAAGGTTCTTATACAGGCTCACTTGGTGTTCATTATTAATTCTGTCTTCCCTGTAAATGATGTCCTAGCCTCTCAAAAATGTTGCTCAGACTGTCAACAAAGAACAGTTAAAAAGTTTTACAAGGAAAATAATAAAACTAATAAAAGCAAGAATTTCAAAAGCAAACTTGGTTGACAGATAAAACTTACAGTCATTTTTCATGGCTCTCATTTCAAATACTTTATTTAGAAAAAAGGATCACAGACCGGGTGCTGGTGGCTCACGCCTCTAATCCTAGGTACTCAGGTGGCAGAGAACTGAGGATTCCTGAGGATCGTGGTTCAGAGCCAGCTCGGGTAGGAAAGTCCATGAGACTCTTATCTCCAATAGACCACTCAGAAACTGGATATGGCATTGTGGCTCTAGTGGTAGAGTGCTAGCCTTGAGCTGAAGAGCTGAGGGACAGCGTTCGGGCCCAGAGTTCAAGCCCCACGACTGACAAAAAAAAAAGAAAAATGTATTACAGAATGGATGGGGAAGGGGAAATGCTTTAAAGTAGTTATGGTTAAAATTGTGAAAAACAGGCTAGCAGTTGAGAGAATAGTATTTCTATTGTGTACAGCATTTTCAGAATAATAATGATGATTGACAGCATTATGCCAACACCATTAGCCTGTAAAAGGTTAGTGTCACCATCAGTTTCAGTTTAGTGGATGCCAGCCTAGCTGTTTGTTTGTTGTTGTTGTTTTTGCATTCTAGAAGGCTAATGTATTTGGGAAACAAATACATGTAACATACAAAGGAGTGGGCAACAGTCACAGCTACACAATTTATATAGGTTTTACCTTTGGTGTAAGATCTTGAAACTGGCAAGGTATGATAATAGTATACAGCACTGACAAAAATCAGAAGTTTAGATCTCTGGGAAGTGGCGCTGTAGCTCAAGTGGTAGAGCGCTGGCCTTGAGCTGAAGAGCTGAGGGACAGCGCCCAGGCCCAGAGTTCAAGCCCCACGACCGACAAAAAAAAAAAAAAAAAAGAAGTTTAGATCTCTGTTAAGTGAGGGGACAGTGCCAGTGACCACGAATTTTCTGATGGACAATCACAGTGATTTGGTTAGGAAAAATAAGTGATAGGCCATGTTTTAAGTAGCCCTGCAGAACAAATGGCAGAACATTTTTCATCTAAAAGGTACTAATTACAAACAATCCCTATCACACACCACCTCTTCTCTCTCTCTCTCTCTCTCTCTCTCTCTCTCTCTCTCTCTCTCCTCTCTCTCTCTCTCTCTCTCTCTCTCTCTCTCTCTCTCTCTCTCTCTCTCTTTGGTGGGTTGTGGGGCTTGAACTCAGCTAGCATATCCCTGAGCTCAGGGCTAGCACTCTACCACTTTGAGCCACAGTAACACTTCTTGTTTTCTGGTGATTAATTGAAGATGGTCTCCTGTACTTTCTGCCTAAGGTTGGCTTCAAAAAACCATGATCCTCCCTCAGATCTCAACCTCCTGAGTAATAGGAGCTACTGCCCAGCTTTTTGCTCTTTTTTTCCCCCCTTGAGTAGACTGCTGGAATTCTCCATAGAGGACAAGATGGGACTGAGTGCTTTTCAGCTGAGATCTAACACAAATATCCTGGCTTCTCTTTGTACCTTCCACCCCTTCCCTGTTTATTGTCAACCCAAAGTCCAAACTTTGCAGTCTTAAAGGCAGAAGCCCTAGTTAGTTCAGTGAGCCCAAATCTTCTGACGGCTGAGGCTCCATCACTAATGCCTCATTTCACGTCTAGCTTTTTTGCTGGGTCATTGAAGATAATACTTTTCATGGATTTGTTTGCTGTGACTGGTTTTGTTTGTTATGGGTTCTTTTTCTTTTTTTTTTGCTGGTCCTGGGGCTCCAACTCTGGGCCTGGGCACTGTCCCTGAGCTCCTTTGTGCTCAAGGCTAGCACTTCTACCATTTGAGCCATAATGCTACTTCCAGTTTTTCCTGTGACTAATTGGAGATAAGAGTCTCATGGACTTTCCTGCCTGACCTGGCTTCAAATCATGAGCCTCAGATCTCAGTCTCCTGAGTAGTAGGATTATTATAGGCATGAGCCAATGGGGGACAAGCTATTTTCTTTTTCCAGTCCTGGAGCTTGAACTCAGGGCCTGGGCACTGTCTCTGAGCTGCTTTGGCTCAAGGCTAGCACTCTACCACTTGAGCCACATTGCCATATCCGTTTTCTTCTGTTTATGTGGTGCTGAGGAATCGAATCCAGGGCTTCATGCATGCCAGGTACTCTACCACTAAGCCACATTCCCAGCTGCTATCTTTTTTAAAAGCTAGCTTATATTAGTTATACTAAGGGGAATTTCATTGTAACATTTTCAAGTTTATTCCAGTCAATCTTACTCCATCACTACCTCTTATCTTTTCCTCTTCCCAAACAATTTGAACAGGTTTCCTTGTTCTATTTTCATGGTTGCACACAATCTGTTTTGACCATATTCTTGTGAAATCTTCTGCCTGAGCTGACCTTGTACCATGATTCACCTGATCTCACTACCTGGCTGACACATGTGCATGCACACACTGTGTGTGTGTATAGGGTGGTTCTTGGAATTCTTGCGCCTTTTCTTGAGTTAGCATTTTAGCTCATTTCTGATGAGCCAGTTAGTGTATAAAAAAGTTAAAAAAAATGTTAATCTATTAGACCTTTTCTTGTTTTCTTGTTTCTTCTGACTCTTCTTTAAAAGTTAAAATACTGGGCTGGGAATATGGCTTAGTGGTAGAGTGCTTGCCTAGCATGCATGAAGCCCTGGGTTCAATTACTCAGTACCACATAAACAGAAAAAGAAGTGGCGCTGTGTCTCAAGTGGTAGAGCACGAGCCTGGAGCAAAAAAAGCTCAGGGACAGTGCCCAGGCCCAGAGTTCAAGCCCCAGGACTGTCAAAAAAAAAAAAAAAAAGCCAACTTGAGATAATAGTATATGGCAAACATTCTGTCTGTTTCAGAAAACATTCTTAAGCCTTTACTGTTTTGCTTTAATTCCTGTAGGTAACTTGATAGAATGCCCATTTTGTTGATGTGTTTTTACTTTAAGTGTTGGTTTTCATCTCCATGTTTCTTTGTGTCTTAGTCAGAATCATTGGTTTCAGTGTCACAGTCTAGACAGAGGACATGTAGGCGTAAATATCCTACTAATTATGGTAGAAGAAATGCTGGCCGGCGTGAGTTCTCTTCTGGAAATGAATCCTCAAGCTCTGTAAGACATGTGAGTAGAATAAACTTAAAGTATTATTTGAAATCATCTTAAATGAATTTCTTAATTATTTACTTTAAATCTACCACAGATTTACTTGAAAATAAGAAAATGGAGTTTCACAGTGTGATTTTGACTGACAGTATGATTTTGACTGAGTAGCCTAGAGTTTAGTTTATAGGCCCTATATCTTTTGTGTGATAGTGTCTCCCTGTGTAGCCTAGGCTGGTATTGAACCTCAAGACCCTCGTTTTAGATGCCCTGGTGCTAGGATCACAGGCCTGTACCATTATGCTTGGTGCCACCCTCTTCCTCCTCTTGGAAAAGCATATTCTGTTGGCCCTGAAATAAGCATCTGCCTAATTCTAGCATACACAGAAAGTAGTTTCAGATCTACTTAGCTATGTATTTGTGGTAAAACCCTTCTATCCTGTGGTTGTTATCTACAGTTTTTGTTGTTATCCAGAGTATTTCCCCCCTCCCCTGCCCCCACACACATCATGGGTCTTGAATCTGGGCCTGGGGCTGTCCCTGAGCTCTTCAGCTCAAGGCTAGCACTCTACCACTTGAGCCACAGCCCCACTTCTGGTTTTCAGGTGGTTAATTGGAGATAAGAGTCTCATGGACTTTCCTGCCTGGGCTGGCTTTTGAACTGTGATCCTCAGATCTCAGCCTTCTGAGTAGCTAGGATTACTGGCATGAGCTACTGGCTCCTGGCTTATCCAGAGCATTTAGTCCAAATACTCACTCAGAAGTTAAACTTCAAACTGGGTGCTGGTTGCTTATCCTGTCTCTCCTCTTCTTTGCAAATTGTCAACATGATTTTTTTTATTCCAAGTCTAGAGTGAAAATACTTGGAAAAGAGGCTGTCTCTCCTGTCATGTCTTGCCTATCTCACTCGCCTCCCCCAGCCTTTCCTCATGGTACCCTCCCATCCGTTTCTCATTCCCTTCCCACTTATCTTCTCTCAGTAACAAATTTCTCTAGTTTACACTTTATATTTTGTGTCTTTCAATCAGATATATTTATAAATTACTACTTCTATTACACAAAATACACTGTAGATATTTTGCTTGGCCTTTTTCACTTAAATTATGTGCTAAGACGGGGTAAGAGAGGAAGTGTTGGGGATTGATTCAGATACTTTGTATACATGTAGGCAAATGTCATTCTTCCTGCTTGTCAAAACTAATATAAATATTAAAAAATTAACATATGTTAACATGTTAATAAACACAAAGGTAGATGCTTAATTGAGATTTGGCCAGGCTTTAAAGTAATGATTATTATTATTATTACTATTTCTATGTTTTTAGCTTTGAGGTTTGAACTTGGTCTTAAATTTTCTAGGCAGGAACTTGGCTGCTGAGTCCTGCCTCCAGCCCTTTATTAACTGGGATGATAGGTATTCACCATCATCTTCAACATCTTAAGTTGAGATGGAGTCTTGCAGATTTTTCCTTCATGGGCTGACCTGGAGCCTCTCTCTTCTCCATTGCAGCCTTCTATCTCTGTAAATACAGGCATGAGCCATGGGTGTCTAGATCCTGGTTGAAAAGAATCTGGAATGAAACCTTTCACGAATCTGTAGGTAGACAATCTTAGTGACATTCAAAGACCTTGGTCGGCCACGTAGGCTGGTTGCAAAGTTTAATTACAAGGTTCTTTGCCAAAGACCTTGTGATCTCATCCTCCATTTTAGGTTTCTCCTTTGCTTTATGGCTAACTGCTACCTATCCTACCCAATCAAGGTCTCAAGACCCTGAATTTCCTTAGGGAATGAGACGTTGAAGTTACTATGGCTTTTTCCTCTGGTATGGGGAATGGACCCAGGTCTGGAGTCTGTTGCTCTTGTTCTTGATGGGGACAGCTGTGGTTCAGGTCATGGGTGAGCCTGGAGGCCCTGTGACATAACCAGCTATCGTGGCATTTGAGGAGGAGGAGGAGGAGTAGAAACTATGCTACAGAGACACAGAATAGCAGGTTGAGACCAGTGAGAAACATTGGAAAATACCAGAAAGTGTCAGAACCAGACACCTCTGAGGGTGTTCATCATTCCACGGGACCAGGTAATCAGGGGATTCTCCATTTTATAGCAGGGACAGACAGTGAGTGCATTGATTTCACCTCAGCTAACTGGATTGTCTGGGGTATCTCAATGAGAGCTCATAGATGTACTGTAGTTGGGATATCAGAGGCCATCTTGTTTATTATTGCCTTGTCTAGGTGTAATGATGTCTTAGATAAACTAAAATTGATCATTTGGACTACATTAAAATGAAGATGTATTATTCTGAGAAAGATACTGTTAAGAAAACAAAAAGACAAAACTGGAAATATATCTTTGCAAAACTCATCTGATACAAGGCTAAGGAAAATGTACTTCTTATTGAACTGTATATTCTAATTTTAAAACTATACTCTTAGAACTCAGCTTAATGAAGGAAAAAACTTAGTTTCAAATGGGCAAATAATTTAACCCTACCAACAAAGATACACAGATGCCAGCCATGAGCTCACCTTCCTGCCCGGAGGCCTGGGAAGTTAGTGACACTGTAGCCACATGCCCTCACACACCTGCCCAGGAAAGCCCCACACATCCACGGGGCCCATCAGCATATGGCTTGTTGATCACTTCCTCCCTTCCTGTTAGTGGCAGGGTTAAATCTCACAAATTACTCATTTGACCTGTGTCAGAGAATAGGATTTAGTAAAGAAAACTGCCTTTTATTTCAAGTTTATCCTGCTGTTTTTGTTAACCAGTTATCATAGTTCCTATACATTTTAATGTGTTTTTTTTGTTTGCTTGTTTGTTTTTGTTTTTTGTGATGGTCCTGAGGCTTAGCTCAGGGCCTGAAAGCTGTTCCTGAGGTTTTTTTTCCTCTCTGTAAAGCTAGTACTGTGCCTACTTGAGTCATAGCTCCACTTTTGGCTTTTTGGTGGTTAATTGGTGATAGGGGTCTCATAGACTTCCCTGCCCAGGTTGACTTTGAATCATGATCCCCAAATCTCAGCCTCCTAAGTAGTTATGGTTATAGGCACGAGCCACCTGCATCTGGCTCATATTTTAATCTTTTGGGATGACTTGTTTTTTAACGACATGTTATTGACTTTAAGCAATCAAGATTTTTCTCTCACCTCAAAACTTAGGAGACTTCCTGTGATCAGAGTGAAGGTTCTTGTTCTTCAGACGATGACGAATGGAAAAGTGATAGAAAAAGTGAAAGTTACAGTGAAAGTTCAAGGTACCTGTTTTTAATTGTTTTTGTCATAGCCATGGATGGGAACTATATTTAAATAGCAAATATAGAACTGCAAATATAGAACAATTAACACTGAATTCTAAATACATTTAAAAGAACAGTACTGGATTAATAACTTTCTATAAAATTACTCTGAAGATCTTTATTTGAATTGTCAGTAGGAAATAATATTTATTAAAACTATTACTTTAAGTGGGCACCAGTGGCTCACACCTGTAATCATACCTGCTCAGCAGGCTGAGATCTGAGAATTGTGGTTCAAAGCCAGAGCAGGACAGTTCATAAAACTTTTTTTTTTTTTTTGTCCTGAGGCTTGAACTCAGGGCCTGGGCACTGTCTCTGAGTTTCTGTTGCTCAAGGCTAGCACTCTACCACTTGAGCCTCAGTGCCACTTCCGGCTTTTTCTGTTTATGTGGTACTGAGGAATTGAACCCATGGCTTCATGCATGCTAGGCCAGCACTCTACCACTAAGATGCATTTCCAGCCCATCTATAAGACCATTATCTCCAATTAACTACCAAAAACTGGAAGTGGTGCTGTGCCTCAAAGTGGTAGAATGCTAATCTTGAGCAAAAGAGCTCAGGGATAAAGCCTAGTCCCTGAGTTCAAGCCCCAGGATTTGACCAAAAAGATAAAACAAAAAATTATTTCAGTTGGGCTCTGGTGGCTCACATCTGTAATCCTAGCTACTCAGGAGGCTGAGATCTTGAGGATCGTGGTTCGAAGCCAATTTGAGCAGGAAAGTCCATGAGACTCTTATGTCTATTAAACTTTTAAAAAGTTGGAAGGGGAGCTGTGTCTTCAGGGGTAGAGTGCTAGCCAGTGCCTTGGTCAAGCCCCTCAAAAAGATTACTATCTTGGCCTGATGCTATATTTTAAAAGATGAGTGTTGAAAGTATATGTGATGAAACCATTAGTATATAAATGTATTTATTACTGTGCTATAATTTTATCCATTGGGATCTAAATTTTAGTATGACTAGCATGTCAGGCTGTGTTTGTCAACTTGATAAAAGTCAATCAAGCCAGGAATCTTGACATTAATCTCTCTTCTGTCTATATAAATTATTCTTAACCATGTCCAGAAAATTCTGCTACTTACAGATCACTCAAAATTATTTTTGTTAGTTGCTTTTTTTTTTGTCTTGACCCAGTTCAGTCATGTACTCTGCTTCCTTTTTTGTCTTCTGCACCTCCAATATGATTGGTGGCTGATGTAGAGTGTTGAACATAGGTAGGTGTGTTCAGTTCACTGTTTTGTAAAACTTTGATTTGTGGCAAGTACGCATTCTCTCTTAACCTTTTTTGAGTGTGAATTTCAGTATTAATTCACTTTGTTATGCTACCGCCTCCAGAATCCTTTTTGTCTTGTAGATCTAAAACTCTATACTCATTAAATAATTCCTCACTCCACCTTTTCCCTGTCTCCTGATAACTATCATTCTTGTGCCTGTATTACATTTCAATTTTTTTTTATATAAAGCGACATTTCTGAGGGGTTTTATTTTTGTTTCTTTTTTTTCTTTTTGTACAAGTCCTGAGGCTTGAACTCAAAGCCTGCATCCTATCTCAGAACTTTTTTGCTCAAGGCTAGCTAGGGCTCCACTTCTAGCTTTTTGGTGGTTAGTCTCACGGACCTTCTGGCCTGGCCTGTCTTCAAGTTACTATCCTCATGTCTCAGCCTCCTGAGTAGCTAGGATGACAGGTGTGAGCCACCGGCATCCTGTTGAGGTTTTAGAGATTGAGGGAGTTATTGTGGACTGGGCCGAGGATGGCTCTAGTAAAATCTCTCACCCTGTTTTAGGGGTTGATGAAAGTAATTGTGGACTATGAGGTAGCTTTTCATTTCTAGTTTCCTTTGACTCTTCTTATCCTCTAGTGTATGTTCAAGCTGAAGTCCATTCTTTGATTTCTATCATATCAGAGCAAGCCTCATTTAACAGCTTTCTGTGTGTGCTTGCCTTGGGCTTCTCAGTGTAGCCATTGATGACTTAGATGATCTCTTGCCTAATCCTCAGCTTTCTCCAGCATAGTGTAGTGGGGGCTTCTCTTAGAGTTCTTTGCTGTTTGACAGACAGTTGATCTTTGCTGTCTAACGGACTTTGTTTTCTGAGCAGTAGTAGCTTCCATCAGCTCTCAGAAGGATTTCTCACTTGTGTTGTTTACATTCTTCCCTTACGTTCAGTGTCAGTGATGACCTCTCCTTTTCTCCATCTTTGTCATGATTTTTGGTGTACTCTATCCTGTGGGCAGGATGTTCAAGTTATACCTCATTGGGATCTCATTTTCCCTCTTTCTGTGTTCTCTATCCTGTCTCCCCTCAGGATTATATGATTAAGTTGCTATTAGTGCTTTGGTCCTGGTCCTATGCAATTTAAAACATTCTCCTCTTCCAGTGACTCTTCATCTAGATACTCAGATTGGACAGCAGATGCAGGAATTAATTTGCAACCTCCTTTAAGAATGTCATGTCGTAGACGAATCACTCGATTTTGTAGTAGTTCAGAGGATGAACTGTCTACTGAGAATTTATCTCCCCCAAAGAGAAGACGGAAGAGAAAGAAAGAAAGTAAGCCTAGAAATGAGGTAAGAAATGTGTCTTTTAGAAATACAGTACGTACATTCTGTTGCTGTGATGTTTTATATATCTAGTAACCAGAAATCTTTGAGAAGTTGAAACTTTTTTTGTTTCTTTTTTTCCCCCTTCTGTCTCTGTATGTGTGTGTTTTAAAATAATTTATGAATAAATTAACTTGGGGTGCTGTGTGTTGAACGGAGGGCCTCATTGCTGCTAGGTAAGCACTGGGTCCCTGAGCCTCCATCCCAGCCCTTCTCTCTCTCTCTCTCTCTCTCTCTCTCTCTCTCTCCCCTCTCCTTTCTCTCTCTCTCTCTGTTGTGGGGCCTGAACTCTGAGCCTGGGCACTGTCCCTCAGCTCTTCAGCTATAGATTAGTGCTCTACCACTTGAGCCTAAGCCCCACTTCCTGCTTTTTCTGCTTATGTGGTGCTGAGAAATCGAACCAAGGGCCTTGTGCATGCAAGGCAAGCACTCTACCACTGAGCCAGCTTCTTAGGCCCACTTATTTCTTTCTTTACACTCTTCTGTCCTCAGGGTAAGATCCTTTATATAACACTGATTCATTTCCACTGAGCTGAGGAGTATCACATCTTTCCAAATCTGAAACCTAAAAAGAAAGCTCTGTTTTGCTTATAGTCCACCATAACACACCAACAATAGAAGGACTTCCAAGGCATGTTTAGATGCTATCATCTGATTTTGTCTGCAGTTGCTTTTTTTTTTTTTGCCAGTCCTGGGGCTTGAACTCAGTTCCTGAGCACTCTTGTTGATTTTCTTTTGCTCAAGGCTAGAGCTCTACCATTTGAGCCATTGCTCCCCTTCTGGTTTTCTGGTGGTTAATTGGAGATAAGAGTCTCATGGAGTTCCCTGCCTGGGCTGGCTTTGAACCACGATCCTCAGATCTCAGCCTCCTAAGTAGCTAGGATTACAGGTGAGAGCCACCTGTACCTGGCATACAATTTTTTTTTTTAAATATTGTTTTGTGGTACTGGGGTTTGAACTTAGGGTTTATACTTGAGAGGCAGATACTCTACTGCTTTAGCCACATATGCAGATCTTTTTTACTTTAGTTATTTTGTGGGCGTGGCCTCCTATTTCCCAACCTGGAGTCCTTTTACCTATGTCTTGCTTATTTGAAATCGCAGGCTTTATGAACCATGGCCGTCTTACTATTTTTTTCAGTGTGTATGCTGGTCCTGTGGCTTGAACTGGGGTGCTGTCCCTAAGATTTTTTTGGTGGGGGGACCAGTCCTGGGGCTTGAACTCAGGGTCTTGGCACTGTACCTGAGCTTTTATTCAAGGTTAGTATGCTACCACTTGAGCCTCAGTGCCACTTCCTGCTTTTTCTGTTTATGGGGTACTGAGGAATGGAACCCAGGGCTTAATGCATGCTAGGCAAGCACTTTACCATTTGAACTATAGCTCCACTTCTGGTTGTGCATGCGTGTGCATGTGTGCGCACGTGTGTGTGTGTGTGTGTGTGTGTGTGTGTGTGTGTGTGTGTGTGTATTTTTTTTCTCCTTGATTAATTGGAGATAAGAGTCTGATGGACTTTCCTTCCTGGACTGGCCTTCAACTAAGATTCTCAGATCTCAGTCTCCTAAGTAGCTAGGATTACAGGCATAAACCACTGGCTCCTGGCTTTTTTTGAGATGAGGTCTTAGCTAACATTTTGCCCAGACTGGCCTCAAACTGTGATCTCCCTTATCTCTCAAATAGCTGAGATTACCATGACTAAACCTGTTATTGCTATGTTTACCATTTTTATTTTAAATGTTCTGTCTTGTTATTTTTCTCTGATTGTAATAACATTGCTGTTCCTTTATAATATGTACACCTTAGGTGCTCATGTCACGCAGATAGTTCTCTTGGAAGATTTAAATCTTTATATTGTTTCCCATTACTGTGTAACAAAATCTCTAAAACTTAGGTATTTACAAGAACAAACGGGAGTCATTTTGTGTTTTAATAAGTTATGAATTTGGATGCTAACTGTCTGGGTGACTTTGGCATATAAAGTTGCAAACGTGTGACCAAGGTGCAGTCATCTGAGGGCGACAGGATACATTATGTTTTTCCAAATGCACTCAAGTGCCCGCTGGCTGCTATGTCAGTTCCTTGCCGCAGGTGTGTCTCCTTACAGCTAGTTGTTTGGATGTGCTCATGCATGGTACTTACTTTCCTTAGCATTTTGCCAGTGAGCAAGGAGCAAGGCTAGTGCTTCGCTGACTCAGTCTTCCAAGTGACACACAATTCCTTCCCCTCCTATCCTCTCTCACCTCCTCTTGAAAGTGATAGGAAAGTTTGTTAGGAGTACAATTTCAGAAGACCTGAAAGTGGATCATCTCTAGGGACAGAATGGCCTTACCCTTCCTCTTCTTCCAAGCTTTGTGCTCTTCCCTTTGGCAGCGTTTGGGGAGGATGACTCCCGCAGAGCTTGCAGACTTGGAGCATCTGTATGAATTCCATCCTCCTGTGTGGATAACGGACACCACACTGCGCAAGTCTCCCTTTGTTCCTCAGATGGGTGATGAGGTGAGAGTAATCACACTCAAAACATGAGTATGGAAACAGTTTAAATGCTCTATATATTTCTGTTAACTTTACTTCTGTACTTTCCTTTCTAGGTAATCTATTTTCGCCAGGGTCATGAAGCTTATATTGAAGCTGTCAGAAGAAATAACATTTATGAATTAAACCCTAGCAAAGAGCCATGGAGGAAAATTGATCTTAGGGTAGGTTTATGATATTACTAAATACTGTATATTAGCACATGTATAAATTATTTATGAATGCGTTATCTTCTCCTGCTTCTTTCTGCTCTTATGTATCAAGCCTTAAGATCCAGTGAGAAGGCTAAGTTGAGGAGATCCATATATTACTGATTTCCCATGAACAAATTCGTTTTTTAAGGACAAAACATAGGCTCTCAGAAAGTGTGTGGCAATGTGTATTGCTAATTTTTTTATTTTTGAGATAGGTTCTTTTTATTTTTTGCTAGTCCTTGGGCTTGAACTCGGGCCTGAATGCTGTCCCTGAGCTTATTTTGCTCAAGACCAGTGCTCTGCCACTCGGGCCACAGCTCCCCGTCTGGCTTTTTGGTAGTTTATTGGAGGTAAGGGTCTCATGGACTGTCCTGCCTCGGCTGTGGTCCTCAGCTCACATCTTCCTCAGTAGGTAGGGTTACAGGCATGAACCACTGGTGCCCAACTAGGTGCTTATAGGTCAGAATGGCCTTGAACTTGTGATCCTACTGCTTACTCTCCTGAGTGCTGCAATTGTAGGTGTGTGCTCCCATGCTCAAGCTTCTAGCCCTTTTGAGATGCACAGTGCATCATCATCATCATCATCATCATCATCATCATCATCATCTATAGGAGAACACCAGAGATTATTTCTTCTTCTAACCATACTGTCAGCTTTTTCCTATCCTTCCTATACTTTGTTAACCCACATTCTTTGCCCTTGTGTGAATCTCCTTTGTTGATGTTCATATATGCAGGAGATGAGGGTATCTTTTTTAAAATTAATTCATGTGCATATCTTTTTTCCTCACCAGCATTATTTCTCTCTCATTTTGTTTTTAATTTTGTGAAGTATGATGTCAAAAATCATGATTCTCCTTCCTGAGCCTCCACTTGTTGAGTATGGGATTACAGGCATGAACTGTTGTTCAGCTCTGCAGCACAGGTTTTTGAAGACTGTCCATCTACAATTCATGTTTGTAGTGCTTTTATCAAAGATCAGTTGACTGTAGATGTGTGCTTTTTACCTTTAGGTTTTTGTTCTCTTGGTCTGTGGATATTACCACACCTCCAGCCCTTTTCATTCTAGTTATTTTATGTCATTATTTTTACTGGTACCGGGGTTTGAAATCAAGGTCCTAAGCTCACTTGGCTTGCTTACTAGCTCTCTACCTACCTAGAGCCATGTACCCACCCTGGCTTTCTGCTGGTTGTTTTGGAGATGGAGTCTGTAGACTTTTCTGCCTTTGTTGGCTTTGAACCTGGATCCCATAGGTCTTGACCTCTTAGGTAGCTAGGAGTATGGGTGTGAACCTCTGGTGCCTGGCTGCTGTGGTTATTTATTTATTTATTTTTTTGGTCCAGTTGTGGGGCCTGAACTCTGGGCCTGAGCACTGTCCCTCAGCTCTTCAGCTCAAGGCTAGTGCCCTACCACTTGAGCCACAGTGCCACTTCCGGCTTTTTTCTTTTTGCTTTATGTGGTGCTGAGGAATCGAACCCAGGGCCTTATGCGTGCAAGGCAAGTGCTTTACCACTGAGCCACCTTCCCAGCCCTGCTGTGGTTATTTTTGAAGTAGGGTCTTGCTTCTTTTCTCAGGCTAGCCTGGACTGTGTTTCTCCAGCTGGCATGACAGATATGTACCACTATTCTCACCTTCTCTTTTCTGATAGAGTATATCTAACTTTTGCCTTGGACTCCCTCCCAAGTAGCTAGGATGACAGGAATTAGCTCTTACATTCTACATCTTTGAGTCTGTTTTTATGATAGTACCTTGCTGTTAATTACTACAGCTCTTTTGCTGCTGTCTTCCCCCCCCCCCCCCCCTTATTGTGAATTACTACAGCTCTTTCGCTGCTGTCCCCCCCGCCCCCAATTGTGGTTTGAATTCAGGACCTCTTGCTTCCTAGCAAGCAGTCTACCACTAGTGTTTCACTCCCAGCCTTTTGTAGGCTACTACTTGGAAGGAAGAGGAAGATTGCTTTGGTTCTTGGGGTTTTGTGGTTCCATGTGATGTGCACATCAGGAGTGCTTTTTTTTTTTTTTGTTGGTCATGAGGCTTGAACTCTGGGCTTGGGCACTGTCCTTGTGCTCTTCAGCTCAAGGTGAGTGCTCTACCGCTTGAGCCACAGCACTACTTCTGGTTTTCTAGTGGTTTATTGGAGATAAGAGTCTCACAAACTTTCCTGCCCCAGCTGGCTTTGAACCACGATCCTCAGATCTCAGCCTCCTGAGTAGCTGGTATACAGGCGTGAGCCACTGGTGCCTGGTTTCCGGAGTGCTTTTCTGGTGCATTGAATCTGTGGATTGCTTTTTAACACCACTGTTTCCAGTTTGTAAACATGAGATATCCTTCTAAATTTTGTGCTCTCCTCAGTTTCATTCATCAGTGTTTCATTATTTTTATTGTAGAATTCATTCGCCTTTATTTAAATTTGTTCTTTGGTATTTTCTTTTCTTTGCCTATATTGTAAATAGGATGGTCTTTTGAGTAATTACATAGGACATTTGTTTTATGAATAAATGCTTAGTGTTTTTCGGTACTCCTGGTATTTGAAGGTTATTTTGTTTAGGTGGGAGGGCACTTTATTCTGCTCCTGTGCTCATCTCACTACACATAGTGGACCATAAAACAAGAGAGGTCATTGAGTGCATTAGGCAGAAAGTTAATGCCAAGTGTGTTTGAAGAATATATATGAGTAATTATACACTTATACATGATTCCATAAGTAAAAATTTGTGTACAAAGAGAAGACAACAAAATGTATTACTTTGTTAACAGTTGTCTTTTAATACTGTGCTGATCTGTGTTTTTATTTGTATTCTTTTTTTCTTAATACATATTTTTTATTGTAAAGATACAGTACAGAGGGGTTACAGTTACACGAGCAAGGTAATGTTATTTGTATTCTTTTGTAGTATATATTTGGTTATATGAGTGTACAGTCTTGAATGAGTATAATTCTTATATTAGAAACTAAACGTTGTGCCATGGAGATTTTAAAAAATGATTGCTATTATAAATTAACATGGCTGATTGGGTGATCTAAGTTTAATTCAGTTGAGAGTTACAGTACTGAATTGCTTTATTTTAACCATTTTATGTTAAAGGATCAAGAATTGGTCAAAATAGTTGGGATCCGATACGAGGTTGGGCCGCCTACACTCTGTTGCCTCAAACTAGCGTTCCTCGACCCGGCTAGTGGAAGACTTACTGATAAATCCTTCTCCATTAGGTGGGTGTAGTTTTAGTGAATTACTGCACTTAATCTCCCTTCTTGCTCATTAGCTTGTCTTCCATTTCAGCTGTAGTAGTCTTGTGGGCAGCCAGAGATAGGGGTTGAGCTTCAGGTGACTAGAACTTGTTAGTGGACTGGCACTTTGTCAAGCAGGTCTTAGGCAGGGACCATCTGTTCCATAGGCTTTGATGCCACTTGTGTGGGCAGGGAACTGCTGGGAATGCTTTCTGCCTTGGTGAAGAACATTTCAGAGTAAGTTGCTGCACCTGTGCCATCCATGGTGGTCGCTGCTGCACACCTGCAGCATGGCTGGTTCCAGCGTGGTGTTCATGTGCACACTGTGCTTTGAAAACTTGGAAAGAAGAAAAAAAGCCCAATAATTCTTATTGAAATAATACTGAAGATATAACTGGGTTAAATAAAATACACTATTAAAATTTATTTCTTTTTACCTTTAAAAATATGGCTAGTTAGCTGGGCCCTGGTGGCTCATGCTTATAATCTTTGCTATTCTGAGGATCACAGTTCAGAGCCAGCCTGGGCAGGAAAGTCCATGAGACTCTTATCTCCAATAAACCACCAGAAAACTGGAAGTGGTGCTGTGGCTCAAGTGGTAGAGTACTTGCCTTGATCTCAGGGACTGTACCCAGGCCCAGAGTTCAAGCCCCATGGTGGACAAAAATTATGTGTGTGTGTGTGTCTCTAGTTAAAAACTTACATAGTTTCTTGTACATTCCTTTTAAACAGTGTTGTTTTCTATTATAACTTGAGTGAGCATTGTAAATTTTTTTTTCTTTGCTGGGCAGAAACTTTTTTCTCTAGCATTGTAAATTTTTTAACTTTTTTTTTTTAGATATCATGACATGCCAGATGTTATTGACTTTCTTGTATTGCGTCAGTTTTACGATGAAGCAAGACAGAGGAATTGGCAGTCTTGTAAGTCTGTCTGCCTATTGCATTTTATATAGTCTTAACAATCTTTCATTTTATCTGTCTTTTGGTTGTAACACTCTTGATTGTGATTTATGTAAACATAGAAACTCTTGAGAATGAAACTTGAGTTATTGCTGGATATTTTACTTAGGGCTTGGCCCAAATTTTAGGAGACTTTGTTAGCCAACCATTTTTCTTTTGTGGTTTGTACATTTGGAAAATATTATTTTGACCCTTTGAGTATGGGCTTAATTTTTAGATCTCCACACACCATGTCAGGGATGGTTATTTTCATATAATAATTTGCACTACTGTCCTATGATTTTAAAAATAGGATAGTTTATATAATCTTAAAGTAATCATGAAGTGTAACCAAACTTAACTGTTACAATTTTGATTCTGTAGGAAATTTTGTGTACACTCTACAGTTAATAACTGTACTAACAAGTATATATTAATAACATACATATAATGAGAGATTTTTGAATTTTCTTAACCTTTATTCTTTGGTTCATTTTGTAAACTGCAATATAACTTATCTGGGATGGTCTTTTGAGTTCATTGAATAAGGAAATTTCACTCATAAGCCATTTTATTCTATTATGTTATATGGCTGTTGACCTTAATGTGTTTGTGAATGTAACACTGTTCTTATATTTGTTATCGCTGAAACTTGTTGGAGAGTGCAGGAAAGTTGGCTCATTTCAAAATAATTCATGTTAATTTCTTTTTTGTGCCAGTACTGGGGCTTGAACTCAGGGCCTGGGTGTTTTTTTGCTTAACGCTGGCACTACCACTTGAGTCACACCTCCACTTCAAGCTTTTTCCCAGTTATTTGGAGAAAAATGTCTCATGGATTTCCTGTTTGAGCTGGCTTTGAACAGTGATTTTGGATCTCAGCCTCCTGAGTAGCTAGAACTACAGGTCTGAGGCACTGATGCCTAGCTATACATGTTGATTTCTGTTCTATATGTTTCCATGGTATTTTATAAATAACATTGTTGACAGATGTTAACAAAGTCTCAGTCTTTTTGGTCCTTTGTTTCCTTCCTAGGTGACAGATTTCGGTCTATCATTGATGACGCTTGGTGGTTTGGGACAGTGCTGAGTCAAGAACCATATCAGCCACAGTATCCAGATAGTCATTTCCAGTGTTACGTTGTGAGGTTTGTATGCTGGTAGAAAGTATCACTTGTCAGTCATTTAAGATGATAGGTCCCTGAAGCAGACATTTCAGGTTTGATAGAATTTGACTTATCATGAACTCATTGTGACGTCTTGTTTATTTTCTGTTATAATTCTCCTGCTGGTTCATGTTCTGCTTGCTACCCTGGAAATATGTCTGTATCCTCCTAATTTTTATTTACCTAATATTGTCATAATTAGAGTTCAGGAGTAAGTATTAATATTAGATCATTAATCTTCTTCCCATTGGCTACCTAGCCTGGGCTGCCAGGCAGAGCCTTCATAATGTCTTCACTTGGTGCTCTGGGTCCAGGAGGACTGCTTTCTTCTTCACCTCGCAGAACACTTTACACTTCCTATTACTACTAAACCTTTTTAAGTGATTGAAGTCAGTATTTAGCCTTTCCTTGCTGCAGTGGGTCATTTCATAGTTGAGGTCTTTTTGCTGCCTTCTCTGCTGTGCATGATTTGTTCTCCTGAAAGGCTAACAAGAGTTTTATTGTTTTTGTAAACAGGTGGGACAATACTGAAATTGAAAAACTGAGCCCATGGGACATGGAACCAATTCCTGAAAATGGTATATATTCACCAAATCATACTTTACATTATTTACATTTTTTCTATTGCCAATATATATTCAAGACATACCGCTGTTCTTCCATAATTGTTTTCAAATTGTTTAGGAACTCAGAACTTTATGTATGGAAAAAGATGACAGAACTCCATATGTGACTTATTTGTTCCTGACCTCAGATTCCAGCCCTATTCCAGAAGTCAGTAACCTGTTATCTGCCCCAGAACCCTGCTCGAAACTCTCATGGGCCTCCGCATGTAGCCCTGCTCCCTTTCCTTCATCCTTACTCTGTTACTCTGGTCTTCCTTTCCATGGACTGTCTGTTCTTACTTTGAAAGTCAAGCACTGCTGCAGCCATGCTGCCCCATGGCTCCTGAGCCACCAGCTGTTTACTTAGCTCCTTTCCTCTAGTACTGTTACTTTTTCACTTTTCATTTGGCTGTATTGATTTTAGCTGTGAAATTATTTCCTTCTTGTTCACTTTGATCAATATTTGAAAGGATACTTTATCTTTCTTTCTGCTGTTTTTTTTTTTTTAACTGCCAAACTGTCTTCTGTCATGTTTGCCTAGCTTAACAGAACTTGTTCTAGCTGGCACTGTGGTGCAGACCTGTAATCATGGCACTGGGAGACAGAGGCAGGTCCCAAGCCACCTTCTGTGTTTTCTCTTCTGTCACATCACCATCAACCATTGTTGCAGTTTTATTTTGTAATTAAGAGTTTTGTGGAAATACTGACCACCTTCAGAATTTTATAACAGCATTATTAGAAGTCATTGATGACTGTTAAATTTTCTTTTGAGCTTACTTACCAGTAGTAGGTATGCATACAAAGGTAATTTGCAGTGTGCAGAGCACTTAATAGATAGTAAAAATCCCACTTTTTTTTTGGTTGGTCGTGGGGCTTGACCTGGGCACTGTCCTTGAGCTCTTCAAGTCTAGTACTCTACCACTTTGAACTACACCACCACTTCGGGTTTTCTGGTGATTAATTGGAGATAAGAGTCTCATAGACTTTCCTGCCTGGGCTGGCTTTGAACTATGATCCTCAGATCTCAGTCCTGAGTAACTAAGATGACAGGTGCCATGGCCCAATTGCCTTGCTATCTCTTTTTTTGCTTTTATTGTTGTTGTTTTTGTTCCACACATAGAGTGATCAGTATTAAACAGAACATTTAACAGGAAGTACTTTATGGCTCTCTCTTCTCCAGTTCTTCCCTGTTTTCCCTGTATTCTAAGTTCTGCCTTCAGACCTCAGCTGATCTTCTGATCAGCTGATCTTCCCCTGACTTTCTCCTCCTTACATGTGGCCTCCTTTCTTTCACCAGGTAGGCTGCTGCAGTCCATCTTTGTTTCTTTGTTTCTTTTTTTAAATTTTATTTTATTGTAAAGGTAATATACAGAGGGGTTACAGTTATATAAGCCCAAGTAATGAGTACATTTCTTTTTGAGCAGTGTCACCCCCTCCTTCATCTTCTCCCAGTTTTGTTTCTATTCTCTATGCTGATGTTCAGTGCCTCACACACTATTGCCTCTTGTGCTTTTTTTTTTTTTTTGGTGGGGGGAGGGGAAGGATTCTAACCTGAATGATACACAAAAATATCTCTAATTAATTTTTTAAAATTATTTTTATTTTTTTAAATTTTTATTGTGAAAATACTGTACAGAGGGGTTACAATAACATGGGCAAGATAATGAGCACATTTCTTATCAAGCATTGTAGCCTCCTGCTTTGTTTCCCCTTCCCATCCCTTCGTATCCTCCCCCCCTCTCCCCATCCCTCCCCCCACCAAAGTTGTAAAGTTCCTTTTTCGACATAACGACTTGTACATCTCATTGTTGCAATGGGTCCTCCTGTATCCCTGTTGTAACAACTTGTTTTTTCCCTTCCCCTCCACATATACCAACATCATATATAGTGAAAGCAGGGGTTGTACCATGGGGGAGGGACATACAAGGCAACAAAGACATAATCTTATAAATATGTTAGAAACAATCGCATGAAAGATTCTCTCTCTCTTTTTTTTTTTTTTGGTCAGTCGTGGGGCTTGAGCTCTAGGCCTGGGAGCTGTCCCTGAACAATTCAGTTCAAGGCTCATGCTCTACCACTTGAGCCATCGCACCACTTCTAGTTTTCTGGTGTTTTTTTTTTTTTTTTATTGTGATTAAGTGATTACATAATTGCCCAAATTTCTCAGTATTGTGGAATAATGATGATCATTTAAAGTCACAAGCTCATTCTAACTTTCCTGGAGCTAATTGTCTATCACGGTCTATAACATGTAACGGTGTACACATACACCATACATGTGATCAGCAGCATGGGGTTATTTAGTAGTGGTTCTACCAGATGAGTGGAAGTTCTTTGTTTCTTAAGTCCTGTTAATTTTGTCGTATCACCTAACATTTTGGATTTAATATCCACTTATCAGGGAGACCAAGTACCGTTTGTCTCTTTGCTCTTGGCTTACCTTGCTCAACATGATTTCTTCTAGCTCCATCCATTTCCCTGCAAATGCCACCTAATTAACTTTTGAACACTCTGCTAGACATTGTTCTCAACAACTCTATGAGGTAGAAACCTTTATTTTTGGTTGCGGGATGGGGGTGGCAGAGAGGGAGGTTTTGGGGCTTGAACTTGGGGCCTGGGCATTGTCCCTGAGCTCTTTTTGCTCAAGTCTAGTACTCTACCACTTTGAGCCACATTGCGACTTTTAGTTTTCTGTTGGTTGATTGGAGATAAGAGTCCTATGGGCTGGCTTTGGACTGTGATTTTCAGATCTTAGCCTGCTGAGTAGCTAGGATTACAGTTGTGAGCTTCCAGCCCCCAGATCAGAAACTTTTTACTGCCCTTGTTAGCAGTGGGTAGATTGAGACACAGGTTAAAAATGCAAAGTAAGAGCTGGACAAGGTGGAGTCTCAGAGAGAGAGAGAGGGCAACAACCTGGTCTGCATAGTGAAACCCTGTTTATAAACAAACCTTGTTTAGGGTCCATGGTATTGAGTGTGATGTGGTTTAATATTCTTTGGTTTAAAAAAAAAGTCTTTTGTTATATTGACTGCTCATACAGCTTTCCTTCATCCTCTCCTTTTTTTTTTTTTTTTTTAAAGTTGAGGTGCTTGGGATTAGTCCTAGGTCCTTGTTTCTGTTTGGCAGGTAGGTTGCCTAGCCTGGCTGGAGTCAGTCCTCTTCCTGAGATGTGGAAGTACAGACTTGTGCCACTTCTCCCAACTGCTTTAACTGCCTTGCCTTTTGGATAGGTAGAAATCATTACTGTGAAATGGACTGTGAAAGGGAGAATTTCGGTTTCTTTGAGTGGTGGATATCTTGTCTACTCAATTTCTTATGTTTCTGTAGAAAATAAAATTGAAGTCATTTTTTCTTTTTCAAGAACATGACTTAAAGGTTTATTGCCATCATCATTCATACTTAAAAATTGTCCATCCCATAGCTAATCATAACAGGTCAGACCTTGAAGTTGAGATCATTCACAGAGCTAGACAGTGGTATCTCACACCTGTAATTCTAACTACTCAGGAAGCTGAGATCTGAGGATCTTGGTTCAAGCCAACCCAGGCAGACAAATCCAAGAGACTCTTACCACCAATTAACCAGCAAAAAGCCAGAGTGGAGGTGTGCGGCAAGTGTTGGAGTCAAGTGAGAGCATGAAGCCCAGAGTTCAAAAAGTTAATCGATATTGTATAAAACATGTTCATTGGCTTTTTAATGACTATATTTGTCAGGAAAGTTCCCATACGCATTTTCTTCATGCTTTAGTTTAAAAACTGCTTTAAAGCAGCTGTCCTAGAGGCACTATTTATGTGTGTGTTACATATGTGTGTGTGTGTGTGTGTGTGTGGCATGTCTCCATTGGAGAGTGGCCTGAAAACACAAGCTGCCACAATGGATGATGACATCCTGTGTCTGTCAGAACTTGTACTTAAGCGTTCCACTTTCCCCACTAGGAGTTAAAAGAAGTCATCTACTTCATTTATACTCCTTGCAGTTAAGGAGATTAGTCATCTCTCCTGTCGAGATTAATTTGCCTATGTTGCCTTAAGTTTTTAAATGAGTTCTGATATCTGAGAATGTGATGACAATTTAAGTTTTATTAGGGTGGGTAGATTGTGTTGTACTTGAATTGTAGCAATTTGTTAATCTCAAGTGATAATCTTTACAAAGCTGCAAATTTGGGGCCAGGTTCAGCAGTGCAAACAAGTATTTCTACCACTCCAGAGGCAAGGATGAGTAAGATTGTGAATTTAGGTCATTCCAGGCAAAACATTGGTGAGACTGCCATCTCAACAAACAAGGCCAACAGGCTAATGCTTGCCACCAATCCAGCTACCCTGGAGGCAGAGATAGGAGGAGATAGGCCAAGGCTTGCCTAGGCAAAAAGCAGCCTACTTTGTCTGAAAAATAAGGAAAGAGGTGGTATGGAGGTGTGGTTTGAGTGGTTTTGGCTCACAGCACAGAGCCCTGAATTGAAACCCCAGTACTAATAGGAAAAATTACAAATTTGAACTTGTTAAAAAATACTTAAATTTTTAATTTTTTTGTCGGGACTATGGCTTTTACTCTGGGCCTATCTACTGTCCTGAGTTTTTGTGCTCAAGACTAGCACCCTACCACTTGAGGCCTCACTCCACTTCTGGCTTTTTGGCATTTTATTGAATATAAGAGTTTCATGGATTTTCCCTGTCTGGAGCGGCTTTAAACTGCAATCCTCAGATCCCACCTTCCTAAGCTAGGACAACAGATGTGAGCCAGTGGCACCTGGATGACTTTTACTTTAATTATATAGATGTAACATAGTTTGTGAGCTTTGAAAATTGAATTTTGGTATAGGACCGGACCATTAGTACTTGGATTGATTTCTTCCCACCTCTTCTTGTTCTTTTTTTAACTTGAATTAATAGTTGATCCACCTGAAGAATTAGGAGCAAGTGTTTCTGTCACATCAGATGAGCTAGAGAAATTGCTCTACAAGCCACAGGAAGGTGAATGGGGTCAGAAATCACGTGATGAAGAATGTGACCGGATTATCAGTGGTATAGATCAACTATTGAATCTTGGTAAGCTTTTGGGGGTGAAAAGTTCCATTTTCAACTTTTTTTTTTTTTGTCGGTTGTGGGGCTTGAACTCTGGGCCTGGACACTGTCCCTCAGCTCTTCAGCTCAAGGCTGGTGCCCTACCACTTGAACTACAGTGCCACTTCCGGTTTTCTGGTGGTTTATTGGAGTTAAGAGTCTCATAGACTTTCCTGCCCGGGCTGGTTTGAACTGCGATCCTCAGATCTCAGCCTCCTGAGTAGCTAGGATTACAGGCGTGAGCCACCGGTGCCCGGCTCATTTTCAACTTTTCTATACAAGTATTTTGTTGTATAGACGTATGCTTATATCTATGTATTTCTGTCAGTACTAGAGCTTGAACTCAGGGCCTTGCTCTTGTTGTGTTGGCTTTCTACATAGCCACTTGAGACCCACACTCAACCCCTTTTATAAAAGCATTTTCAAATAGCATAGTTGAGGTTGTGTTTGTTGCCTTGTGATTTGACCGGTCACATTACTCTGTCACCTAAAGATGATGGATTATTGTCAAAGGCTCTCCTGTCTTCCCTAACAGATGCAGCAGCAGCATTTGCAGGCCCAGTCGATCTCTCTACATATCCAAAGTATTGCACTGTGGTGGCTTATCCAACTGATCTGTACACCATTCGAACGAGGCTCAGCAATCGGTTTTACAGGTGAGCAGAGAACTTTCCAACTGGTATATTGGTATACCCTTTGGCCTTAGCGGTTATGGTAAATGAGGAACAGGTGGTCAGATGAACCTTTCTTATTTGGATTTCATTCTTTTGGAATAAGATGTTCTCCTTAGTGGTGTTGGGTGAATTTGGAGAGAGCAAGCCATAAGGTAAAATACCTTGCTTCTGTCCTTAATTTTTAGTCCTGTGTTTTTCTTAGATTATATTATGTACATACTGTTTCTTACTTTTTTTGGGGGGGGAGGGGGTCTGGTCGTGGGGCCTGAACTCTGGGCCTGGGCACTATCCCTCAGCTCTTCAGCTCAAGGCTAGTGCTCTACCACTTGAGCCACAGTGCCACTTCCGACTTTTTTCTTTTTGCTTATGTGGTGCTGAGGAATCGAACCCAGGGCCTCATGCATGCAAGGCAAGCGCTCTACCACTGAGCCACCTTCCCAGCCCTGATAATATTAGAATTTTTTTGGGGGGGGGGGGGAGGGGTCTGGTCGTGGGGCCTGAACTCTGGGCCTGGGCGCTATCCCTCAGCTCTTCAGCTCAAGGCTAGCGCTCTACCACTTGAGCCACAGTGCCACTTCCGGCTTTTTTCTTTTTGCTTATGTGGTACTGAGGAATCCAACCCAGGGCCTCAGGGATGCAAGGCAAGTGCTCTACCACTGAGCCACCTTCCCAGCCCTTACTGTTTCTTACTTATATGTTCAGATTCCTTTACACTCGATGTAATTGGTTAAGGATATATTAGCAGTGTGCCTGTGACCCAGAAAGATTACTTGACAGAAGCAGTGGCTTTTCTTTCATGTCCAATAGTGATTTTTATAGCAGTTGATTTATAGAACTTAACCATTACACAGGCATCTTCTTAAGTTCACAGTTGCTTTCCTTTATATCTCTGATATTATACACTAGACTGTGCATGTGAGTGAGAAACCGCTGTGGCAGTTTACAGCCACATTGACTGTAGCCCAGCAGTTTTCTAAGGTGGAAAAAGGCCTGGTGGAAAAGAAAGTCTGTATGTTTGTGAGTGTGTGTGTAAGTGTTGAGTTGTAGAAAGGAAAGGTGGTGTTTGTGTAAGTGGTGTGTTCAGCTGCTTTCTGAAGTTCCATGTCACTGCAGGTATCACAGCCCAGGCCTGCGGTTGAGTGGATGGCATGGAAGGTAGTTCACTGTCCCACATCAGTGGTTTGGATCATGTGCTGCTCTTTCATTAACATGCATGTCCTTTGATTTGGTTTCTTTCTAACTTTTTAGTCTAAGCCCTCAATTGTTTATTTGCTTTTGAAGGAGGCTGTCTGCATTAATTTGGGAAGTCCGATACATAGAACATAATGCCCGAACATTTAATGAACCGGAAAGTGTAATTGCAAGATCAGCTAAAAAGATAACTGACCAGCTTTTAAAATTTATTAAGTAAGTAATCTTAGATTATCTATGTTGTATAAAAATTTACTGCATATTGTGTTTTTAGAATTGTTTACTTTTTAATTTTTTACTTCCTGAATTATGCCCGTTTAAATTTTACTGTAGGTACCAAATTGCAGTTTTAATAAAAGAAGGAGAAACTGACTGATCCGCTTTTTATGCTTGTAAAATGTTGAAGTGGTTTTGTTCTTGTTGGGTGCCACATGCCTCTCATCCACACCCTGTTTTTATATAGCATACCTGTGAAATAATGATTAGCTCCTATAAACTGGTGTTGAACAAGTTGTAGGGTTTCCTTGGACTTTGATAATTTTTATACCAATATCCTTTTTGGTTTTCTAAAGATCCAGTTGTATTTTCTGTCATCTTTTCTCTGTTCCTCACTGTACCTTGATATTTTCCCCAGAGTTAGTCTCTGACTTTGCTGAGGGCACTTAATTTGTGACTTCCTGGTATTTCCTGGTGATTCTATGAAACTGTACATTATGAATATTCCCCATTCTTTCTTGCATTGGGAAATCAGTTTGGAATAGAATGAAGATTGAGGTGGCAATTGTAATCTGAGTTCTAGAATGGTTTCAGACATAATACAATAAATCAGTATTCAGTGTCTTTATGTCCAGGTTGAGAGAATAATTTGTAGATGGTCCATCATTTTTTTGCACCTAGACCAAAACTGGAAAACCGCTTCCCTCTCAGATTTCCTGAGTTAATTCTGTCCTGTCTTCAGGACTCAGACTTGGTTATGTCTCCCCAGAGTCCTATTCTCTACTTCAGGAAACACATTTTTCTCATCCTCAGTCTTCTCCTGTGTGAACGTTCAGTGAGGGTCAGGCCTTCACTTTAATGTCTTCATCTTTTCCTTCCTGTCTCAGTACTTCACTTTTTGTAAGAGAATCCATTCAGAGATTCCTCAAAGTGAGGGTATTCATTGGGCCTTTTCTGGAGTGATAGCTTGCATTTTTTTTCCTCCAGTGGGGCTTGAACTGTGTACCACAGTGCATCACAGAGTGCTAGCTACCACTTTGAGCCCAGCTCCACTTCTGGCTTTCTGTGTGGTTAATTGGAGATAAGAGTCTCTCGGACTTTCTGCCTAGGCTGGCTTTGAACCACAGTCCTTGGATCTCAGCCTCTTGAGTGGCTAGGATTATAGGCATGAGCCAGCGTCACTGGTGACAGTTTAATTTTTATATATACTTAAAAAGTCATTGTAGGGTAGATGACATGGCTCATATCTGCAATTCTAGCTACTCAGGAGGTGGAGATGGGGAGGATTGTGGTTCAAGGCCATTCCAGGCAAAAAGTTAATAAGATACCATCTCAGCAAGCAAGCTGGGTATAGTGGGGCATGATATCTTCCAGCTATTCAAGAGGCTGGAGGTAGGAGACTCTGTATGAGGCCACTCCTGGATAAAAATTCAAGATCTTATTTGAACAAATAACCAAAAAGCAGACGAGGGCTAGGGGTATGGGTCAAGTGGGAGAGTCCCTACCTTGTAAGGGCAACGCTCTGAATTCAAACCTATGTCACCTAAAATAAAAACAACAAAAACCCAGCAGTATTCTAGATTAGGATTTTCAGATGGCCTCCATGGAGGACTAGGGCAAAATCTGGTCTGATTCTTTAGGAATATGAACCTTAGGGAGCTGTTTATACTTCAGTATGCAGTTTGAATTCTTGGCAATAGTGACCACATCTACATTCTTTTAATGTAAATTTTTGCTTTTTTAGGAACCAAGACTGTACAAATATCTCAGAACTGTCTAACACATCTGAAAATGATGAGCAAAATGCTGATGATTTGGTATGAAGCTTGTCAGTTTTATCATTACTTTTGTTAAATGTTTAAAAGTTTTTGTCAAATAACAGCTGTTGGGTTGAGAGGTTGGTTCAAATGATAGGGTACCTGCCTAGTAAGTATGAGGCAAAGCCTTGCCTTCAAAACCTAAAACCACCCAATAGAAAAGAAAAAAAAAGACTATGTACAGAGTATGCGGACAATTCTTTCTTTTGGATTTTTTTGGATGGCCCTAACATATAAGCCCATGGATAACTGGTAGAGTTGTTCTGTGGTTTCATTTTATACAGAACAGAAGGCTGTTCTGTACATCTATAAGAATAATGTTAATTTCTACAGAATCTTCTACTTGGGCTTACTGATTTTATTTTGCCAAGATAGATGGGAATAAAAGTATATACACTGGAAAATAATTAAGGAATAGGAAAATATACAGAAACTCAAATCCAAGAAGTAGAAGACTAGATTTCTTTAGGTGTTATAGATAGAGAGCAGAATGTAAACAGTGAATTTTGGATTTAAGAAATGGGGAATACAAGTGTGTGTGTGTGTGTGTGTGTGTGTGTGTGTGTGTGTGTGTGTGTGTGTGTGTGTGTGTGTGTGTGTGTGTGTGTGTGTGTGTGTGTGTGTGTGTGTGTGTGTGTGTGTGTGATGGGGCTTGAACTCTGGGCCTGGTGTGTGTGTGTGATGGGGCTTGAACTCTGGGCCTGGTGTGTGTGTGTGATGGGGCTTGAACTCTGGGCCTGAGCACTGTCCCTCAGCTCAAGGCTAGTGCTCTACTTGAGCCACAGCACCATTTCCATTTTTCTGTTGGTTTATTGGAGTTAAGAGCCTCATAGACTTTCCTGCCCAGGCTGGTTTTGAACTGCGATCCTCAGATCTTAGCCTCCTGAGTAGCTAGGAATACAGGCATGAGCCATTGGCGCCAGGCTCAGTTTTAATATTTCTGTGTAACAGGTTTTTTTGGTGCTGGTCCTGGGACTTGAACTTAGGGCCTAGGCACTGTCCTTGAACTTTCACCACTTGACCCACTGTTCCATCCCTAGCTTTTTGGTGTTTAGAGATAAGCATCTTAAGGACTTTCCTGCCCAGGCTGGCTTCAAACCATGATCCTCAGGTTTCAGCCTCCTGAAGAGCTAGGATTATAGGCATGAGCTACCAGCACCTGTTGATGAGCAGTTGTAATTAGAAAGTTTGGAATCATTGCATGAGTAGCTACATTTTTGAAGCCACATTTTTGACGGAATGGGAGAAAGGTTAAGCATTGTTAAGATGGATAATGGTGCCTTATGCCTATAATTCTAACTACTTCCAAGGCTGAGATGGAGAAGATGGAAGTTTAAAGCCAGCCTGGGTAGAAAAATCTGTGAGATTCTGTCTCCTGTTAGTCAGCAGAATGCTGGACTCAAGGAGAGCTCTAGCCAGCCTAGCAAGCAAATGCAAGACCCTGAGTTAAGAAACCTTAGCTAGCCGGGCACCAGTGGCTCACGCCTGTAATCCTGGCTACTCAGGAGGCTGAGATCTGAGGATCGCGGTTCAAAGCCAGCGGGGCAGGAAAGTCCGTGAGACTCTTATCTCCAATAAACCACTAGAAAACTGGAAGTGGTGCTGTGGCTCAAGTCGTAGAGCGCTTGCCTTGAGCTGAAGAGCTCAGGGACAGCGCCCAGGCCCAGAGTTCAAGCCCCACAACCGACCAAAAAAAAAAAGAAACCTTAGTTATCAGCAGGGTGATGTAATCACAAGATGTTTTGTTTTATTCCTAGGATGATAGTGATCTTCCTAAAACATCTTCTGGGAAAAGGAGAGTAAGTTACACTGCATGACTGACTTTTATGCTCTGTGTATTTTTTGTTTTAAAAACTAAATCTTTGGGGCTGGGAAGGTGGCTCAGTGGCAGAGCGCTTGCCTTGCATGCCTGAGGCCCTGGGTTCGATTCCTCAGCACCACATAAGCAAAAAGAAAAAAGCCAGAAGTGGCACTGTGGCTCAAGTGGTAGAGCGCTAGCCTTGAGCTGAAGAGCTGAGGGACAGTGTCCAGGCCCAGAGTTCAGGTCCCACGACCGGACCCTCCCCCAAAAAATTAAAAAACAAAAAACCCCCCTAAATCTTTGTTTTTTGATTTGGGCTTTGTCCTTGAAAAGTTAAAGTATGTTTATGTTGAATATTATATAGAAGAAAGGAATTGCTACTAAATGTAATTAGGCAATGCTTAAATTGAATTGTTCCAGAGTGAGTGAGTGTGAGATAAGATGGGCGTGGTGGGGGTGGTCAGGACATTGGTCTGTGAGACAAGGGCAGGGGCAAGGGTATAGGGTGACAGGATGCTGGTCTGTAAGACAGGGACAGTGCGGGCAGCAGAGGCCTGCAGGATGCTGGTCAGTGAGACAAGGACAGTAGAGAAGATAGGTTGGTTGGGATGCTAGTCTGGCTGGTGTGGAGGAGCCAGATGCTGTGAATGAAGTGACTTGTTTCTGGTTGTTACCTAGGGGCAGATGATGCTATACTGAAATCCAGGGATGCCATTTAGAATTTGGTAGAGGACCGGCTTCTCGGCCATAGTAGAATCCAAAGGATGTTGAGTTTTGGAAAGGTGGATATGTTAGATCTGATTGTTAGTGTCCCATGGAGCTTGGTCTCCTGGGATAAGGGTGGTTGGTGCTTGTTGTGAGCAGATGGGAAAACAAGATCTTTTAAGGAGATAATTAACTAGGATTTGGTGACTAAATCTTTTGAAAAATGAGGAAGATAAAATTTTAAGGGTAATGGAAAATAAGTTTCGAAAACTGGGTAATTGAATCAGAGTGCCATTAGCCCAGCATCTGATGCAATAGGTTAATAGATCTTTCACAAGAAAATGGTAAAACATTTAAAAATTCATGTTAAATTTCATCCAGTGCTCCTTAAGTTTAAACTTATTAAAAAAAAAAAAATCCAATGCCAGTTTCCTTTCACTATGCTTGCCCTAAATAACATTGAGCATCCAAGACTTGAGTATTATCTGATTTGCCATTTTCATATAGCTTCATTTCTAAACTCAGGTATGCTGAGTTATCTTCATTTCTTTGCTTTATCTGTTGTAAGAAATGATAAACTTAGTTGCTTAAGCAATTAAAAAAATGTTCCTACCCTATAGATGTGTGGATCAGAAGCTGATATGGGCCTTGCTGGGCTACAGTCATGGTGTTGGCTTGGCTGGAAGCTTTAGAGGTAGCTCTTGGTATTCTCCAGCTTCTCAAGGTTGCCCCCACCCTTTGGGGCAGGCAACCTTCTTATAGTCAAGCCAGCAGTGTGATGTCTCTGATAGAACTCTCAGTCTCCCTCTTACAAAGATCCTGTTATAGCAGTGGGCCCATGTGGTACAATTTCCATATCTTAAATTCCATCCGCAAAGTACCTTGTCCCTGTGATGATGATCTAAGGATTGTGATATTGATATCTTCAGTGGGGCTGTTACTTTGCCTGTCACATTATGGAATTCAGGCGTTCATAATCTATGAAAACCAATTTTATACGTTAGTGAAGTAGCCATTGAGTGGGCATTGTGTTCTGTTTGGAGTATGCTTTTCATAGATAATCATGTAGCTTTTCTGAAATGGACAGGTTATATTGAATTGTGTTTGAATTACACTTTAAAATTTAATTTTGAAGAAATGTGTTTAGAACAATGTGTGGCGTGACATACATTGTAAAGTAGCCATAATTCTTAATGACACAGAGAACACAGTAAAGATGGTTCAGTTGCATTTTTGCCATAGTGTCTTATGTAGTTTTTTTCCTATAAAACTTTTTAATATTATGAATGTATTTTTAGGTCCATGACTGGAAAAAAAGGAGCAGCAAAGCTACCAACTATATTGAAAGCAGCTGGGAGAAACAGTGTAAGGAGCTAGTGAACTTAATTTTTCAGTGTGAAGATTCTGAGCCATTTAGACAACCTGTTGATTTGGTTGAATATCCAGTAAGTTTCCATTGTTTGAATGTCTGGGAATTTTCTTGTTTTGTGAAGAGCAGATGAGGGCAGAGGTATTTAAATGAAGTCTTAGAGAGTAGAGACTATAACAATGAACAGAGTATAAGAAAGCCTGGTAATTGCTGAAGAGTGTAAAGCAGGAAATTAAAAAAGCTTTCATGTCCTATTATCAGGAGACATTAACAATGAAATATTTCTTTGTACCTTGCTTTTATATCTGGATGTGTTAGGTTTTATGTTAATTTTTTCCACCACTAAATTAGCTGTAGGAGCATAAAGAGTACTTTTTTTATTTGTTAAGCAGTATTTCGTAGCAATGGTTTATAAATGGTTATCTCTTATCAGCATTATGTAGGCTTAGCACTAGGAAAAGCAGAAGAGTGGGACAGTTTCATTCATTTAAAGTAACTGGAACATTTCTTCAATTCCCTATTTTGACTTTCCCCAACAAATAAACAAGAGAAATGATAACACAGATGTACCGTAGGGAGCTTGGGAATCACTGAAGAGTATGAAGCAGGACATTGATATTTGGAAATAATATTCTTTCTACTTCATATTTATATCTGAGTCTGTTTTTAATCATTATTAACTCTTAACATCTCTCTCACTTTTTCTCTTTTATCACTGAATATTTTCAAGGTCTTATGTATTTATGATTTTAAGAGCAAGAAATTCATCTATGAATTATTTTTAAAACCTAGGACTACCGAGATATTATAGACACTCCAATGGATTTTGGCACAGTAAGGGAAACTCTAGAAGCAGGAAATTATGACAACCCTTCGGAGTTTTGTAAAGACGTTCGGTTGGTATTTAGCAATGCAAAGGCATATACACCAAACAAGAGATCAAAGGTAATTAAAAATATATTTATTATATTCAAGTAGTTGTACAGAGTTGGTCATTCAACAAAGCAGCTTTATGAATACTGTGTCTTGATTAATGTTGAAGGTAATTTTTAAAGTGTTTTTTTAGTCAAAGTGTGCACGATCTGGGCTGGGAAGGTGGCTCAGTGGTAGAGTGCTTGCCTTGCATGCATGAGGCCCTGGGTTCGATTCCTCAGCACCACATGAGCAGACAAAGCCAGAAGTGGTGCTGTGGCTCAAGTGGAACAGCGCTAACCTTGGGCTGAAGAGCTGAGGGACAGTGCTCAAGGCCCCATGACCAACAACAACAATAAAGTGTGCATGATCTGTGTATTTCCTACTTTCTGAAAGCTTAAAGAGAGGTGAACCATGAGGATGGCTATGATGGACAGAGTTGCTGCCACCCAGCAGTTTTTGTCTTACAATAATTGACGCTTATCATAATCTACTGAAATTTTCTGCTGAGGTGAAATTTGGTTAGAACGAACAGATTTTTCAGTTACTGGGGATTCATTGTGTCTGATGAGAGATTCAAAGCCAGCTTGGACAGAAAAGTCTGAGAGATTATTATTTTGGAAAAATAACTTGTGGAAAGCTGACTGCAGTTGTGGCTTAAGCGGTAGAACACCAGTTTAGGAAGTGTAAGGCTCTGAGTTCAAACAACACTACCAGCAAAGGGAAAACAACAAATGTGATACACAGAATGAGATATATGAGTCTGGTAGAGTCTGGAAGAACATTAAAAGTAAAAAAAGAGAAAAGAGAATTGAGGATACTGACTACATAACCATGTTTTAGGTCTGAAAATGTGACACAGGAGCTATCATTATACAAGCAGCATAGCTATCATACAACCAGTATGATGGCATAGCCTTTAACCTTGGCTGCTTTGAGTTGTTAAGGTCAAACCAGCCTCAAGAAAATGAGCTCCTCTCCCAAGACTACAGTCCCAATACAAGATCCATGGAAATGGCTTAAGTGGGAGAGTGCTTGCTTAGCCAGTCTATGGCTCTGTCTGGGTTGTTTCCAGTACCATTAAAAAAAAGTTTAGACAGCACATTGCTCCGTTCTTATTAAACATTATTTATATGCGGGATAATTTTTAACATGTGTGGTAAATAACCAAAAGTGCTTGTAGTATATCCTCAGTTTTCATAATCAACACAGCCTTATGGCCAATGTATATGCTACATGATTTAAAAAAAAAAAACAGTCAATGTGAAATATTTATTTGATAGTGTCTTCAGTCACTTCAGTCATCAGTCAGTGACTCTGCTGATGGATAATTTTGCCCTAAGTTCATTTGGCTTCACTATATAATGTCAGACTACTATATTACTAAATCTAGATTTAATTAAGGGCGGAAGTGGCACTGTGGCTCAAGTGGTAGAGCACTAGCCTTGAGCTGAAGAGCTGAGGGACATCGCCCAGGCCCAGAGTTCAGGCCCCATGACCGGACCCCTCTCCCCCCAAAAATTGTCCAAGTAAAAAACATAAAATCACAGACACATAAGCTTATATCAGTTATATGGAGAGGTATTTCACAGTTATATCTCCACACACATTTATACTGTACTCCAATCCATCTTACCTCCTCTGTCATACTGTGGATCTATTGCTGCTTCGTTGAGGAAAGGGTTAGGGAGTGGGATGTATTTTCTTATATTGGTTGTGCTGCATCTCTGTAGTTCACATGTAGAGACTTACTCATATTTGGCAGCATAGTCAAGTTGCAAACACAGATGGTAGAAATGTGCTTTTGTTCCCCAGGCTCAAACAGTTGCTGCTCTTTTGCTGCCAATAACAGCTTTAAAACCAAGTAACTTCCAGAAGAGCTTTAGGAGACATTCATTCTTTGGCTTAGACATGCAGATATGAGAAAGTAGAAAAGAGAGTAAGATCTATTAACATGTAGACTCAAGTCTTGGATTCTAGATCTTATGGAGCTATTTGATTTAAAATGGCTTTCTCTATCATCAGAAAGCTATGTGTTTGAAATGTCCTATTTCTTCACAGATGTCATTGAAGGAGAGGGCTGGAAATAGGAAAATGGTGATAGGATATATTGCAGATCATATCAGTTACTCTAAATAGAGTACTGTGAAAGATTTTTTTCCTTAATTCTTGTTTTATTCCTGTGTCTCTGCAGATCTATAGTATGACCTTGCGATTGTCTGCCTTATTTGAGGAAAAAATGAAGAAGATCTCCTCTGATTTTAAAATCGGTCAAAAATTCAATGAAAAACTTCGACGAAGCCAGAGATTCAAGAAAAGCCAAAATTATAATGGTGTCATACAGGCCAATCAACGTGTCAGGTATATTGCTTATGCCTTGCTTCCTAGACAGTCCTTTTTACTTTAAGGTCATTATACTACTTTGATTATGCTACAAGTTCTTGATGTTTTTAGAACACTATATATTAAAAAGAAAAACCTAGTAGCAGATTCTTTTTTCCTTTTCTTTCTTTTTTTTGATCAGTCCTGGGGCTTGAATTCTGGGCCTGGGCACTATCCCTGAGCTTCTTTTGCTCAAGGCTAGCACTCTCCACCATTTGGGCGACAGCGCCACTTCTGGCCTTTTCTGTTTATGTGGTACTGAGGAATTGAACCCAGGGCTTCATGCATGCTAGGCAAGCCCTCTTACCACTAAGCCACATTCCCAGCCCCATAGTAACAGCTTCTTAAAGTTTGAAAGCAGTTCTGTCAATGTAGAGCAGTTAAATGCTTATTAGACCTTTATGAAATCATAGATTTAATAAAATATTTGTCTTTTGCATAAGAAATGGCTATATGTATATATACACACACATATACATACATACATACATACATACATACGGTCTTCAACTCTGGGCCTGAGTGCTGTCCCTCAACTCTTCACCTCAAGTGGTAGCATGCTAGCTACAGCGCCATTTCCAGTTTTCTGGTGGTTATTGGAGATAAGAGTTTCACGGACTTTCCTGCTCGGGCTGGCTTTGAACTGTGATCCTCAGATCTCAGCCTCCTGAGTTAGCTAAGGTTACAAGTGTGAGCCACTGGCGCCCGGCTTAAAAATAATTTTTTATTGAGCTTGATTACCTAAATTTCACAAATTTTACAGTATTGTGGGATGATAATTAGTTAAAGTCACAAACTTTAACCTTCACAAGACAAATTGTCATTATTATGGTCCACAACGTTTGCAAATTCTATGAGTTTTGACAGTACAACCGAGAAATGGCTTGTTAATATAGAGTAAAACAATTACTCTGTGATCTTTTGAGCATCTAACTCTGGGAGGGCAAGTGTTTATTAGCTATAATGTACCTTATACAAGTGAAGATTAGTCCTAAGAAATTTATCAGTAATTTTGTATTTATATTCTGTTTTCGTTTACTATACAGCTTACGTTAATACCAAATTTTCAGTACTCTGAAGTGTTGGAATGTGGAAGTTGTGTGATTGGAGTTTGTTTCCATGTATGTTATGAATATGAAGTATACCTGAGGTGGGGTTTCCTTGTTCATCTCTGTTCTCAGCACTGTTTCCAGTTAATACTTTTTGTCCCCCAATACATATAGAAACTTTAGCTCCCCTCTTCTGCCTTATTTTACAGTTGTCCTATGGATCACATCTTTTTTTCCTGCCAATTCTTGGGCTTGAACTCAGGGCCTGGTCACTGTCCCCGAGCCTCTTGGTATTCAAGGCTAGTGCTCTACCATTTGAGCCACAGTGCTCCTCTGGCCTTTTCTGAGTAGTTTATTGGAGATAAGAGTCTCATGGACTTTTCTACCCAAGCTGCCTTCAAACTGCCATCCTCAGATCTCAGCCCCTGAGTAGGTAGGATTATGAGTGTGACCTGGCACCCAGCTGGATCCCATCTTTATATGACATGTTTTGTGTAGCTATCTCTTAAGAATAAAAATCCTGTTACTTTTGAGACTTGTACTTGAATTTGCCTTTCTCAGTTATAAAAGTTTTTATTTGAGTGATCCTCTGGTATCCCCTTTTTCTTGCTTAAAGAGTTCTTTTAAAATTGCTTATAAGGAAGACATGCTAGCAGTGAATTCTTTTGTCTTCTTATTGAAGAATCCTTTTGCTGCATATAAAAATTGTACATGTTGGCCGGGTTCTGGTGACTTAAGCCTGTAATCCTAGCTACTCAGGAGACTGAGACCTGAGCATCATGGTTCAAAGCCAGCCTGGGCAGGAAAGTCCGTGAAACTCTATCTCCAATAAACCACCAGAAAACCCGAAGTGGCACTGTGGCTCAGGTGATAGAGCACTTGCCTTGAGCTGAAGAGCTGAGGGACAGCACTCAGGCCCAGAGTTCAAGCCCCATGACTAACAAAAGAAAAAAAAATGGATATGTCACTTTGCCTGCCAGCATTTTTAATGTTTTGTCTTACTGTTTCTGAAGAGAAATTTGCTACTGATCTGAGGTTCCCTCTCTTGTGTATATGAGTTGTTTTTCCCTTGCCTATTTCATGATTTTTATCCTTGTACTGTTTGCTGATCATGGTGGGTATAGGTTTGGAGCTCTGTGTGTGTGTGTGTGTGTGAGTGTGTGCGCGTGCGCATGCATGCATGTGCGTGCACTGAGTATGTGTGGTGTGTATCCTACTTGGAATTTGTCTAGTTTTGTTGATGTCTAACAGTTTTCATGAAATGTGAGAGATTTTTTTCAGCCATTATATCTTTAAATATCACTTTCATATCCCAAGTAGGAATCCTTTAGGGGCTCTTAAAGTGTTTATACATGTTTGGATAATCTTGAAAATCACCAAATCTTCTGCCAGCCAAGATCCACTACTGGATTTAACTGCTTGTTTCATTTATCGCCCTTTTCAACTTTGGAATGACATTTGGGTGGATCTCTGTTTATATTCTCTTTTTGATGAGTCTTTTTTATTTTTATTTTTTTAGTTCTGTAAATGTAGTTTCCTTTAGTTCTTTGAAAATTTTTCTAATAACTGATTTTAATGTCTGCAGTTTTAAAACCAAGTCTGACATCTGGGTTGTCTTAAGAGCTGTCAGTGGTATTTGCTGTTAGTGTACTATTAAACTGCTTCTGATCCCTTTTCCTCAGTGACAGTGCTTCTGCTTTTAGTTCTTTCTTGAGTGCATTGCCTGTCTCTCCTTGCTCTGTTCAACCACTGAAGTTTTTGTTTTACCCTTCCACTCCAACTTGATTTTAGTTCTTATTTTTGAGCTTAGCTTCTTGGATATCTGAGGTCAGAAAACTTTACATGAACTTTTGAGTGAGTCTCACAGCAAACATTTCCGTTTTCCTCATGTCCTAAGTCTGTCTTTTAAATTTTGGCTGAATTCTTGGTGAATTCAGCTTAATGCAGCTGTCCTGGCCTGTGCTGTTGGCCCTGTGGAACTACCTGCAGTCAGCTTTTAAATGAAGATCTCAAACTGCTAATTCTCAAACCTTTTGAGTCCTGGGAATATAAGAGAGAGGGTGGGGGAATGGAGAGATGATGTGTGTATAGCACTGCACTTCCTAGGTTTGAGAACCCCTCCCCTCTCTTTACCCTTTCTTACTTTTTCCTTCCCCCATCTTTCTCTCTGTTTATCTCTATTTATTTTGCAGAACTGGTGGTGATTGAACGTAGGGCCTAGGCAGATAAGGTGTCTACTACTTGAGCAATGTTCTCAGTTCTGTAGTTTTCTGTGTTTTCTTTGGAGGGAAGTTGGAGGTAGTACAGGGAATTGAACTCAAGGCCTCAGATTTGCTAGGCCAGCAGTTTTGAGCCACTTCTCCAGCCCTTGGTTATTTTTGAGATGAAGTTTTGCTATATCCCTGGTTATGATTCTAAAGTGTTCAGCATGTATTTGGTACTTGGGTTATTTATTCATTACTTTAAATTTGAATAGAAATATGCCAAAAGAAGAGAAAGGAAAGATAGTAATCCATATTAGAACGATATTGATAGTATGTCTTAATATCTTCATCATGAAAGTATCCTCAGATTAGTGAAAAAAACACTTATCTACTGACTCTCTGAACCAGTTCATTTGTTTTAATAAATACTATTTTTTTATTCATACCTTACTCAGAAATATCAAGCAGAAGCGGTTAAAATCTCAGACAAAAGTAATTCCTGAGTTGGCAGATTCTCCTCTCCAGTTGACCTCAAGTAGGGCAGCTCATCCTGGAAGCTGTGAGGCAAGTGCTGGATTGTCTTCAGGAGCCATGTCTTCTGGTGACTCTTCCGACTCTGCTGCATCATCAGAAGGAATAAGGAGAAATAGACCTGTTACCCTAAGAAGTGGCTCTGTGCTCTCTGGTAAGCAGCAGAACATTGTTTTTAGCTATTGAAAATACACCGTAGTAGTGCCGTTACGGTGGGGATGGAAACAAAATGAAACACGGCCTTGGCACTACACTGCAAGAGCATAGGGCTTCACAAAGAGACAAAAATAACACAGACCCATTAGAACTATGTTTGATAAGAACGGTGTTTGGCAAATGGTGTAACTACGTTTTATGGAAATTTGCATCCTTCAGCATTTAAAAATATTAATATTTGTTGCAACTTGCATGTCATCTTAAAAAGAGTGTTGATAGTCTTGTTAAGTTTCAGGTTTTGTTGACACAGTTATAGTTTAGTGGGTAACTATAGCTGAAGCTAACTCTGTATCAACCTGTGTAAGTAAGGCTGTGGTGCTTATGTAGATTTGCCTTGCCTGGAGTGGTTTTGGTGACTTGTGATTATTGATTTACTGTTTTAACTTAATGCTTATTGTATGTCTCTCATCCAATATTTCATTACATGGTATTGAAAAATATACCTGCAAATAAAAATTTGGAATGAGAGTGAGTTATAGGAATCTGCTATGGAGATAGTCAGACAAGCTGATAGAACTCTGTGTGTATTTATAGAGTAACATGACCAAACATTTGTGACAGAGTGGTTGAAATGGGGACCTGGATTAGGTAAGCAGGGAGAAAAAGCATGGAACGAAATGATGCTCATGGGAAGACTTCTTTTGGGATACATGAAAAAGAGTGGGTTAACAGATAGAGATTGCACCCACATTTCAGAGCCTTGCCTAACCTTGCTACAGATGGCTACTTAATACTGGGCCCCTTGTCCAGTAACTGTCTCTTTTAGGAAGATAAGCCAATTGAGTAATGATGTGCGAAGAAAGAGTCTGAAGGCAGGTGTGGAGTGGATAGGAGCAATCTCTAAGCGAGAAATACAGTTTGGTGTACAGGTAGGAGAATATTAGAAATAGCTGTCATTTTATTTTTTCCTAGAAAGTGAAACAGAAGATTCCTTAGCTACCTCTTCATCCTCTTCAGCTTCTGATAGTTCCGAGGAAAGCAAAGTGAGTTCAAGAGCTCATGATTCTTTGCGCAGTGGGCTGTCAAGAGGCAGCAGTTTCAGGGTGACCAGAACTAGAGCTGCTCAAAGAAAAACTGGTAAGAGACTCCCATGCCAGTGGGCAGGGCGTGTAACATCTATGTGCGACCAGCTGTGTATTAGACTAAATTTGGAAAGGAACTCGATTTTGTCATTAAAAAGTAAAGAAAATCATAAAAAAAAGAGCATTGAGAAAATGTCTAATGGCTGAGGGGAGGGTTTGTTTGAGTCCATCTTGGCCTGGAGAGAGCTACAGAACATGGTACTTTCTTAAGGGAAAAAAAGTTGAAAGTCTAAGCTAGGTTAAGCTAGGTTCCAGTGGCTCATGCCTGTAATCCTAGCTACTCAGGAGGCTGAGATCTGAGGATTGTGGTTCGAAGCCAGCCCGGGCAGGAAAGTCTGTGAGACTCTTCTCTACAATAAACTACTCAGAAAAAAAATGTCAGAAGTGTGGTGCTGTGGCTCAAGTGGTAGAGCACTAGCCTTGAGTAAAAGAAGTTCAGGGACAGCGTCCAGGCCCAGAGTTTAAGCCCCAGGACTGGCCAAAAAAAGAAGAAAAAAAGAAAACCTGTCTAATTTATTGTTATCTTTTCCCTAGGTTCCATTTCTTTAGAAAATGGATGTGGCAGAAAAGCTGCTCGAAAGAGAGTCTATTCAAGTGATTCTGATAACAATTCACTACAGACTGGTGAAATTCTAAAAGCCAAAGCTGGAAGTAACCGTAAAGTCCTGCGCAAGTGTGCTGCTGTGGCTGCCAGTAAGCTAAAGCTAATGAGTGATGTAGAAGAAAATTCCAGCTCTGACGAGTCCTGCTCTGGACGGAAGCTTCCTCATCGCAATGCTTCTGCAGTAGCTCGGAAGAAGTTGCTATACAATTCTGAAGATGATCAGAGTCTAAAGTCAGAAATTGAAGAAGATCGAAAAGATGAAAACAAGCCATTGCTGGTGTCCAGTTGTCATGCTCCCCACAATACTGTCAGTGAATCTGAAAACGGAGATTCAGAGTCAGAAAGCGATTTACGGGTAGCCCGGAAGAATTGGCAGGCTAATGGCTTTAAGTCCTATACTCAGGCAACTTGTAAAACAAAATTTCCTGAAATAGAGTCTTCTGAGGAAGAGTCTAGAAGTCATGATTCAGACAGTGGACACAACAGAATTGCTCGTCCTTCAACATCTGAGCAGAAAACTCAGACAGAGTGTCTCTCAGAGGAAGCTGAATCTGAGCCAGGAGACAGTGTGTTTCGCAAGAATGTGAATATCTTTAAGAAGGCAAAAATCTTGAGTGATTCAGAAGACTCAGAAGAACAACATAGAGAAGATGCTAGATGTCACAAACTGGAAATGAGCCCAGTTTCAGGGAACTTGAAGTGTGAGTCTGCTGCAGTGCCTCAGTCTTTCTTGGATCATGTATCTGAAACTGATGTAGAATCAGATGACAGCAAAACAAAAGGAAAACCACATAGTTTTAAGAAAGGTAATTAAACATATTTTCCTTGGTTCACTAATTTAATATACTATTCTCTTTCTGCTGCTCATCAATGCTTTTTCCCATGGCAAACATTGCCAGCTGCATGTCTTCTCCATCACTTGTTAGCCGACAGGACAGCAGAAGGTAAGCACCCACCCACACCAGCCACCTGTGGCAGCTTGTTCCCAAGCAAGGTGGACTGGCTAAATGTAAGGAAGGGCATCACAGTAGCTCTTTTTTTTTTCTTTTTTCACTTTCTTTTTGTATGTGTGCAAGTCTTGGGGCTTGAACTCTCGGGGCCTTGGCACTGTCCCTGAGCTTTTTTGCTCAAGGCTAGCACTGTACTACTCAAGCTGCAAGCTCTGCTAATGGTTATTTAGTAATTAGTTGGGGATGAGTCTCATGGACCTGCCTGGGCTGGTTTACAACTGCATTCTTCAGATCTTAGCCTTCTAAGTAGCTAAGATTACATGTGTGAGCTACTATCACCTGGCTGCCAGCAGCTGTTTCTACAGGAAGTGTCTAAGTACTTTGTGGTGTTTATGAGGCTGTCTCTCTCTCTCTCTCTTTTTTTTTTTTTGGGTCTGGTCACGGGGCCTGAACTCTGGGCATGGCACTGTCCCTCAGCTCTTCAGCTCAAGACTAGCGCTCTACCACTTGAGCCACAGCACCACTTTTGGCTTTTTTCTTTTTGCTTATGTGGTGCTAAGGAATTGAACCCAGGGCCTCAGGTATGCAAGGCAAGCGCTCTCCCACTGAGCCACCTTCCCAGCCCCAAGGCTGTCTCTTAACTCCACAGCACAGTGATGAAGTAGTGGTTGAGTTAAGATCATACTACTAGTAATGGGGATTGGCTTCAAAAAGCACGAAAACAGTGAAATGGAAGAACAAAGCATTGTGATTGAACTGTGGTCTTAAAAGTATGGTGGAGGGCGAGGAAGGTGGCTTAGTGGTAGAGTGCCTTCCTAGCTTGCATGTAGCCGGAAGTGGTGGTGTGACTCAAGTGGTAGAGTGCTAGCCTTGAGCAAAAGAAGCTCAGGGACAATTCCCAGGTCCTGAGTTCAAGCCCCAGAAATGGCATCCCCCAACTCCCCCCCCCCCAAAAAAAAAAAAAAGAAAAGTGATGGAGAATTAGGGATTCGTTGGTATTCTTTAGCACAGTCGCAGACATTTTTTCTGGGTTCATGAAAAGCTTTATGAGCGTGGGTGTTGCTGCTGGCAATAGTTTAGAGGTTGGAAAACTCAGAGTGAGTGGTGTGGACTTAATATATTTATTTAAATCATTTCAAAGGTTGAACATTAACTGTTGTTTTAGAAGTAATTACTACCTTACCAAAATTTAAAAGAATACTTATTAATTTTTAGATTTGACACCACAAGATGATGAACAAAGCAGAAAGGTTTCCAGGAAAAGATTCTGCCCCAGGGGCTCAGAGAGCAGTTCAAAGGCAACTAAGAAATCCTCAAAAGCCAAGACAGGTTCTCTAAGGATTACGCGAAGCAGCTCCACTGTGGCTGCCAGCAAGGGGCAACTTGTGAGCAGCACAGACGGTGCTGGTCTAGAAAATGTGTATCCTAGAAGGACAAGGAAAAAGCCCCTACGTTTTGCTTGTACCACAGCTAAGAAGGCACTGAGTGAGGATGAGAATGCTGTGGACTGTGAAGTGCCCAGTGAACAGTCTGCATGTGGTGGTCAGCCCCCAGAGCCTGACTCTGAAGGCAGCACAAAGAGTGTTGGACACACCGTAGATGGAGACTCGGATTCTGAAGGTGTTCCAGATTCAGTGCCTAAAAGCAGGCATGACCGTTCTCACAACACAATTGTACATTGTAAAACAAAAGGTTCTTCTGTTGGGTTTTCAGAAGCAGACTCCAAAAGCCATGCTTCAGGGAGTGAGGGTAGTAGCTTTCCTTCTGAGTCAACAAAAGCTCCTGTAGAGAATAACTTCGAAGAAGAACTGAACTATGGGCTCCGCAGGTGGAATGGCAGAAGACTCAGAACCTATGGAAAGGCTCCTTTCAGAAAGAGGACTGCGGTCCACAATCCACAGACAGCGGCAGTAGGGGAAGTCAAAAGGAAAAGATTGCATTCTGAGTTAGAAGATGTGAACGTGTCTGAACGAACTGGGAGTTCAAAGTGCAGACCCAACACCAGCCCCACGTCATCCGACGCGGATTCCATTGTTGACTCAGAGGTTGATTGCACCGATAACACAAAAACCAAAAGGAGGAAAACAAAAGGAAAAGCAAAAGTAGTTAGAAAAGGTAAAGGTTTTACAAGTAACACATCTAAAACTGTGAGACGGCAGAGACAAAGCAAACGTCCTAGGCTGAGTGTGGATGATGACGACTGGGAGGAGTTGGATTGTGCAAAGTCTAAGAGAGTTCTTCGTCGCTCAAAAATAAAAACGAGAAATCAGGGTAGACGGACCGTGAGGTACCACGATGGGGATGATGACAGAAGCTTAGAGAATGTGCTAGAGCTGAAGGAGTGCACCTCATGACCTTGAGGGAGCCAGGTCACTTAAGAGGAGACGGACTGGAGAGTATGGCGAAAGCTGGCTGATAATAACATTAGTTTGTCTTACAATTCAGGGAATATATTTATATTTTTCTATGAAAAGTTATGAATGTGACTAAATCATGACTGTTATTTTTATTTGCACTTGCTGGTTTTTGTAGCAGCGTTCAGTACAGGTGCCAAAATATGCTTCGTTTTGGGGGCAGATCTACTTTGACAGTATTTGACTACATATAGGAAGAGTTAAACACTAGAGACCAGAGAGCATTACGTCCTGGTAGCAAGTGTCCTGCAGTGTTTTTTTGTTTTTTTTTTCCTGAGTTACTGCAGAGCTGGTAGCTTCTAACCCCCATCCTATACAGTAGGTGAACAATTTCATGTGACCTATGTTTACAAATTCTTCATACATGTGTGTATACTGACGTAATAATCATGGAAGTGCAGCCATGATTAGCAGGCCAGGTACCTACCACTTTTCCCCCTTTCCTTGTCTACTTGAGTAGAATGCATTATACTAGATTTGGTCATTTTCATTGAAGTGGTTTCTAAGTTTCTTTCCAAATGCTGTTGGCTCTTTTTGTTTTATAAGGGACATGTGATCACTTTTATTTTATAAACTTGAATTTATAAATGCTGGTAAATTATTGTAATGTTTTGAGTGCATATTTTAAACTCTAAGGCCAGGGGATAGTCAGCATTTTCTTTTAGATTGTAGACTAACAAAATGTTACATAATTTTTCTTTTGTCAAAGATCTCCTAGTTTTCCATTGTAAGGGGTTTAACCAAAATCTTGCTCTTCCATAATTTTACTCTGAAATAGAGGAGTTTGTGTGCCTTAGGTTTAGAGGAAGTATGTTCTTTAATAGAGTGTACAGGGCTAAAATTATTTAAGTTATATGTAGATTTCTCCCTTTGTATTAAAATTGTAGAGAGGAATTTTGTTAAAGAGTGCAATTGCAAATCTTACCTAGATAGGAGAATAGTTAAATGTCTTTTCTTCATCTCTTTGAGCTTCATTGCTGCCAGGTGCAATTCTAAGCAACCTTTGCTTTAGGTGACAAAATGCGTTTTTATTTATGCTATCTCATCCAAATAAGTAAGACACTCTCATCCATTTGAAGTGAAACTTTATCACATCATCCCATGTACCATAGTACACTTATTTTTGAGCCAAACATTTTCACTTGATGGGCTTTTCAACTCTAAACAGTATAGGTGGCCATTCCTAACATTTGTCCCTGAATGGTTTACATATTTGGTAGATAAGAACATCTATACCTTTAAGTTATTTGTTGGACTTAGTTGTGTTTGGTTTTAAGCAGAATTAACCCTTTCTCCTGTGTTTCCTTGAGGTGGCAGACAAGCAGAATCACTTGACTGTGGTGTCAGTGTTAGAGAGTGTTTTTAAGCATCCTTCATAGTAGTTATCTGTTCCACTTGACATAATAGCAGGGACTTAGTCTTTCTGTGCCAATGCAAGGGAAGTGGGCAGGTATTTGGACATTGCCAACAGAGATAGGCTAAGTACTTGCCTCTCATCTAGTGGTTTAGAGATACTCTGTCCCACCACAAAGTTAAAGCTCTGATGCTTTTCTTCTTTGAGCTCCTGTTAAGTATCTAGTAGACAGACTGATTCAGGACAGTTGTCTTCGTTGACCTAAAAAATACATAGGATGCCTTCTATATCCCTAATTTTAAGAACTAATATAGTTTAGTTATCAGAGCCATTAATTTATTTAAGGTCTTCTTAAGTTCTCTCTGATTATATCTGTTCTCAGGGTTATAACTCCATGTTTACCATCATCTACAAAAAGTACCAAAAACCCATTAGAAAATACAAAGTACACTCATCCGTTAGTATGTAAATTCTTTTATAAAACCTTGGACAATTTGGGCTTTATGGGAGAACTGTTCAGTCTTTGTATGGAGTTAGCTGGTTGGCTGCTCAATCAGTTACTGATTTTTCTTTTTGTCCAAAATGGTTAGACCTTTGTGTATAGAAGCAGCGTTTTGGTTTCATCAGAAAGCAAGAATGGGTCTGGTGACTTTAAAAGTGTGGTTGGCCATGATGGCCTCTCAACTTGAGAAGTAAAGTTAAATGCGTATGGAGAAAAGCATTTTATGTTTTTTGTGTTGTTTTGTTATGGTGCTATTCCTGAAGTTTGAAGATGTGACACACTCCTAAATACCATTAAGGACAATTAATAAATACTAGTTGAAATGTTTACATTGAGCACTAGCACATGTTTGACTTCTTTCTACTGACTTGAGTTAAGCAGGGACTTCGTGCACAAATGCACTTTAATGTTTAGGATCAGTGTGGGCTCTTCTTGAGAAAAAGACAAAGGGTTAACAAAGTGAATGTGAGCTGGTCCAGAAATAAGTGCTATTGCTTTCTGTTGCACTTGAAGTCATTTAATGGTGTTTATGAAAAATGACTTTATTTTCCATTCTGGCTGTATGTCCAAAATCTATGATTTTATTCAGTTATGTCTTTCTTTAAAAAAAAGGTTTTGAAGTATTCAGATGTGATGTTTACTTCCTTTGAAAGATTAATTTTACCAAGCGTATTAAGAAAAAGAGATTTTGAACATTTAAAAGATGAGGTTTGAAAAGTATCTTTTACCCCACCTCCTATTTATTTAACAGAGTGTTCTAACAATGTGTAGTGACTTCTGTATGAATAAAAGGAACATTTGTCCCATTTTCAGATAATTCCTAGGGTTGTCATTCTGTTTCTTAAAGTGGAAAAAATCTCAGGTCACATAATTTCTCATGTAATACTTGAAGTTGTTAGGCTCATCTTCTAAGTTTTCATAATGTAGAGCTTTCTTCTGCATAGTATAGTTGTGCCTGAAGAGGTAATTGATTTTCAATAAGAAAATTGAAGAAGGTGCTTTGAGAAAAGGCATTTCAAAACCTAGAGGTGCAAGTGGAAATAGGAAGCTATTCAACAAACCCATAAGAATATTGAGGGTATCACTGTCCAAAAGTTAAGATATACATGTGTTCTTTGTATGAATAGCTAACCCTAAGTAAAAATTCTTCATGAGGAAATTGGGTACACACTGCATTCATTGCTAGTACCTCTTATTAAACTCTTCCTTTCCCCCTACAGAGCAATCAACACAGAACTTATCTTTATTATATAATATTACAAGATTAAATTGGTCTGGTTATCCTCGGCTCACGCTTATAATCCTAGGATCTCAGGAGGTTGAGATATGAGGGTCTTGGTTCGAAGCCAGCATGGGTAGGAAAGTCAGTGAGACTCTAGTCTCTGATTAACCAGCAAAAATAGCTGCAAGTGTAATTGTGGTGCAAGTGGTAGAGAGTTTAAACTTGAGTGAAAAAGCTCAGGGACAGTGCTCAGGCCCTGAGTTCAAGCCCTAGGACTGGCCAAAAAAAAAAAAAAAAGATTTGAATCTTATCAGTACAAGTTGATTGATTATGTCAGCTGAAGGAAATGAGAGAAACGTTTGTGTCAGCAGATTGCAAAAGCATTGGTGATGGGGCATGCAGTGGTGTTTGTTTTCCACTCTCAAGTTGGTTCTTAAATATTTTGAATTGCTAGACACTGGTTTTGTGTTTTGTCTTTTTATAGCTGAAATAACCAGCTCCAATCTTGTCATTAGTAGAAAGTCATTATGTGTACTTTATCAGGTGCCTCACAGGTGTCCCATTGGAGAGAAATTGTAGTTCATTATTCCTGCAGAGCATTGTGAAGTGCTTTGCACCTAGTATTGCTGTTTAAGTTATTGCCCCTCCCCCAACTCTTGCTGTTAGGTACCAGAACATGATAAAGTAGAAACCCTATGAAGTTGTGGTTTGATACCATATGCTGGTATTTGGAACCATAAAGACAAAACCAAATAAAACTAGTCAAAACAAGGAAGAAAATGGGACAGTGTGGAGAAAACTAGAATGCAAATGTTAATCTCACTTGTACAGCCAAATGATGAATTTCATGGAGAGGATAGGGGAGTAAAGACTGGAACGCTGGGGATTGTGTTGCCTTTTCTTACATTTTAAGTAAGTTTTAGAAGCTCTTAAAATAGAAGGTTGTTAAGTATACCTGGGGAGTTTCAAATTTGGGATTTTTTTTAACCAAGTCTTTTGTGTAATCTGCAAAAGTTGTTCTCTAATAGATTAATTTAGTGGGAAAATACCAAATTTGAGTTGGGGTCCCCTCACCCTTTTCTGGATTTGATGTCAGGTGGGGGGCCGGTGGGTTCACAGTATTGGACCCTAGAAATCTTCAGTCATCGTCTCTGGCTAAAGGTAAATGACTGCAGGCTATCTTTCCCAACTATGGCAAGATGATAGATTCGTTGGATTTAATTACCAGTGCTTCAGTATACTTCCTGGTTATAATTTAAAGTTTAAATCAACTTTAAGGTAAGTGTGTTCTATCTATTAATAATGAGAATTTGGGCTGCTAATGAGAAGGTAATTTACTGACTAACAGAAACAAGATCAGCTCCAGGCTATATGGACTCTAGCAGCTTCCCCGTTACTTCTTTTGATTAAAATGTGGTTGAAAGTTGAAGGAATCTTTAATTTTTAATACATGGGCCAGACCTTGGGCTGTAGCAGCACATTTAGTTCACCTGCAGGATCCTAACAGTATCTTACAGGGTCCCATCACAAAGGCAAAATTACTCATTTTCCACTTCAACGTAAGTTGTCCCCCCCCCCCCTTTTTTTTTGGTGGTACATCAACAGAGCTTCCAGCTTATTAGGCAAAGTGCTCTACCAGTTCTCTCTCCCTCCCTCTCTCCCTCCCTCCCTCCCTCTCTCCCTCTCCCTCTCTCTCTCTCTCTCTTTCCCTCTCCTCTCTCTCTCGGTCTCCTCTGTCTCTCTGTCTGTCTCTCCCTCCCCCTACTCTTCCCTCTCTTCTCTCTCTGTGGTGGCCCTTAGACTGTGGTCATGTTATTATCCACAGCCTTCTGTGTAGTTGGATCACAGGCATATGCCACCATGCCCTGCTTATTGGTTGAGATAGGGGCCTCTGTAACTTTTGGCCTGGGGCTGGTCTAGAGTCACAGTCCTCTGGATCTCTGCCTCCCAACTTAGAGGTGTGAACTACTGTAGCTGGCCCCTGTGTAGGATTGTTTAAAAATGTGTGTGAGGTTTTGCAGAGCTGTGGGTGGAACCCAGAGCCCCCAGGATGCCAGGGGATGGAGGTGTCTAATGTTCTCACTCATTCATGAACCAGTTTGCAGCCAGTTACAATAAAGGCAGCTGTCATCTTAAGCCAAAGACTTAAAAAAAAAAAACCCAACTCTGAGATAAGAGGGTGTGTGGGGTGTAGTTACACTTCTTGTCACTTGTCTCTGTCTCTGCTCCTTTGCTCTTGTTTTGGTGGTGAGTTCTCCCTGCAGGCAGACTACATGTCTGTAAGGCGTGAAAAGGGCATTTTGTGAATTGTCAGCCAATAGTGAAGTAACAAGGAGACTGAAAACCCAGGGTTTACTGCTGATACTTTATCCTGCCTACATTTTGTAATGTGGAGATGTTTTTTGCTAGTCCTGGGGCCTGGGTGCTGTCCCTGAGCTTCCTTTGCTGAAGGCTTAGCACTACCACTTGAGTCATAGCCCCAAGTCCAGCCTTTTCTGTGATTAATTGAAGATGAGTCTCATGGATTTACCTGCCTGAGCTGGTTTTGAACAGCTATCCTCAGATCTCAGCCTCCTGAGTAGGTAGGATTATAGGCATGAGCCTCCGGAGCCCAGCTGAGATGTTCCTTTTAAAAAAGCTAATTAGAAGAATATAAAGTCGGGGCTGGGAAGGTGGCTCAGTGGTAGAGTGCTTGCCTTGCATGCCTGAGGCCCTGGGTTCGATTCCCCAGCACCACATAAGCAAAAAGAAAAAAGCCGGAAGTGGCGCTATGGCTCAAGTGGTAAGAGCGCTAGCCTTGAGCTGAAGAGCTGAGGGACAGCGCCCAGGCCCAGAGTTCAGGCCCCATGACCGGACCCAAAAAAAAAAAAAAAAGATATAAAGTCTCTCAACACATACTTTTATGAAACAGAGTCATCATTACAACTCTTGAGACCTATAAGAATGGCTTTTTAACCAATTTAACATGAATTGCTTTCAAAGAAAGAAAAATGCATTGTGATGAGCTAGGTTGATTGGACTTTTCTCAGCCCCTCCCCCAAAGTTGGAAGTTGGGTGTGACTAAGATGGTGAAGGGCAATCCAGGTTCACTGAACTTCCCGTGTTTGGACCAGGTGAGCCTGCAGTGTTGACACCTCCGCACTACACAGCAAAGGTTCCACCAGTTTCTCCAGAGCCTCTTCCACCTGTGGGACCCTAGCTTAGAAAGGGTGAGATCACTGGTAGATAACACACAGCTTGCTTTGTGAGTGCTGCATGACAGCGGGCAAAGTCCCACCTCTAGCCACTTTGAAAAAAGGTTTGAGGGAGGAAGGGTTGACTCACCATGGATTTTACACCAGCCATACCACCAGTCATGTCAGTACGCAAAAACCGGTCACAAAATAGTCATTTTAAGGTAGACATTCTTTTTTCTTAAATATTCTAAATGTTTCCATGAAAAGATGTTGACTAGGTTGAATTTTTATAATGTTATGATGTGTTACTTTGGCCTGAGGTTTTGTTGAATACATTTAAGTCCTTAAAATGTGGAAACTAGACAGGTGGGTTTTAAATTAGAATTGTCATGTCCATGCTGAACTTGGTTCATAGACCATTGAGAGCACACACAGGGCTGAGTTACAATTTAATGTCACCCAGGGAAAGCATGGCTTACTACCGCAGCACAAACCTACACTGCTGGTATATCTTGGTTCACATAGGGGACTAGTTTCAAGAAAGTATCAGGGCCTCTACTCCTCCAAAAGATGGGACTCCAGGACAGGTCTGATAGACCATTCAGGAACTGTAGGACTTGTGGAGTCACACTGAAGCATTGGTGTTAAAATGACACTGTCACACGTATTCCTAGAGCAGCAGCCTCCAGTGCCCTTAACACTGAGCACACGTTCAGCTTCTCGCTTATCTGTATGTCTTCTTAAAAACAGCTCCTTTCTCAAGGATAATAAAGCACGTTATAATTGATCAGGTTCTCTAACAGTTAACAAAAGTATGCATTTAAAAACACATTGCCTCACCAGGCGCTGGTGGCTCATGCCTATAATTCTAGCTTTCCAGGATGCTGAGATGGGAAGATTGTGTTTTAAAGCGAGCCTAGGGCAGAAGAGTCCATGAGCCTCAACTGGAGGTGGAAGTATGTATGGCTCAACTGGTAGTGTGCTAGCCTTAAGTTAACAAGCAAGACTGAGGCCCTGGGTTCAAGCTCCAGTACTGGCTCGAGAAATAAATATATATCAATAAAAACAAATCCCCACATGGTCTCATCTTTCGGTTGGCTTTTAACTGAAATTCCTTCTGTGAGATTCTCAGTGTATCTTCTCAGAACTTAGTGTCAACAGTTTTTTGTTTTGTTTTTTTAATCAAGTTGGAGTTGGTTGCACACAAAATAGTTCTCAAATTCTTCCTCTGGATAGTTCTTTATTTCAAGTTTAGGTTTCCTTAAACTTTTTTTTAAAAACCTACCTTCATTTTTTTCTTACGTTGTCAGTCTAGTCATCACACCTCAGTCATCACTCATGTAAAGACCTGCCGTTACTTGCCATCTTGTAACAATAGCTTTCACAATACTGCACTATCCAACTGACCCAACACCCTGCAGTGTGTGTCTGCAGCTGTCAGCCAGCTACAGTCCTCTCCAAGCATGGAAGGGCCACGATGCCCTTGTAACTGCATTCTAAATTTGCTATATAATTTTAAAACTTCACTCTTGGGTCCTATTGATAATAGTTATCCAAGATCAGAATAACGTGTACATTTTGGACATAGGGTTGTCTCAACATAGCAGTTCACAATTATTTTAAGAGGTAAAATGCTGCATCCAAAGCCCTTGTCCTCTCTCAAAGAAGCAAGAACTTGCTCCACAGAGCAGCACTGTGACACTTGGTGTGCCCACTACCAGGATCCTTAAATATCACCAAAACGGCACGGGAGCCACACAGGTTCAGCAGAGTTGATTGGAGGGAAATGTCCCACACAATTTTGGGAAAAGTATTTTAGGGGGAAATTCAACTTACTAACTAAATCCTATGGTCACATTTCCATCCCAACTATTATGTACCTTATTAATAGTTTTAGATAGTTGGACTCTTCATGGCTACAAAATTGGCTTAACAAATAATTCCTAAATTTAGGGGCTAATGAATATTAGATAAGTGCCAAATATAAGATATAATTGCCAATATAAGTGCCAATATTTTAGCTTGAGACTTGTTTTGAAGAATTTTGCTTTGAGACAGTGTTCCAGTGCTTGAAAAAAAAAATCTATAATGCATGGAGTGCCAATCAGTTGCCAACTTTTTGAATGAAGGAAATGCTGGTCTTCTGTGTGATGCCTGAGGATCTCTAGGTCAGAGCAGGTATGCTGTCATGCTTTTTTTTTTTTTTTTCCAGTCGTGGGGCCTGAATTCTGGGCCTGGGCACTGTCCCTCAGCTCTTCAGCTAAAGGCTAACATTCTACCACTTAAGCCACAGTGCCACTTCTGGCTTTTTCTGGTTATGTGGCACTGAGGAATCGAACCCAGTGCTTCATGCATGCAAGACAGGCAGTCTACCACTGAGCCACCTTCCCAGCCCCTGTCATGCTTCTAGATTTCCTTCTAGAAAGATCACAGCTTGCTAAGTGTTTCAAAGTAGACTAGAAATTACACCAAAAGTTTAAAACATACATGGTCTTGTTTTTAAAATGGGTTTTTCAAATACTTTTAGGGGAGAGTTTCTGATGCAAAGTCTGTTACTGTGTTAAGTATCAGCAAATCTCAGGCAACAGGTGAAGGAAATCTGAGGCTCAGTCAGTCAGTGTCAAAACAGCATTAGCATTTGTTTTTAGGTTGGACTGTAAAGTGTTGTTGAGGAAAATCTTGTGTTACAAGATTTTTGCATTTACGTGACCTTTCACTCGTTTTTCAGAATCTGTTCCTAGAGACAGAGAACCCCATACAAACATGAGAACATGTACGCATCACCTGACGGATGTAGTGCAAAAGCCTAGTGAGACCCTGAAAGCAAATGTGGTACCTGAGAAAGTTCCCCGCAGATGTGCTACTGTTGCTGCAAATAAGATAAGGATAATGAGTAACCTAAGAGAGACGATTTCAGGAGCAGAGAATGTCTGGATTAGGAAGAGTAGCAGAAAATTGCCCCACCGAAATGCTTCTGCTGCTGCTAAGAGAAAATTACTGAATGTTTATAAAGAGGAGGATACACCCATAAATTCTGAGAATGAAAAAGAGATAGAAGACATTAGTAGCAAAATGCTTTATTTTAGACGGTTCAGATCCTGGAAAGAAAAAGCACAATAGTGACTATGGAGAATTCAGAAACGGCTTCAGTGATCTGGAGCCTCAAGCCAGCAGAGCTCACCTGGCAGCTCTAGGTCCGTCCCCCAGGGGGTCTTCTGAGGAATTTTCGAACATCCATTCTCTTGGGGGGGTCATGGCTCTTGGGCAGACCAGAAGTACAGGGAGTTCTGAGGAAAGTGGAACTATGGGGGGAAAAGAAGGCCCAGGGCCTGTCCATCACAGGATTGCTTTTCTTTGACAGAAGGTCAGGCTTGGAGGAAATCTCTCCATGCTTTCTTCAGAGGGAGGAAATCTGAAATGTACAGAATATGCAGGAAGGACAAATTTCCAAGGTTGGAAAAGAAAAAGGTCAAAATCTCAGTCTGATGTTAATTTTAAGGGCTCTTCATTAGTGTATACAAATTCTGCCCATCATGACTGGTGATGTCACTGCTGAAATTAAAGGAACGAAATTAGGCACATTTCCAAGGGGTCCCATGAGGCATCTGGTGCTGCTGGGTGGTAATTCATATCCCAGAGGTCCACAGCAAGTGAAAAGGACCATGGAGTGCTGCTTCGTGGTGTGACTTAGTTCTACAGTAGGTGGAGACTGATCAAACCACGCAATGGCTTATTTTGGTCCTAACATCGAGATTCACGTTGAATGTCTACTTGGTATGTGTAATTCAGGGAATATATATTTTTTTTCTATGAGAGCTATGAATGTGATTATTCCATTTTTCCTCCTTTCATGTAGCAGCAAAAATTAAGAGGCAGGCTTAATTAGTCTTAATGAAAACAAAAATACAACAAGATCCAAACAGTCCTATTTTTAGATGATAGACTGTCCTCCTGTTACGTGTATCCACAGCACCTTAAAAATTAGAATTCTGAGCAAATTCACCATGGTCTCATCACAACGAACTTTAACGGCAGCATGTCTAGCCTCTTTCATTGTGGCCTTTGATAGGATTAGGAAATCTGGTCATAGTACTACACATGATTTTGTTGCAATGGGGTTTAATTTGTTGTTAATAGCCTTTTGTTAAAATTAAGATCACACACTGTGATCTGTGAATGTACCATCAAATCTTTTTTAACGTAAGATGTTACTGGAAAAAATTGTCTCAAGCAAGTTGTTTTCACATTTAAAAATATCTGTGAGTATTAATATATTATTTGCACGTGTAAAATCAGAACCAGTAAAATACAGAAACCTGGAAGTTTCTTTTTTTTCTTTCACTAAGAGTAATGCATATTTTTTGTTATACAAATGGACCAAAATGTCTAGCTTACTTGAGAAATTCATTTGTGCTTGCATGTCTGTTTAAAAGGACTTTTGCTTTTAAGGAAAAACCAGAATATTCTAACCTACAGTGTATCTTCTTTGCTCTTTTGAAGTATACTTTAATTTGAAGAACTGTTGTCCAGTATCTTGTTATTTATTAGTAAAGGTGAGAAAAGGAATTCCTAATAAACTGCTATTATTTTTAGGTGCTTGGGGCTGAATTTTTGAACTTTAATGGAATGCTTGAATTTATTTCCAGTCTCAGATTTCATGGAAATTCCTTATTTGGTCATATTACGTTTGAGGATACTCAAATACCATAAAATGAAAATATTTCAGTTTCAGTGAAGGCTTACAGTTTTAGTGTGATGAATTTAAGCTTTGAATTTATCATTTGTAGTGGCAGGGCTAATTTTTGCCACAATCTGAGATTGTATTGTTGGCCTTTTATACTGGAAATCCCTTTTATGGTTTAGTGTTTAATTTGAACATGTGTTTGCTTTCTAAAAATGTTTGGCCTAAATGTGTTGTAACTGCACGAAACAAGCATTTGTTTAAAACTTAACATTCTTGTTAACTGTTCTCTGAAATGTCTGTGGCATGTACATCATAGCCAAATGCATCACCGTTACAGTCATTTTAGTCACTTTCAGAAAAGATGTTTCATAGCACAACTGAGAAAATCAAATTGAATATCTTAACTGGTAAAAAGATCATTTTACAAAAGGACAGAGACCAAGCAATGCCCCAAAATCTTTTCTGCGTTTCCTCTTAGACCAATGAACCTGGAATCCCCATGCTTTAAAATACCATAGTGAAGATCACTCTCATGAATACAAGACCACCAAGTTTTTTCTGGCTTCCCAGCTGTTGAATACTTTGGCTAACGAAGAGGGAAGACCAGTTTGACCAGGATACCTTAAGACGCGATGCTTTTTAGCGAGTGTAGTTTAAGGCTCCATCTGACCCCAGAGCAGTGCGTAGAGCGGAGGCGCGGCGCAGGACGCGGCCTCTCCCTGCCGCTCCGGGCAGCTGGTCTCGGGTGCGCGGCGCCACGGCGGCCCTCCTCTTCCCCAGGCTGCGGTAGTGTCCGCTGGAAGCCGGCCGCACGGTCAACGTGGAGGGTCATTCGGGGCAAGTTTGGCGCTGCAAGTGGCCGAGCTAAAACGCTCCTTCTGCATTCTCATAGAAATGATTCTAGCTCAGCTCGACAGTCCCCAGCGTTTGACATGCGCACTCCTGTGCTCCAGCAAAGTCACTTCACAGCTCCGGGCCGCGCTGTGCTGCTTCCCGCTCTCGGCCGTGTCCCGGCAGGACTGCGGCGGGTGCGTGCGCACCGACCCCAACCCCGGTCCCTGCCAGGAGGGAAAGGCCTGGGGAGCGGGCGGCCTGGAGGCCGCTCGGGTCCTCGTCCTCCACGGCGTCCGCTGCAGGGTCGGCTGGGGACGCTGGGAACGCGGAAGGAGCTCGGGGAGCAGCGTGCGCTGCAACGCGTCGTGCTCGGGGAACAAAGCAAGCGTGGCAGGGGGCGTGGCCAGCCGACGGGGGCGGAGAGGAGGCGCGTCCTGCAGGGGCGTGGTCGAGCGGAGTGGCGCACGCGCAGTGCCGCGAGCCAAGTTTCCGGCGGGTCATGGCGGCCACGTTCTTCGGTGAGGTGGTGAGGGCTCCATGCCGAGCCGGGACGGAGGACGAAGAGGAGGAGGAGGAAGCAAGAGAGACTTCGGAGGACACGGAGGTCCGGCGGCAGCTGGCGCAGAAGAGGTCGGGCTGCGGACGCGGGAAGCCCTCGTACCTGGCGGCCCCGCGCCCACCCGAGAGAGCTCGCTGTGGGGCGACCGCGAGGAGCTGCGGCGGGCCGGGGGCGGGGCGGGGGCCGGACCGGGCCGGGGGCGGGGCCTGGAGGGGCGGGGCCGGGCCGGGGGCGGGGCCTGGAGGGGCGGGGGCGGGGCAGGCCGGGGGCGGGGCCGGGCCGGGGGGCGGGGCCTGGCGGGGCGGGGCCGGGGCAGGCCGGGGGCGGGGCCTGGCGGGGCGGGGCCGGGGCGGGGCCGGGGCGGGGCCGGGCCTGGCCCTGGGCCTGGCCCTGGGACTGGAGGGCGTCGGCCCCGCGCTGCCCCCGGCACCCCGGGCAGGACCGCGTGGGGCTCGCCGGCGCCCCTGCGGTGGCCGCCGCCCTCCCGCCCGCGGCGTTTCCCGCGGTGCTGCCTGGAGCCCCGCGTCCTCTGGAGGCCGCACCGGCTCCTTACCCCGGTGCGCTCTCTTCCTCGCTCAGGTGACCTTATGTGGCGGTAGCCGGCAGATGAACTCAGGACCTGGGCGCTGCCTCTTAGCTTTACCGCCTGAGTCACGTCTCCGCTTCCAGCTTTTTCGTGGTTTACTGGAGATAAGAGTCTCATGGAGTTTCCTGCCCAGGCAGGCTTCGAACTTGACTCCTAGATCTCAGCTTCCTGAGTAGCTAGGATGACAGGCGTGAGCCACTGGCGCCCAGCTGTAGTTATATTCTTCCTATATAGTTACACGGTTGAGGCGTGCGCATGGATAAGGGCCTCAGCACCATTTCCTTTTGGATAATAGGTGCATCTAAATCCTGGTTTCTTCTTTCTTGAATAGGGAGGTGCAGCTTCTTAGAAGACAGACAGAAACAACTCTGGACGGTTCTCTGCTAGAAAATCATCCTTGCTCAAAGTTTATAATTGCTATAGGAAATAATGCAGTAGGTAAGTTAAAATGCAGAAGACCAGACATTTAGACATTTAGTTGAAAGAAGTAACTTTTATTTTCCACTAGAGATTTTTAAAAGTCATGGTACAGAGCTGGGTGCCAGTAGCTCACACCTGCAATTCTAGCTACTCAGGATGAGATCTGAGGATCATGGTTCAAAGCCAGCCCGGGCAGGAAAGTCCATGAGACTCTTATCTCCAATGAACCACCAGAAAACCAGAAGTAGTGCTGTGGCTCAATTGGTAGAGCGCTAGCCTTGAGCTGAAGAACTGAGGCCCAGAGTTCAGGCTCCACAACCGACTAAAAAAAAAAAAAAATAGTCATGGTACAGTAACTTTTTAAGTAGGATACATTGCCTTCTCATGTTCACCACCATGTTTCTTAAGGCTTATGGAGTTTGAACTCATACTTGGGCCATGTCCTGTGCATTCTTGCTTTCTCTCTCTCTCTCTCTCTCTCTCTCTCTCTCTCTCTCTCTCTCTCCTACTCTCCCACTCTCTTGCTGTCTCTCACTCTCTGTCAGTCCTGGGGCTTGAACTCAGGGCCTGGTCACTGTCCCTGAGCTTTTGCTCAAGATTAGCACTCCTCCACTTGAGCCACAGCACCACGTCTGGCCTTTTCTGTTTAGTACTGAGGAATCGAACCCAGGGCTTCATGCATGCTAGGCAAGCACTCTACTACTAAGCCACCTTCCCAGCCATGTCCTGCTCTTTTAACTCTCTTTTTGTGCTGGTGCTAGGGCTTGAACTCGCACTTTTTTTCTTTTTCTCTCTCAAGGCTGGTGCTCTACTTGTAGTTATTTTTTTTTGCTGCTAGGGTAGACCAAGCCTGATGGAAGGAAAGAAGAAGATAGAGCCCTCAACAGAGCAGATCAGGATGTATCCATCACCGCACAGGGGCTCCAAGTATGGCCAGGCAGAGTCGGAGAAACAGGAGCAGGGAATGTGGGGGTTTTAGGATTTGAATATAGTTGAGTGTAAGAGTTTTTTGGAATGTCTTTGTGGTTGTAGCAGACCATCCTGTTTTGGATTTGTGATGTCCTGGCACCTGTAGCAGATGGTGCACTTTCAGATAAGGCTGGGGTGGGGTTTTGCTGAGAATAGTTCAAGGATAGGGATTCTGATAATCTCCTTCAGGGAGGAGATTTTTGGGGGTGGGGTCCCCTGGGAGGGTGGTCTGTGGGCCATAGAAACGACATTAACTTATGAGAAGCAAGCAGATTCCCCTCATTTGCTGGTTAATGGATGATAAGAGTGCCATGTACTTTTCTTCCTGTTGTTGCTTTGAATTGGAAACATACCATCTCTCTCCCGAAGCTAGGAGTACAAGTGTGAACCACTGGCACTGGCAGGGGCCCTTCCCCACTGACTTAAATACAAGATAAAAATAAGATTTATCCTGTCATGGCTGGCTCACGTCTGTAATCCTAGCTAATCAGGAGACTGAGATCTGAGGATCATGATTCAAAACCAGCCCAGGTAGAAAAGTCTGTGAGACTCTAGCTCCAATAAAAAAAAAAAAAAGCCAGAAAAAGCCAGAAGTGGTGTTGTGGCTAGCCTTATCCCAGAGAGGCTCAGGGACAGAGCCCAAGCCGAGTTCAAGCCCCAGGACTGGCAAAACAACAAAAAAGAGTTAGAGAAAATAGTTTTGGCTTTAGGAAATGACAGTTCAAGGAATGATTTCTAGTGTGCAGAGGTTTACTTAAGTGTTACTGCAAACATAGTGAGAACTCCACTCCTTTTCTCTTGGTGTGAATAGTCTTGGTTGGTGGGTTGAGCTAGAAGACTCTAGAGGTTAGAGCATTATCCAGGATGCATATGCCCATGGATCTTTATCACTTTAGAGGGTTCATAGGCTCTGAGGAGAGCACTGAGGCACCCAACTTGAGATCCCTTGCCATATAAGGGACCCCAAGTACTTGCACAATATAGTGTGTGGTAGGTAACTTTTCCCTAACTTACATGAACTTCTGCTGGCCTAACATTGATCCAAAGAGTAGGAGGTGTGTGGATCCCCGCTGGCGGGTTGTCTTCCGTGTGCAGTGGCCTTTCTTCCTTGCACTATGGCCTGTCACTTCTTATGGGCCTCTGTTTCTTGTCCTGCAAAGTGGCCTTAGGTGGTCCCCAGTGGCTGTTTTAGCTCTGAAATTCTAGAGTACCCGGAACTTTTTTTTTTTTTGTCGGTTGTGGGGCTTGAACTCTGGGCCTGAGTGCTGTCCCTCAGCTCTTCAGCTCAAGGCGAGCGCTCTACCACTTGAGCTACAGTGCCACTTCCAGTTTTCTGGTGGTTTATTGGAGATAGGAGTCTCACGGTCTTTCCTGCCCGGGCTGGCTTTGAACTGTGATCCTCAGATCTTAGCTTCCTGAGTAGCTAGGATTACAGGCGTGAGCCACCAGCGCCCGGCTACCCGGAACTTCTTTACTGGCTTGGAGCTAAGCACTCACTCACCTGAATTTTTTCTTCACAGCATTTTTGTCATCATTCGTTATGAACTCAGGAGGCTGGGAAGAAGTTGGTTGTACTAAACTCTGGAATGAGTGGTGCAGGGCAGCAGACAGTCTACATCTGTGCCCCACAGACGCTCTCTGTGTGTTCTATCAACTGAAGTCCGATCCCTCGGTACGTGGGGCTTCAGGACTTGCTTGGGCTCTGGGTCTCTCGGTGGCTCTCTTAGTGTGTTCTTCATTCTGATGGTCATTTCCAGTAAGAGATTAATTTAGATTTCAAAGAAGGATCTATATGCCAGTAGCAGAGTTGAGAAAATGAGTGTTGTTCAAGTGTGCGTTAGTCATCTTTCTGCCACTGTAACAAATAGGCGAGGTTCTGGATCCATGGTTGGGCCTCCCTCTTGCTGTCAGGCTTTTGGTAGGATCCTCATGTTTCATCAGGAGTGTGTGGCTAGTAGCAAAGGCACTCACCTCATGGCCAGGAAGCAAAGTGAGGATGAGGAAGTGGTAGGGGGAGCCCATGACCTCTTAAAGGACACACCCCAAGGACCTCAAGGCGCTTAGCACCATTTGGGGGTTGGGGATGGACACTTGGGGAACACCGGGGCCTTTGGGGGGCATTCCAGATCCAGACTAGCGGTGCTCATTACTATTCACATGGTATCTATGTGGTGGTAATTTGAGGTGTACGCACAATGTATTGTACTTACAAAAATGCTGGACTTTGACTTCTCAGATCCTCATCTGCCAGTGTAGTTGCTATGTTGCTGAAGATCAACAGTATCAGTGGCTGGAAAAGGTAAGAGAAATAGAGCCATGTTGCTTAGACTGCAGGGAGTCGCTGCTTCTCCAGGGTCAGTATCTTTTCACTGTAACCTGTGTAGGCAGCAAGTACAGGGATTACTTACAGACTGTAGGAAATAAAAGAGACATAGAAGGGTGTCACTGAACTGACCAGGGGTGGGGGGTGGCACAGGCAGTGGGCATGGGGAGGAGAGATGTGGAAAGCTGACCATTTGCTGCCACCCACTCCAGACCCAAAGTGCTACATCTGGTTTTCTTCACATTAGGCCTGAATATTGAGTCTTCATTCAAGGAAGATAAAATTGCTCTAACACTTGAGCTCCGTGGCATGAGTCAGGGGAAGCCAATGGTTGAGTCAAGAACTGAATTCCAACAGGATGTTTAGTGGGGAAACACAGTCGGCCAGCTGTGTATGTTAGTTTGAGTTTTTGTTCTCTGAAATGCCAGACTGCTTTAGATTTCATCCCCCCCCCCCCCCCCCCCCCCTGGTCATGGGGCCTGGTTGCTGTCCCTGAGCTCTTCAGCTCAAGGCGAGCACTCTACCTCTTGAGCCACAGCGCCACTTCCGGCTTTTTCTGCTTATGTGGTGCTGAGGCATCAAACCCAGGGCCTCATGCATGCAAGGCAAAGCACTCTACCATTGAGCCACCTTCCCAGCCCTGAGATTTCAAGTTTTTTAAAATTAGTTTTTGAATACGTATATGTATGTAATGACATTTTTAGGAACTAAATTTAAACACAAATTCATTTGTCTCATATACAGCTTGTTAAATACCTTAAAGGAATTTCCCCCTTTGGGATGTGGGAACATTTCAGATTTTGATTTGTAGTTTACAGATTTTGAGGTTACATGTATGTCTGTGTGTGACTATGTGTAGTATGCACACATGCATATATAAGATGCAAATATATAAGTAATATAGTTTGATTTGTAATAGAGACAAAATTGTCTGCTTATGGGTACAGTGTGATTGCTCAGTCCACATGTGCAATGTGTGATGGTCAAATCAGGTACCTGACAAAATCTTCACTGGACACATTTATCATGTTTGTGTTCAACTGTGTTTGTTAATGATACAGGCCTGAAGGCCTCATATGCTCCCTGAGCACACTTCAGCTTAAGTTATAGTATTTTAACACTGATATTAAATTTAAACTCATTAGAAATTTGACGTATACATTTTTTGAAATAGTTAGCTTTTCAACACTCATCAAAAATTAGCAAATGCAATTCTTTTTTTTTTGGGGGGGGGGGGGGTGTCAGTCATGGGGCTTAAACTCTGGGCCTGAGTGCTGTCCCTGAGCTCTTCAGCTCTAGGCTAGCGCTCTACCAATTGAGCTACAGTGCCACTTCCGGTTTTCTAGTGGTTTATTGGAGATAAGAGTTTCACGGACTTTCCTGCCCGGCTGGCTTTGAACCCCGATCCTCAGATCTCAGCCTCCTGAGTAGCTAGGATTATAGGCATGAGCCACCGGCGCCCAGCAAATACAATTCTTCTAATGAAGTGTTGTAAATATATGTGTGATTTTATAGTTAAAGTAGGTATGTGTATTTTTCTGGGGAAGATCAGAATGTGGTAGGAAATAGCTATCTTTCTTTGCACTGTAAAATTAAACAGGGTAAGTCGGATGTCAGTGGCTCACGCCTGTAATCCTAGCTACTCAGGAGGCTGAGAATGGAGGATTTTGGTTTAAAGCCAGCTAGGGCAGGAAAGTCCATGAGTCTTTTAACTCCAATGAACTATTCAAAAAAAGCCAAAAGTGGTGCTCTGGTTCAAGTGGTAGAGTGCTGGCCTTGAGCAGAAAAGCTCAGGGACAGTGCCTAAGACCTGAGTTCAAGCCTTACAACCAGCAAAAAAAGAGAGAAGGATTTTTGTATATCTATCAGGTTCACACGCTTCAAGTGATAGAGGGAACACTGAGGTCTAGTGATTGAAACGTGCCTACAGTGTTGTAATTCAGAAATGACCTTTTGCAAGAATCATTTGTCAGGTACCATTTGTGGTGGGGAAGAAATGGGCGTGGCTGTGTGCTGCCTGAGACTCCTTTGCTGTGGATGGCGGTCCTGCGGCATGCTCAGCATCTGACTGTGGACTCATCACAGCTGCACTTAATGTATCTGTCGATCTAAGTAGCACTGCCCTTAGGTCCGAGACAAGGAAGTGACTTAGAAAGCAGGGTCCACGCTGCCTCCAGATCAGGGCAGCAAAGCCTGCAGCTTCCAGTGCACGTTGCACCCCTCTAGATGAGAGGTGTGACTGACTGTTGTGGGAGCTGAGAGCCAGAGCAGTGTTTTCATTCTGTAACAGGATTATGGGTTGGTTTTGTTGTTCTTGTTCCTTTCTGTATTTTAACAGTACTGGGGTTTGAACTCAGGACCTTGGGTGTTGCTCTACCACAGAAGCCACACCCACAGCCCTCCCCCTCCCCTTTTCACTCTCCGAGTTGCCAGGGGCTGGCCTTGAAATTTAATCCCCCCATGTAGCTGATTATAGATATGGGCTACCATGCTTGATTTTTATTTTTATTGTGTGTGTGGGTTCCCTCCCACCCCATATTGAGGTGTGAAGTCAAGGGGCTTTTTGCTTGCTAGGCAGGTACTCTATTGCTCGAGCCACATCTCTAAGCCCTTAAAATATTTTTTTTAGTGGTACTGTGGTTTGAATGCCAGGCTTTTGTTAATTAGGTGGGTATTCCACTACTTGAGCCATACCAAATCCCTCTCCCCACTTTAGCTATTTTTCAGATACATTCTTCCATTCCTGCCTTGCCAGCAACTGGCTTCAGACTTTATTCCTCCTATTTATGTCCTTCCACATAGCAGAGGTTACACCGGTGTACCACCATGTACCTGTGTATTGGTTGTGATGGGGTCATGCTCACCTGCCTGGCCTGGCTGAAAACCTCCTCTTCTCCTTCTCTGCATGCCAAGTAGCTGGAATTATAAGTGTGAACCACTGAGTCCAGCCCAGCTTGTTTTTGAGTCAGGATCTTGCTAACTTTTTTTTGTCTGGGTTGGCCTTAGACATCGATCCTCTCATTTCTGCCTCCTAAGTTGGGATTGCGGGCATTGACCACTATGCCATCCCTCCAAATTATGTTTGTATAATTTGAAATCAATTTTGTGTTAGGTTTTTGGCTCTTCTCCAAGGAAGAACTTGCAGATAACTATTCTCACATGTCGACATGTCACCGACTATAAAACCTCAGAATCTACTGGCAGCCTTCCTACTCCTTTCTTGAGAGCCCTAAAAACACAGCATTTCAAAGACTCTGCTTGTTGCTCACTTCTGGAACAACCAAATATTGCACACGGTCTTCCTGCAGCAGGTGGTATTTAGTTTTGTACTTTACATTGTGGGTCAGTGCCTGTTGACAGCTATCACTGTCACTGCTAGAGCTCTTCTGGAAGTTGCTTGTTCAGAATATTGGCATTGACACCAGTATATTGCTCTTAATCCTCAGTGTCTGTTGTACAAGATAATTTGATTTGGATTTTTAAATTTTCTGGAATAAGGTATCTGACAAGAGCAGCTCAGAGCTCCTGACTAATTCAGCCTTGCTGTTTCCTTTTGGTCTGTGGTAACTCAGTGCAAGCCAGTGATAGGTATAAAATTACTGGTGTATGAAAGTTAATTTATCAAAACAGTTTTGGGAGCTGAAACTTGGTAGTTGCTTTAATTTTTTTTTAAGGAGTTGAGTATTTTCTATTGTGTCACTAATGATATAATGCCATCATGTCAGCAATAGATAACCAGTTATTTTCAGTAGTTTAGATTTTACAATATACAGTTATTTGTTATATGTATTATTTTTAGGTAGAAAGCTTTTGTTTTTTTTGAGACAGATTATTATTTGTTGTTGAGATGTACTGTGTAGCCCAGACTGCCCTTGAACTCGAGATCCTCTTGTCTTAGCTTCATGAGTGCTGAGATCAGAGGTATGCTTCACATGCCTAGCACCACAATGGTGGTTTTTTTCTTTTTTTTTTTCCCCTTTTCATCTTAAGTTTATTGGAACAAATGACTAAATAGCTTGTAGCATGCACTCTATGTTATTTGTGTGTAGCTTACATCATTTATTGTAGTTAGTAAGATTTTGCTCCTCGATTTTCTTAGAATTGTCAATATGTTCAGGAAATGCAAAATAAGTATTTGCAAAAGCTTATTAGGAAAGTTTTTTGTTTTGGAAGAAGATATTCATTATAATTAGTTTAACATGGCAGTAAATGCCTTCATCAAAAGAGGCCACGGACATGCCTTTTTAAAGTAGTCTATACTACGTAAAGTGTTTAGTTTAAAAGTCATGGACTAGACAACTGGTGACCTTTTCCTTGTGTGTTTCTAGTGCTGAGTTACTGTCAGGTGTGGAAAATCCCCGCGGTTCTGTACTTGTGTTACACGGATGTGACGAAACCAGACATCGTTACCATTGAAGCTTTCAAGCCCATACTGTCTTCCATGAGCTTCAAAGACCTGGTCACGGTACGGTTTTAGTTCATTGGAATTAACAGTCAAATTGTTAGGGGTTGCTAAGTGGCTGCGGGACAGCTTAACCCCTAAGCTGCACATGAGAATCCTCACTGCTCAAGGCCCAGTTTCCAGTCTTGCAGCTTCTGGTGTGGCTGTTTCCCACAAGGTAGCTTCCCGCATGGCAGCTTCTGGTGCAGCAGCTTCTGGTGTGGCAGCTGGCATCAGACTGACCCTTCTCTTCTGGATGCACTTGTTTATCTTTTTTGTTGTTGTTGCCAGTCCTAGAGCTCAAACTTTGGGCTTGGGCTGTCTCTCAGCTCCATTTTGCTCAAGGCTAACACTACTACTTGAACCACAGTGCCACTTCCAGCTTTTTCTGTGATTAATTGGAGATAAAGAGTCTAATGGATTTTTCTGCCCAGGCTGGCTTTGAACCACAATCCTCAGATTGCAGCCTCCTGAGTAGTTAGGATCACAGGTGTGAGCCACCAGCGCCCAGCTTACTTGCGTGTCTTGATGAATGTTTTCTTCTTCTGTAGAGACTGCATGCTTTGAAGGTAGTGGTTTGTGGCAGGAGAGATGGTTGTTCTGCAGCATGCTGGGTTTTGTTGTTTGCCTCTTTTTATAAGCGTACATTTGTTAAATGGAGGCAAGTTTATTGCTCTGTCTCCACACATTTGTAAAATGATCCAGTCTTCTTGCCCCGCTCCCCTTCTCAGTCAATTTCAACAGGCTTTATTATTGTACTTCCATAGTTGCAAATCCATGTCAACCATGTTCAGCCTCCATCCTCCTTGTTAGCCCAAACTCCCTTGCAGTCTATTTTTTATTCTTTTTAGGACCGAGTTTCATTATGTGGCCTCACCCAGGCTGGCCTTAAACTCATTAGGTAGCTCAGGCTTGCCTCCAACTTTTGATGCTTCTGTCTGTCTTGTGGGAGGTAGGATGACAGGTGCACTACCTAGCCTGGCTAAGTACTGTTTTCTTGGTGACCAGATGCAGTCAGCCTGACTTAGACCATGGTTTCTGTCTGATGAAAGTGGGGTTTTAGAACAGTTGCTATCAAGTTGTTGTTTTGAGCCCGTGCTGTGGTCACCCAAGGGGTTCCTTAGAGCTGAGGTGGTTCCTCAGTCAGGAGGGGTGCTGGTGAGACACTGAGTACCCCAGGAAAGGCAAAATGTGGGGTCCTGGGAGAGAGCAGTCCTGCAGTAGATGACGGATTTAGTGTGGGTTGGGGCTGCAGTGAGGAGCTAGGGAGCAAAGCATGCCAGGCAGGAGGCAGTGGGGGGAGATGTGGGGAGACCACTGGGGTCACTGCGTTTGGGTGCCCTTCTCCTTCTCCCCTTTCCCTTGAATGAGGGGAAGAAAGGCAGTCTTTGTTGGCTTGATACCATGTTTCTTAATCTGCAGCATGGTGAGAGAACACATACTGCCTCCAACCAAAATCTTCACATCTTTGTCTCTCCTTCCAGGCTGTGCCCCGATGCTCAGAGATTCTGAAGAAATTGACCTCAAGTGAGACTCAGAGTAACATTTACACGTGACCCTGGAGTGCTGCCCACTCTGTCCAGTGCTTTAAGGGCAGCAGCTGGAACTGTTTTGTGTCTTATGGGGGGGGATGACTATTTTGAGGGTGATAAAGCAAAATAAAAAGTGTAATTGTGATCCCTTCTTTATGGTGATGCTCACTGCTGTAGTAAGACACGCTTATTCCTCCTCCATCCACTAGGTGGGAGTATTGCCTTGAGTTTTTAAGCTAATACAATTCTGAGAAGCTTTGGGCTGCCACAGGTTGTTTTAAATGGCCCAGTATAGTTAGACACAAGAAGTGCCTAGAGATGTCTGAAGTTGGGGATGCTCTCCCACCTGAGTTATGCTTCAAGCTCTGTGGATTTTTAGTTGTGTTTTCAGATAGGATCATGCTGACTTTTTGCCTAGGTTGGCTTTGAACTGCTATCTCTCAATCTTCATCTCCTAAGTGGATAACAGGTGTGAGCTACCACACCTGGCTTAAATGTTGGTGATTTGTTGTTGTTGTTTCCTTGGTAGTACTGATGTTTGAATTCAAAGCTGCAGGCGGCTTGCTAGGCCGGTGCTCCACTGTTGGGCCATGCCTCCAGCCTTAGTAGGTGATTAGAAAGATTGCATAGTTTGAGATCTATATTGTTTTTGTTGATTTGTTTTGCAGCTGAAAATCTGTAAGGTAACAGAATTACATACATATTCAAAATGAAGCAAAAAAAAAAAAAGGCGTACCTGCCTGACAGCTTGCCTCCACCTGCCCGCCCTCTCCCAGGCTCTCCATGAGGTGCTGTGTGAGTGCCAGCTCTGCATTCTGTGACACCACTGGGAAGGGGAATTGTTCTGGGGAACTATCATACCTGACTGAGTTGTGAAGGTTAAATTGAAAACGATAGAGGTGAAAAAATGCTTCTGGTCACCTGTTTTCCACCCTTTTTCATTATGGAACCCTCCATCTGATTGCTGTAGGCCGTTTTCTAGGTTCAGTTGGTTGACTGACCTTGGCGTTGGTTGGAGGGGGCTAGAATGTACTGTTTTCTAACTTCTTGAATAACCTTGGTTTCCTCGGCATATCAGGTTTTAGAGATCTTGTGCATGGTGCATTTGTGCACATACCCTGATGGTACAAAGGGAAGCATTTCCTCCATTGCCGAACAGTTTTCATCCATTCAGAAGCGTGTGTGTGGAGCCGTGGAGTAACCTGAGTCCTGGAACCCAGGAACCGGTGCCTTGTCTGTGTCGTTAGTAATGGTGTGTTAGCTCACTTTCATTGTAACAAACACCTGAGTTAATTACCTGTGAAAACAAAAGGTTTATTTTGGCTCATGGTTTTTTTCTTTTTTTTTTTTGGGGGGTCCAGTCGTGGGGCCTGAACTCGGCCTGGGTGCTGTCCCTCAGCAGCTCAAGGCTAGCGCTCTACCACTTGAGCCACAGCATCACTTCTGGCTTTTTTCTTTTTGCTTATGTGGTGCTGAGGAATCGAACCCAGGGCCTCAGGCATGCAAGGCAAGCGCTCTACCACTGAGCTACCTTCCCTTGGCTCATGGTTTTTGACATTCCTGTCCAGCTCAGTTGACAGCGTTGTTTTGGGCAGCACTTGATATGGGAGGTGTGTGGTTGAGCAAAGCCATGCTCCTCAGGGCTTGAAGCAGAAGAGGAGATGATGACGAGCCAGGTCCCATGGTCCACTTTGAGGATGACCTCAAGTTTCATGTGAAGTTCCATCCCCTAGCACACCATGGACCAAACCTTTAACACACCGGCCTTTCTGGGACATATTAGATCCAGATTATAACTGTACATCTTTAATCCTAACTGCTCAGGAGGCTGAGATCCACAGAATCATGCTTTGAAGCCAGACAATCATAAAAGTCCACAGGACTGGCCAGGTGCCATTGAAGCCAGACAGTCATAAAAGTCCACAGGACTGGCCAGACGCCACTGGCTCACGCCTGTAATCCTAGATTCTCAGGACACTGAGATCTGAGGATCACAGTTTGAAGCCAGCCAGTGTAAAACCGAATTCGGAAATCCTTACCCAAAAGACCATCAGAGACCGTCACCAATATAAAAACAAAGGAGTCTTTATTTTTTTTTTTTTTTTTTTTTTTTTTTTTTTGGTCAGTCATGGGGCTTGAACTCTGGGCTTGGGTGCCCCTGAGCTCTTCAGCTTAAGGCTGTATTCTACCACTTTGTTTTTTTTCGTCGTTGTTGTTGTGTTTTTTTTTTTTTTTTTTGGTCCGGTCGTGGGGCCTGAACTCTGGGCCTGAGCACTGTCCCTCAGCTCTTCAGCTCAAGGCTAGTGCTCTACCACTTGAGCCACAGCGCCACTTCTGGCTTTTATTCTTTTTGCTTATGTGGTGCTGAGGAATCGAACCCAGGGCCTCAGGCATGCAAGGCAAGTGCTCTACCACTGAGCCAACTTCCCAGCCCAAAGGAGTCTTTATTGCAAGCTGGAGCTCTGTCCTCTGTGCACTCGTTAACCGGTGACGCTAAGATGCCCGGAGCCCAGGGTTATAGTACTTTTTATACGCTTTTTAGGGAAGGCAGGGACTTTGTATACATCATAGCATCTTACAACAAATTATTACACATCATGGGAAAATCATAATACAATTCTATAGTATGATTGGCGCACTACAAAGCAGGAAAGGACCAGAAACAGGTTGTTGGTTGGATCAGAGGCTGACATACTTTAAACTGGTTGGCTTGCACCACAGGGAGTCTCAAGGAGATACCAGCTAAACTGCAGGGTTCCTTTGTCAAACAAACACCGCCTGTGGCCTGACTGCAACTGCAGGGGGGGGGGGGGTGTCACCATGCCCTCCAGCACCTGCCTGCCTGCGATTTTCCCAAGGATTGTTTCTGTTCCTAGTGCCTGAGAATTACTTCTTCTGTTCATTCCCAGGCCAGGCTCATGGTCAGCTGCATAACTCATACCTCAGAAGATGACTGCTAGCTCAAGATGGAGTCACCCAGGCCTCAGGCTTCTCAGCCAGGGCTGAAAAGTTCCTCTTATCTCCAATTAACCACTCAAAAACTGAAGTGGAGCTGCTGCTCAAAGTGGTAGAGTGCTAGCCTTGAGCAAAAGAGCTCAGGGACAGCACCCAGGCACTGAGTTCAAGGCTTCCCCCCTCCCCTCCCCCCTCCCCCCCCAGCCATGTCCACAAGACTAGTCCATCTCTAATGAGCAGAAAACTGGCTAGAAGCCAGACAAGTGGTAGAGTGCCAACCAGCAAGTAGAGCACGCTGAAGAAGCAGCGAGGGCCTGTTCAAACCCCAGTACTGAAAACACAACCAGTAAACATGTCATGTATGAAAGAGTTATGGAGGAGGAGAGAGCCATTCACACCTCAGGTCAGCCGCGACCCCCCCAGCCCCCCACCCCGGCCCAGGTATGTCTGCCACTGCCTGCACACTCCTGAGCTTCCATTTGCTCACTTGAAACAGAATCTCAGTACTGCCACAAACCAAACCAAATGCCAGGATGAGCTCTTCTAGCATCGTGGAGGCTGCGGAGTCTTCTGGAAACAGAATGTCTGCATCGAAGTCTGGAAGGCTAAGGACTGAGGCAGTTTTTACTGCATAAATGTGGGGACCCCGGACAGAAGAGCACACTTTGGTGCTCCAAGGCAAACCAACCCTTTTTGGTGCGTTTAAAATTAAAGGTGTCTCATGTCAGAGGTGATCCGCATTCTCCTCGGGCAAGAGATGCGCTTGTGTGGACAGAGCAGCAAGGAACACACACTTGGTGACGAATGGAACAAACCAGAAGCCACAGGGACGTCTGCTCGGGCCGTGGAAGCAGCCTTCCTGCTGAGGCCGGGACACACACACTCCCGTGATACTCTGCTAATCAAAAGTCTATAAAAGCTGCTGGTGGCTCACACCTGTAATCCTGGCTACTCAGGAGGCTGGCCAGCCCGGGGCAGGAAAGTCTGTGAAACTCTTATCTCTGGTAAAATGTTCTTGGGATGGCTGGTCATCCATAGCTGATGATAAGATAGACCACATGGGGTGCTTCCACAGAAATAGACCACACGGGGCGCTTCCACAGAAATAGACCACACGGAGCGCTTTCACGGAGGAAGGGGCTGCGTCCTGTCCTTTCTGGAATAGACACTTGAGGTGGCACTGTGGCTCAAGTGGTCAAGTGCTAGCTTAGGGCAAAAACCGCCCAGGGACAGTGCCCTGGCCATGAGTTCAAGCCCCAGGATTAAACAAATTAAAAAAAAAAGAATGGGAACACCAAGAGAATCGGAAGGTGTCGGCCAGTCACCGCCACGTCTGCTGTGGGCAGCATTCTGGTGTCTCCTGGCTTTGATCTGTCACTGCAGTCAGCTCCAACTTCTCTTTGTCTGGCAGCTTGGTGAGCTGAGGCGCCTCTGTAGTGAGGCGGGAAGGAGCCGCTCGCTGGAGCTTGTGTCTCCTCCTGGTGGGTGCTCCCTCCACACCTAAGCCTTGAGGCCAGCAGAGCGTGACGTGGTGGCACAGAACTCAGTGTGACACTAGGTCAGTAGGGGGTGGTACTGTTGCACGGACCCCTTGGTGACAGCCTGGAGAAGCTGCCCAGTCCTGCACTGGTGGGAGCCGGAACTGCCTGCTTGTGTCGCCGGGAGGAAGGGGGCGGTTTTGCAGGGTCCGTGGCTTCTGCAAACCTGGGTTGCTGCACTTGGCTGGCAGTGTGGTCAGAAGTGAAGACACATGGTATGCCCTGACGGTGAGCGGGCACATTGTAAGCCCACACGGGGGTCGTGGTGGTGAATAGGTACACTGTAAGTCCACACGGGAGTTGTGATGGTGAGCAGGCACACTAAGTCTACAGAAGGAGTTTTGGTAGAAGCATGGCATGCAAATCTATATCCAGAGTAAGTGTCTATTCCAGAAAGGCCAGGACGTGCCCTCTTCCTTGTTGGAAGTGGTCCTGTGTTATCCACTTCATGCTGGGTTGAGGGCTCTGTGTAGATCTCTCTGGCTGGCATGTTGGCACTCACTGCAGTGGCCGTGACCCAGCCAGCCTGGGTGAGGGCACAACCTCCCGCCCTGCAGCAGGGACCATTTGTTCAGGAGCCACTGGGCTGGTGACCTGAGGCCCCAAGAGGCTACCTGGTCTCCTGGCATCCACAGGCTGCTTTGTCCTCCAC